AAATTATTTGTGAATAAGTCTTAGTTTAGATTTAAGTTGTATGAAATCTAAGATACATTTTTTAGATTGCACAATTTAATTAACAAATACCAAATGGAAAAAGAAAGCCTTGATTAATGTAAATCAATATGAGATGATTATTAGTACATCTTAATTTTGCTTAAGGCCAACAACTGTTCATATATAATTGTTCGTATAATTGTTGGGGTTACGAAATCGAGAACCACTGTAGTTACTTCATTATAATCTCATTTTGCTCGTACAAATACATACTAGGTAATGCACGGGTACGAAATTATTTACGAATTAATTTTTAAACATTTTCAAATAAAATTAATAAAAGTTAAAATTATTGTGTTAGAATTGGAAAAAATATTGTTATACAACTATTTTAGGGTGATGATATTATTTTTAGTAAATATGTATATAATCATATTTCGAAAAACTTCTTAAAAAGTACATACCAATAGCCACAATATCTTTATTCAAGTCATGATTTTTTTTTTTAAAGAAACATGTTAGAAGACCTAATAATAAGACGACTTTCCTCAAAGAGAAAATTAAAAAATTATACCCATCATCATTTATTTTTTAGACCGCGTATTGAAAATTGGCTAAAACTTAGTCTATTTCTTCTGACTTCATTTTTTTAGACAGTTATTTTCTTTCTTCAATTTCAGAGCGAGCTGATTTGTAATTTGTTAGGTGATTACTAAATATATTATGCCAATAACCTTATTTTAAACACTTATACTTTAAGAGTTTAGACCTAAATAAACAGAACCTAAGAGGGCCAGAAAAGGACAAATTCGCGAAGGGTTCATCAGCAGTTGGCCGGAATGTGAAAGTCGACTATTCCAGTCGGCGGGAAATAGGGGGTTAATTTTGTAGAAAAAATAAGTGGACTTTTTTTTGTAGTTTTTCATAACTTTAAGGGGCACCTTTCGTCAAGAACTAAAACTGGCAAGTGTTTTCTTTTTAGGAAAAACCTCGTACGTGCCAAAAATACAAAGAACCTATTTTCCTTTCTTTTCTTCTGTTTTCTCCATACACTAAAAAGTCAACTGCTTTCTTTGTCTTCAAAGAAGGAAAGATCATTAATTCCTCATACACAGATCATCTGTTGAAATCTCTTTGATTTGAGAGAGACGCTTCAAGAAATGGACAAGGTTGAGCACAAAAATGTTAGTGTCAATGGCCTAAGCATACACATAGCAGAGCTAGGAACAGGGCCATTAGTACTCTTCCTTCATGGCTTCCCTGAACTCTGGTATTCATGGCGCCACCAGATCGTCTTCTTGGCTGCTCATGGTTACCGGGCTGTGGCTCCTGATCTGCGTGGCTATGGCGATACAACTGGGGCCCCCATTGAAGATAGCTCCAAATTCAGTACAATTCATATTGTTGGAGATGTCATCGCACTTCTTCAAGCTATTGCACCTGATGAAGAGAAGGTGTTTGTAGTTGGTCATGACTGGGGTGCTTTGATTGCCTGGCACTTGTGCTTGTTTAGGCCTGATAAAGTTAAGGCCTTGGTCAACTTGAGTGTTCCTTTTATGTCCTTTAATCCCTCAATCAATATGGTTGACTCACTGAAAAGCGCCTATGGTGATGATTATTACATGTGGAGATTCCAGGTAATCTGATTCATTTTTTCATTTTTTTTATTTTTGACCTTTACTCCTTGAGATCTTGATCATGATATTTAAGTATTACTTGATGATGCTTGTGAATAAGTCATTGTTTACAGAATCCAGGACTTGTAAGGCTATAACAGGTTGATTAGGAGTCAGGGTATCTAATCAGTATGATTGGATAATAGTGATGGTCTTGTGGATATGGAAAATTTAAGAATTTATTACGAAGGATTGATTATGATTTTGAATTGGTTTGAGTACAACTTGAAAAAGGATTCATTTGTTTTCTCAAAGAAGTGATCATTTCTTGTTACAGGCCCCGGGTGAGATGGAGGCTGAATTTGCTGAAATAGGTGTGGAGCGTGTTATTAAGAAACTACTAACTGACCGCACTCCAGGTCCGTGGTTATTCCCTAGGGATAAAAGCTTTTGGGGTTCCCCTGGTACTCCAGTAACCTTGCCATCTTGGTTGAGTGAAGAAGATGCTGCTTGTTATGTCAGTAAGTTTAAGAATACTGGATTCACTGGAGGCCTCAATTACTATCGCGCCCTCAATCAGTAAGTAGTTTCCTAATTCCAGCTAACTTTATGCACAAACAAGATAATTTCAGCCATCTTTCATTGTTCTGTGGTCCTTAAATGTCTCATAAGTGTCTTGACATCAGCAACTTATTACACTCGTACAATCAACTCCTCCATTCATGATTCACGTTGGTCAAAGCTCTTTTATGAACCCTGAGAAACTTAATTGTGGTTGGATACATGGTCCGTGTTTCAATTTCCTAGCATTATTCGGAAATGCCATTGATAAAACTTTTCATTTTCTTATAAGTGATCAGAGCTTTTTTCTGTTATCAAATTAAGTCTCAATTTTGTGTTCCACCAGAAGCCTAAATTCATTGTTCAAGAGCTTGATTTGGAAATGGATAGTACATACAATGATGTCAATTTTTGTGGTTCATTTACTTTCCTTTATTGACATTTTAACTGGTCTGGGATAATGGGTGTGGAAGAGGACTACAAAGATAAAAAAAAAATTTTTAATAGCTGTCGAAATTCTGCCTTTTTGGAAAATTTGTTTCAGTTGGAGCCGCTTCTGTGAAGTGAGAACAGAATTATGAGGTTATGGCCCCAGAGGCTGTAAAGTTCTGTTCACTTTTGTTGGTTTCCTTGATCATTAATCCTTGGGAGAGGAGAAATAAAATTCTGAACATAGATATTGGTATATTGAGTTTGAAAGTATTACTTATGCTATGAATATGCATGCAGTACCTGGGAACTTGTCGCACCCTGGACTGGAGCGCAAGTAAAAGTACCGGCTAAATTTATTACTGGCGATTATGATTTGGTCTACCACATGCCGGGAATGCAAGACTACATCCACAAGGGTGGATTCAAGAGTGATGTACCTTTGTTAGAAGATGTTGTAGTAATCAAAGATGCAGCTCACTTCATCAACCAAGAAATCCCTGATGAAGTTAGCAAACACATTTATGACTTCATTCAAAAATTCTGAACTGCTGATTCTTGAAACTAAGTTGCGTGATTGTTGCCAATTGCTCCCTGTAAACCAGATTTCAAGCGTGAGAAGCCATTATTCCTTTTTTTAGTGTGTATGTCATTATCCAAATAAGTGCTACTGATAAACAAGGTACCGAAAACTTCTTTTCTTGTATTTTACATTTCCGAAGGATTTTAGATTACTATTTATCCTGTTGGAAGGAATCGAGGAGAAGTTGTATCTGAAACATAAGACTTTCTGTTCATTTGGGTTTTCCCTCACTGGGTCAGTTTAAAAGGCACTGGTAGCATCTTCTTTATCAAGAATGTGGCTTCTAATGGTATTATTAATATTATTAATGTCAGGTTTACTATTAATGTCATGTCTTACTGCTCAAGGAAAAGGAAAGATCGAAATCTGTCCCACTATGATTGTGACAGAGGGAGTAGAAGAACATGAATTCTAATGAAATATCCAATTCTGAAATGATAGCATAAAATTTAATGATTCGAGACAACAGAAATGAACCTAGGATCTTTACTTCATGTCCTTGCTGCTATGCTAGGATTATAGCCTTATAGCAAAAGATCTATTGAGCATACTGTACTGTAGGCTAACTATGCGAACTTCACTTCTCTCGAACCGAGGTCACAACTACAGGAGAATCCGGAACACAAGTTTATTCTTTTGCAATAATCAGAGACACAAGTTTTCCAAGCGGATAAACATGGTTTGAAACTCTGGATGTGAAAATGTTATATTGCTGTTCATTGTTGGTTCGATGATCATCAGTTCACACGAAAAAGATCAGAAGCTTTCTTTGTGAGCACCATTGATTCTTAGCTTGCTGCGGACTGCTAAATTGCTTCCATAGAATAGAAAAGCTGAAACAATTTCAATCTCAGTGGGTCCGTTACTAGTGATGATAAGGGAGAACACATGCCTGTTGAATACATGCCTATTGTTGTTCACAAACTTAAATTCTCCAGCATGAAATCAGCCACCTTGTCGTAAGTACGTATTTCAATCCCATTGCTTCCACATTTAAACCAAGTGGTTTCGATGCCTAATAGTATTACATTTTTCGTGCAAGTAAACCTGATATTGCTTTGTCCTCACTGTCATTAACAGAAGGCTCAAATGGAAAGTATTGGCCAAAATTTTCGAGGGGAGCATTCTGAAATCTGGACTGCTTCTGACAGGGAGGGATGCATCAAACGTCAACCTTAGCGCTTCCACAAACAAAGCTGCAGAATCATCACAATCAATCAAAGCAAGATCCAGCTTCAACTTCCCTGCCAAAGGTTAGAAGTTTGTTATCAGTTTAAATGTCGGTTCGTGGAAGAATCGACGTTGATATTTGATTCTGGCGACGGTTTTTGATCATGTGGTCTCGGGTGATTAAGAGTTGTATCTAGCCAATGAATAGTACCTCACTAGTTCTGCTATTATTTAGTATGTACAAGTAGACAAATAAGAAGAGTTGTTAAGATTGTAAGGTAAGCAATTCTCTTAGAGAGAATTCTAATTGAATCAGTTTGAGAGATAATTAGGTACATGCATTTAACATTCACCAACTCATTTAACAACTGAAAAATTCCCTTCTTAGTGCCAAAACTTGAATAAAAACTTCTCTCAGGTTACTAAGTTTGTTGTAACAGTTCAACAAACATGACTCTTTTTTTGGGGACGAAGGGAGTTCTTATCAAACATGAACTAGATAAAAAAAAGGTTAAGAACCTCAAAACAGGATAGTTGGCTCATTAATTTGTATTGATGAAATGCATACCTAAAAAGTGTAACTGACATTTCTGAAATATTTAGTTAAACTGGAAATGATCGTTACGCTCAGTAGACAGCAGTTAAGCATGAAAAAGATGAGTTGCTGCCAGTGAAAGAAACTCAGCAGGAAGCAGAGCAAATTCATCTTCTAACATAGCAATCCATGCTTCTATCCCTTCCTCATTTCTTGTGCTGGTTAAGATTACTAGGATGCCATTTAGATTTCCAGGGACAACTGAAACAGGTTTGCCCCAGCCGAAATCCACTTCATAAAATGGGAATCTACACCAACTTGTGAAGATCCAATCTTTCTCAATTATTGCTGGTTTCTGCACTACTTCTACTGTGCCTTTTGTAGCCTTAAAGGAAGGAATTGCAGAATTGAGAATGTAATCCTCATTGACTCTCTTTATTGCATCGCCCGTGAGGCGAACTAGATCGCCATAATAATCTTTCTTTTCCTGATTCTCGCCGCGAAAAAAAGTGAATGAGGCAGGAACACCAATCGCAAGGTTGCCAAAAGGAAACACATTTTCATCAGGAGATGAGGCCAACAAGCTGCTCATTTTGCTTCTTACATTCACAAGATGCGAAATCCTGAACAACATTGTTGTAGCAGGACCTTGGATTTTAGCCCTTGCCACATTTATGAAATGCTTCCACAAGAAAGCAGTAACAACTTCAATCCGAGTGGGAGATTTTGCTGCTGAGGAAGAAATGGCCAATTCTTTCAATTCTTTTAGTTTTTCCTTGTCGAACACAAATCGCTTATACACCATCCCTTTTCCTTTATTTGGAGGTTGTAAAGGAAAACTAACATCATGATCAACTGGAGGAAAAACATGCCTTCCAACATCAAAATTTGATACTACAAGTCTAGTAATTTCCCCACGATTCAAGGCAGCCCACGAGTTCATGAAGGTCATAAACGACATCAAATCAGCTACTTTGTGGGAAATGCAAACACCAATGGCATTGCTTCCACATCCAAACCTAGTTATTTGGACTGCCAGGAGTGGCTTAACTCTAACATCTTCAATTTCATCCTTAATAAATGGCTCAAATGGCAAGTATTGACCTAACATTTCATCACTCTGGACTGCTTCTGATAGAGAAACGTCAACCTTAGCTTCCACAAACAAAGCTCCAGAATCATCACAATCAACACAATGATGCTCCGGGTTCAACTTTCCTGCTAAAGGGTAGAACTTCGTTAAAGACTCCGCGAAGGATTTCTTTAAATGTAGGGTTGTTTTGGTTTGATCTTCATGAAAATCATTTGAGGAAGGTGGCTGTTTTTGGTAGAAGAACAGAACAGGAACAAAGATAGGAGCTTGAAGCTGATCTAGAAGAGAGAGTTTAAGCTCTTTCTTTTCAAGTGGAGTTGGAGATGATGGTTTTATCAACTCCCTTGATACTATATCTATCCTGCATTCCATTTTCTGTTGATAATATTGCTTCCATTGAAGCCACTTTACTATAATTCATGAGTTATATTCTTCTCTTACTACATATTTCATGACTTGAAATTAGGATTATCCTGTAAATCTCAGTTAGGAAAAATTTAACAAAATGTCCAATAAATAAGGAAACTAATTGATGATTATTTGCTCAACAGACTTGGTTTGTTTTCGTATTACTAGGACAACCTAATCAGTCTTCCTTAGGAATCCTGCTTCAGATTTTAATCTTCCATTATCTTTTCTGTTGCTTAGTCGTACTAGATCATCACATTATCAGCTACTTTTTAGTGACATTGTCATTGGTTTAAGTTCCAAATGAACAATTAACAACAAACAAACTCCCATGATCTTTCTTGTTGAAATATAAAATTAGAATACCAAACCAAAAAAAACAAAAGCCAATGTTACTGAAATAATGAGTGTTACAAGCTTATAGTGGCTTTTGAGATCTTTTATACTCTTTTCTTTCTTCATCAGAGTAGGATATTCTGTAGATATTATGTGAATGATGAATAAAGCAAGAGACTTGAATTAGATTGAATTGAATGAAAATGTACAAATCTGTTTGTAACGTTATTTTAGTATGTATTTTCTAAATTAAAAATGCAAACGTGTGTTTAGAAAATGTAAAATATAATTACAAAATATTGTAAAAAGGAAAACACGTTGAGTAAAAGTTATTTTCTATTTTCTTTTTATATACTTTGGGGTAATACAACTGATTGCATTATACATCTCCTCAGTTGAGAAGCAACCAAAACTGATTACTTGGGTTTTTTTTTTTCCTTTCTCTTGGTTGCATCTTATTCCATTTTGAGTGAAAACTAAAAATGGATTGGTATAAGAGAGTTTGAAAGTCAAAGGACCAAAAAGCAATTCCGAGCAAAGTTTGTGGAGAATCTTGTCGAGAAAGCGAAGGTTGACGTTTAAGTCGGCGACCTTCAGCTCAGTTGAATTCACTCTAACAAATGGTTTGATTTTGATGAGTTCTACCTGATGTTGCAGTAAACTTTATTACTACTACCACCTTGTGTTTTTATTGAGTTATGCTTTCGGAAGAAACTTGTTTTCATTTTGACTGAAACCTTCTCATACATATCAGAAACGTTGAGTTCAACACTTACAAAATTTAAGCATATATGTCTGTCTGATTAATCCATAGCAACCCTCCCATTGTGACATAAACACTTGTCATTGCTATTGTTGTCGTATCAGAAAGAAAATTTTCACAGGAACAAGAGAATAAGTCTGCATTTTCTGATAAAGTAACAGAAAGTACATTTATAAGAATTGACAATGCTGATCACATTTCCCTTTACTACCTTCAAAGTCGTATTTATAAATACTCATCGTTTGTAACAACAATCACCTGTGGATGCAAAACTTCAACTCGACATCAGAACAGCTCTTATTTATCATTATTATTAGCAGCCAATCTACATAATTTACTATCTTAACAAAGCAAGAAAGGAGTGGAAATACATCCTAAAATAGAGTCATAACATCAGCTGCAGGAAACGAAATGACAGAAACATACAGGATTGAGGATATCTTGAACCCAAGATCAAACAGAAAGCTCAGTACTGTTGAAAGAAGTCGTAGATGTGCTTGTTAATCACGTCTGGTATTTCTTGGTTGATAAAATGAGCTGCATCTTTAATGACAACAACGTCCTCCAGCAATGGAACGTCTCTTTTAAACCCTCCTTTGTGTATATAGTCTTGAACTCGCGGCATATGGTAAGTCAAATCTAAATCCCCAATAACAAACTTGGTCGGTACTTTAATTTGAGCACCAGTCCAAGGAGCAGTAAGCTCCCAGCTTCTGCAAATCAAAGCACAGCATTTTGTCAGTTAATCAGCTAACATCATTAACATACAGTTTAAGAAAACTACTTTCTGTCCCTCTCAATTTGAAAAATGACCAAAATCTAGTCTCCCACTTCTAAGACGTTAAAGTTTCAGTCAAATAATTCTCTGTCAAATCTCCATCAAACTCCTTAATCGTTCAACCTCCCGAAAAAGCTTACATCACCAACTCTTAAATCTTTAAAATGAATTACAGCAAAAATAGATTGGCTTAGACTTAGAAGGGCGGTTTCGCAAACGATATTGATGATTAACTCATAGTTTGTGGACAAAAGGTACCTTCCTATTTTTGTACAACTACAAAATCATTACATGAGCTACATTCTGATAAATGACTCAGCAAGTGAATCGTCTCTATGTAGAAATACTCACAATTTCAGAGCACGGTAGTAGTTTACTCCTCCAGTGAAGCCTGTTTTCTCAAACTTAGAAACATAATAATCCACATCTTCTTCTGTTAACCAAGACGGCAAGACAACCGGATCACCACAAGAATCACCAAAGCCTTTACCCTTTGGGAAAAACAGTGGACCTGGAGTGCGATAAGTAAGTATCTTCTTCATAAAATACTTAACTCCCATCTCAGAAATTTCAGCCTCAATTTCACCATGTGCCTGGGAACACAACAACAGTATATCCATCAACCCAGCTGCAGTTATACTACCAACTACCAAGTAACCTACAAACTGTGAAACCTAAACACAGAATCCACTTCTCTTTACTTAATATCAACCAAGATATTACGCTAAATCATCCATCAATCACACTGTACAAAGTATAAACCAAAATAAAGCTCCTACCTTGAATCGATTTATTTATAACTCAATGAATCACAATATAAAATCACGGCAGCAAATATACAAGATTCAGGCACAACCATGAACTTTCCATTTCTAATTAATTAGTCATGAACTTTCCTTTTAAACAATCATGATGTCTCTTATATGCTACTACGAAGAAAACCTTGCATTCAAAGACTAACAAATTTGGAAAGATACCAAATTTTCAACTGCAAAGCTGAAAGACATACATATATGGATCTATCACACACTACAAAATATAACCAAAAAGGTAGCTCCTGACTAGAATTTATCATCCCTTTTGAAGACTTTATTAGTATCGTGGAAAATTTTACCAACCTTAAGCACATATGCATTTATTTTCCGTTGAATTCTTAATAAAAAACTAACCACTGATTTCTAACAAGACTCAACCTTTCATATTCCATAGCTCTTAAACCAAACAAGGGATTAATCAAACATTCAAAAGGGCCAAAATTTAAGAAGGGAAAAAAAAAAGGAAATCAGTGAACAGTCAAGCGAGAATTTAAGAACCTGGAATCTACACATGTAGTAATCATCCCCATAGGCACTCCTCACTCTATCAATTGTACTCTGGGAAGGATGCCTAGGCGAATAGGCAACACTCAAGCTGAGCAAGGCCTTAACTTTATCAGGCCTAAACAAGCACAAATGCCAGGCAATTAGAGCACCCCAATCATGAGCCACTACAAACACTTTATCCTCATCTGGTGCAATAGCTTGAAGAAGGGCTATAATATCCCCAACAACATGAAGAACAGTGAATTTTGAGCTGTCCTCAAGGGGGGCCCCAGTAGTATCGCCATAGCCACGGAGATCGGGAGCCACAGCCCGGTAGCCATGTGAAGCCATGAAGACGATCTGGTGGCGCCATGAATACCAGAGTTCAGGGAAGCCATGAAGGAAGAGTACTAATGGCCCTTTTCCTAGCTCTGCTATGTGAATGTTTAGGCCATTAACACTCACATTTTTGTGCTCAATTTTATCCATTTCTTGGGTAGCTTTTCTTTCCTTAGGATATTCTGTGCTTTAATTGAGGAATGAGGAGGGTCTTATCATCTTAAGTAGGCCAAAGCACTTTATTTATGGTGATGGCAAAAGCCAAAAAGAAAGGGTCGAACTATTGAACGCCCTTATTTTTTCATTTGAGCGCCCGCAAAAGAGACCAACACGCCCCTGAAAATGGAGGTATGTTTTTTTTTTTCGGGAAAATGGGGGGCTGGCGAGGGAGAAACGCGCCAGCCATTAACGGCTGACGCTGAAGAAACACGCCATCCCCAAAGGGGATGGCGTGCAATAAGCTCGCCTCTCCTTACAGGGGAGGCGAGGCAAGCCTTCGCCAATGGCGAAGGCGGTGGCGCCATATTCGGCGCCACTAAATGCTCGCCAACCGCCGTGTTGGTGGCGCCCAACGGGCGCCAACCAATTTTATTTTTTTTTTAAATTTTTTAATATATTTAATATTTATTAGTTTAAAAATTATTATTATTAGTTTAATAAATTTAATTAATTCATGTATTTAGTTTATTTGAGTATTTGTTTTGTAGTTTAATATATGTTTAGAAAATTAGGGTTTATGTTAGATATTTAGAGAATGTTTTTTAATTACGTATACTGTTATATGTTAATTACGTTGTATGCTCGTAAGAAATACTTTGTTTCTTGTTAAATGGGTATTTAGGTTGTATGTTAATGCGTATAGTTGTTAGGGATTAGAATATTTGTTAAAATAATGAGTTTTGATTAATAATATTTTTAATTAGTTATTAGTATATATTAATTATCTCTAAAGTAAAAGATCATTATATCGGATTCTATAACAATGTTTACTCATATGAAATTAATTGTGGTTTAACAATGTTAGAGTTAACTTAAGTTATGATATAATTTGTTTTTAATGTATGTGTGCGAGAATAGTTTTGATCGGGGATGGAATCGATTATAGTGCGGCTTTGCTACTGACGAGACTTTCTCAACGAACACGGAAGCTATTGAATATGCGAAGGGTATTGCGAACATCTACAATATGGTGTTAAGTATATCCTCGTATAAGGGTAATAGTACTATACTCCTTTGTCATAAAGGGGGGCGGTACCAAGGTGAACAGGTGGATGAAAACGTGCGGGCCCGAGCTAACACAAAGACACAGATGACCGGATGCCAGTTTCGTATTACTACTTACAAGATGTATGATAGATGGGCAATCCGTGTATATCCAGTCCGTGGGAATGCACAACCATTCATTGAAAGATCCACCTCGAGTCGGAGGCCATTAGTGTCGAAGTAAAAGAGCTTATTAAAGAGTACTCCAAATCGGGACTAAGGCAGTCCACATTTTACGGGCGATATGGACACAATTTCCGATGAAAATGTAACCGCTAAACAAGTCTACAACTACAGAAATTTTTTGCGTAAGGCGGGGTTTCCAATTCTAGATGACCTGTCTGCCATGGACGTAGTGGGAAAGGTGTTAAGAGGTCGCAGAACATCACAAATACATCATCTTCACGGAGTGCGATGAAGAGACACAGAGGTTATCCCACGTCTTTTTCGCACATCCGGATTCTTTGTTGTTATTGCGGACGTATCATTGGGTTGTTTGTGTAGATTCCACATACAACACAAACAAATATAAACTGCCTCTTGTGGAGTTTGTTGGAATGACCCCTTGCAATCAGACATTCCTCATAGCATATGCCATTCTGAGTGATGAGACAGGGGACAGCTACCATTGAGCGCTGTGGCAGCTCCGTAACTTGTATGGCGAAGATATGCATCCGAGTGTCATCGTGGTGATCGCGAACACGGGGTGATGAGGCCTCTTGATGATGTATTTCCATCTTCACATCACTTATTGTGTACGTGGCATGTTTACAGGGATGTTGAAAGAAATGTGAAAAGAATTTTTAATGGAAATGCTCATACAGCAAAAAGTTTCGCGTATAATGCCTTCAAAGCGGTGATCGAAGCTGAAACCGAGACGCATACGAAGAAAGAGTGCGGTTACGGAGCATAATGGATCCAATTTCGGGCCGTTCTACAGTATGTTAGGAACACATGGTTAGTGGTGGCGCACAAGTTTGTGCGTGCATGGACCAACACTTATTTGCATTTTGGCAACACCACTACCTGTAGAGTGGAGAGCGCACACAAGTTGTCAAAGGAATGGCTCGTCATTCCAAATGCTTCTTTTGAAACGGTGTGGCACAGGGTTCACATGTTACTGGAGACACAGCTTACGCAAATAAGGTACAGGCCTGTTGATCCCTTTTTAGTTAATTTGTGTGTTTAGGTTGTTTAATTGATTTTTTTGAATTCCTGTACAGGGAGAAATTGCAAGAATCAAGGCAGAAAATAGGGAGGCAACACAACAAGTACCCTTTCTACCAATTAAGATGCAATGTTTCACACCACTGCTTGGATCTTTTGAAAAATGAATTAGAAAGGATGCAACAACTCGGAGATGATGTATATTGGGAATGCAATCATTACCTGAAACAAACTCATTCCATCCCTTGTGCATGTATACTTAAGCGTGTAATGGAGGCCAACGATATTTTAACTCCAAAATACTTACACCAATTTTGGAGCACACTTGACATCGGTGAGGTTACAGAGAAGGATGGTTCGGATGATGTTCCTCCTCACAGATTGTTGTTCAGCCAGTTAGTGGAAGAATTGAACGCTGCTGATGAGCCTATACAGCGCGAGATCACCAGATTGATGTACAACAAACTCCACCCGGCCAAGCAGATTAAATGAACCGCGGGTTGGAAAGAGAGGCAAGGCGAGACCGAAGAAGAGGGCATCTCTAAAAAGGCAAGACAAACCGAATGTGTGGGCATACGGGGACGGCAATCGGGGTGGCACGAATACCAGCGGTTCCAGTAAATCGGGACGAACACCCATAGTTCCAGAGAGGGCATACGTCGGGAGTCGAAGATCGAACAGAGGTCCGATATTACTTTCTCTTTTAAATGTGTGATAAATTATTTTACTTTGTTACTTACCCATGCTACAACAGTCCATGGATGGGCAAGGTGAGACGAACGGCAGTTAGTTCCAGTAGAGGCAACAGTCGGGTTCGAACCACATGTCGGAGGTAAGTTTATAATTTATATTGTAATACATAATTGAGACTTAATTACTAATACATAATTCGAAATAATGATATTATTTTACGTGGTTAAAGATGTTATGCGATGATTTTTCCAGTTTAGCCACAAGAATAGGATTCCGCAGGTACTCCACAATCATGTTCAGTCATATCTTGATGTCGAGCCTGACGGCAATTGTGGTTTCCGTGTCTTTGCGAGTTGCATGTTGGGCGGGCAGAATAATCACATTTTGTGCAGACAGATATGTTATGATGAGGTTATAAATAACCCTGGCCTATATGGGAACATTTACGGGTATGCAACCAGTTTAATGTTGTTGAGCAATTGTCTTACTGTTATTTTTTTTAAAAACTTTCATACCCGTGTCTTTGTGTAGGTGGGACAGATGGGCTGAGAGCCTAGAGCGTATACGGTGGACAGGCACCGCATTAGGTCACTGGATGTCGACAGATGACTTTTATCCCCTTGGTACATATTTCAATGCAGTTGTGTACTACTTGATGCCGCGGTGCTGAAAATCTAAACGGCTCATGTTGGTGTGCTACCACTGAGCGCACGAGGCGGGGCAACAAGACCTGAGTTCCAGATAGTTATTTGCCACCTCAATCCTTACCAACACTTCATTCGACTCAATCTACAGGGTGATTTCCCGATTCCCCCCATTCACCTCAGTTGGAGGCATGATCGTGATAGTAGTGTTATTGGTTGGGATGAACCTTTTGAGTCCAGACTACAGCTATGGCGAACTTTGGTACCTCGGATAAGACCCACACAGGCATTTGAAGATCTGGGGTGATCTTTTGTGTATATATATATATATATATATATATATATATTTTGGAAATTGAAGCACAGATGGTGACGTAAATTAAAATTTAAATTGCAAACAAACATAAGTGCATATTGTTCATAAGTACAGAATCATTGCATAATTGTACGTAATCATCATAAGTAGAATGTCATGGGGCTCGACTGTAGGAAGATGACATCATCCAGCGAGTATCCCACTTCTCACCTACACCCACATCGAGCTTCTTCAAATCATCGATGCAACCTCGAGTCAGCTTCTCCAGCTCACGCATCCACTACAAATGTTAAATCAAACCAAATTAATCCCTTAATGATAGTACATGTATTTTTAAACAATGGGTAATTTTGTTAGAGTTGAACTTACGTATGTGGTGCAGTTCTTCCCTGGGATGCGTGATGTAGACTGTACGGACTCCGGCAGTAAAAATGGATGTGAATGGCTCCTGTACCAGTCGAGGTAATCTACAGCTGCATGTCCTACCTCAGTAGACGATACCGGCACACAATGACTGAGGCTGATGCACTCCGACTCCGAAAATCTAACCCAACAGTTACATGTCTCGGCACTAGGACTCTCAACAAAATACTTGTGCGCATTTCTCCCGCGAAACTGAGTAACCGGTGTGAGCGGCGCACGAGGTATGTACTGCACATAACCGAGCTGGCGTAGCACTCTCTCCGGCATGTATGGCTCCTGGAAGTCGTGGTACATAATCCACCCACTGAAGATGGTCCTGGGATGTGCTGCAGCCTGATCGCGACCAAATGGCTCCCATTCGACCTGCAAACGTTAGCAACATTTATTATAGTGTAAAAAAATAAATACCCCTTACGCAATATACGGAAATGAAATATAAAGTGTACCTCTTGCTCAGTCATCACGTCGAGCTGCGTACGAATCTGCTGGAGACGACTATGAATAGGCCTCGGCCCCTTATAGCTAACGGGGTCCAGTCTCGGGCTCTGGGCCAACCAACAACACCTCGACGTCCTCGCCTCTTGGAGGGTGGAAGCATGGAAAATACTCATATATCCATGCACGGAGAAGGGTCATACAACCAGCCATCGTGGTACACCCCGCTCGACTAGCAATACCAAGTCGACGGTAGAGGAATGCTAGTGTACGGATCCCCGTGAGTACTCTCCAATATTGTCAATACCTCCGTGCGGCTCGGTCATAAGCGAAGCACCGATCCCGCCCCCACTCCTGTCAAGGAAGAGTGTCGAGGCTAACAAGATCCACACCCAAGCTTGCACTGAACAATGGGAGGACCCTACGACAACACTCCTCAATCAATATGTCGCTCACACCTCCGTGGCTCCATGCACGCTTTAACTCACCAACGACATCCCAAGCAATCCTGCGACTGCATCTTCAAAATCTCACCTTCCGCATGTTGGATCAACAAGTCACCATCAAGGGAATCGCCAAAATGTGTGCCACATCATGCATCATAATGGTCATCTCCCAAACGGCAAGTGGAAAGAGTTTGTGTCTGGCCGCCACCTCTCTATGAAGGCGAAACAAGCGCAAGGTCAATGTCATCATACATGGTATCAATGAGATGATACAAACCGGTATGCTGAATCTGCAACTGTGCGTTCTCCGGCAACCTCGCATACCATCCATGCAATCTAGACAAACTCTTCTTCGCTGGTTTAATGGTAAGGTAATCTCGTGGTTCTCCATTCTACAACTGATAAGCAGTGTGTCCAAGAAAACTAGGAATCACTGACCCATCACATGGCCCGCCAGGTACGTCGTCTGTCACAACCCAATCATCAATTTCTTCGGTAGAAACCTTAGACCGTCTGCTAGTACCTGAAACTCGAATAACGAATAGTGTATAAATACTTTATCGAATGCAATTAAGAAATTGACCAAACAGTAATGAATGCTTAAATTATTACAAATACGTACCTGATGACGATGCATTTGAAGAGTAGTACTCGACCTCGCCAAGAGTAGTACTCGACCTCGCCCAAGAGTACTCTGTAGACCAGGACGAACACTTGGAACCACCGGGAGTGTAAGTGAATTCGGGGCCGATAATCCAACAAGGGTCTTCCCCGGGTAGGGTGAACTAGAGTCGATCAACAAGACGACCAATGGGGTTCGATCGAGGTATCTCCAATCCGTATATCCCTCCTCTCATACGAGGAAAACGAGGATGTGTCATCCTCCTCACCACATCGTCCCCCACTCTCATAACTATCCTCTGCTGAATCCTCTCCTCAAAATCATCATCATCATCGTCTACGTTGGTGACTCACCAACTGGGCCAAACGTAGGATGTACATTTTCACTTTCTTTAACTTTTTTCTTTTCGCTCGATGTTCGCATACAGATTGCGCGAATCGCATGCCGATGCCCAGATCCCTGAAGAGGCGATATCCCATCCTACAACAGTTTCAAATTTTACACGTAACTTAGATTAATTAGTTTAATACAGTTTTATATTATTCAAATATGTAATTATAATATTATCTACTCTACATCTAAAGTGTTCAATTTATTAATAATATCTACATATTTATTTTTTCTTACAACTACATAAATATTTCTTATTAACCCTAATTATCTACAAACCTCCTGTATTTTTTTAATTATAACTTATTTATTTAATTTTCCTATACTAAATATTTAATTTTTTAACCTAATTACAATTATACCGACTAATCCAATAAATATATTTTCTATAATTATATTAATTATAATAACTTTCATAATAATCCAATTTAATTTACAAACCGTTAAACTCCCTAAAAATACAATTAAATTCCTAAAACTATAAAAGTATTATAACTATTCTATTTACTGAAGATTAAACCTATACTAAATTAAAACTACAATTGAATTCCAAAATAAATTAAACTAATAAAAATAACTAATTAATTTCACTAATAACAAATAATTAAACTAAATTTCATAAGACAAACATTTACTAATAGTAACAATTAAATAATAATTAAATAATTAAATAATTAAATATAAATATAAATATAAATTAATTAACAAAAAAAAAAAAAAAAAGCCAGCGCAAGTTTTTCTCGCCTGTGCTCAACCGGCTGGCGAGAATATTCTTCGCCACCCAATCTTCCGGTGGCGAAGAAACCGGCGCCTCCAGCTGCCCGCGGCGAGGAGAGCCGCCGGGCAAACAGCTGGCGCCAGATCTGCGCCGGCTCTGTAAGGAGTGGCGAAGATTTTGCGCCACTCCTTACGAGCCGGCGCAGATCCGTGCGCTAGCTCGTTTGCCCGGCGCGGTTCTCCTCGCCACGGGCAGTGGAGTTTTTTTTTTTTTTTTTCAAAATAAACTTTAAAACAATTCAAATTCAAATTTACGTACCTTTAGTTTGCGTAGCTCATTTCGTAGCCGTTTAATTCGATCCCCCATTAAATTTAAGATTTTTAGGTATTTAGATTGAGAGAATTTGAAATGAAAGATTGATTTAGGAATTAAAAGAATGAAATTGAAACTCTTTATTTATAAATTCATGTAAAGGGCAAAATGGTCATTTGTTATTTATTTAGGGCGTTGAAGGGAGATTTTTAGGGTTTAACAACCTGCCAGAAAAGAAAAGGTCCTACTTTTCTGAGTGGAACAATATCAAAGCTGGGAACTTTGGAAAAGGAAATCGCCAACAAAGTACAAAACTGCAAGAAAACGACAACTATCTTTTGTTTTCTTATTTTCTATAGACTTTTCAGTGATTACGAATAAATAATGAGATTGCTTTATCAAAAAAATGCATGTGTTATGTATGCAAGGAAAATGGCAGGCAGAAAAAATCTCGAGTTGATGATTAGGTAGAATATCCTTGAAATAACAAAATTCATAAAAAGATTTCCGAATCCACATAATACATTTCCAGCTACTGAATTTTACTAATTTAATCATCCATGCTTATCTTGTTGAAGATGAAAAACTGGAACCCCGGAAGACTAATTTTAAAAAATTATTAAATTTGCGGTAAAATTAAAATTAACAAAGAAAGAAAGAAACAGCCGAACAAACTGGGGAAACACGACAAAATGCTGCAGATAACAAGATGGCGCATCTAGGAATTGAAAAAGAATAATGCTTATATGGGGAAAAAAAAATGCTTGTGTATACTTGTATTTTGGACTAATCCATGAACCTATTCTTGAAGAATCATATATGGTGAACATCATCCAAAGGCTATAAAGGAAACAAATCTATATAAGGAAAATTGTGACAGTAAACTTTCGTCTGCATTTTCTGATAAGAAATTAACAAAAGGAGCATTTGGAAGCATTCATTACAACTCTGATCAGATCACGTAGCAATGGAAGTATATTCTCATCAATGTTTTTACGTTTGAAATCATCGTGATTAAAATCAACAGTTTTGTCAATCCATCACTGTAATAACCATTCCTCATGGATGCAATGCAAGAACTCTTATTTATCAGTACTTAGCATACAGTTTAATGATTGTCCTTTTTTTAATTGAAGCAACAAGCAATGGAAATGCTCTAATGTAGTAGAACTGCAACAATCTCAGACAAAAACAAGTTTAGGAACTTGAGGGAAGCGCAACATGGGACAGTACTAGCTCAATATCGTTGAATGAAGTCATAGATGTGTTTGCTAATCTCATCAGGCCTTTCTTGGTTGATGAAATGAGCTGCATCTTTGATCACTATAACTTCCTCCAGCAATGGCACGTCGGCTTTGAATCCGCCTTTGTGTATATAGTCTTGAATTCCCGGCGTATGGTAGCTCAAATCCAAATCTCCCACAACAAACTTCGTCGGCACTTTCACTTGACAACCAGTCCAAGGAGCAGTAAGTTCCCAAGTTCTGTAATTTACAGAACAGATTCATTGCATGAGCCACATTTTCATATAAGAACTTAACAAATAAGTGCATTATATCTATCTAAAGAAAGCTACTCACAAATTGAAAGCACGGTAGTAGTTCACCGGTCCAGTGAATCCAGTTTTCTCAAACTTTGACGCGAAATAATCCACATCTTCTTCTGTTAACCAAGACGGCAAGACAACCGGATCCTTAGATGAATCGCCAAATCCTTTGCCCTTGGGGAAAAACAGTGGACCTGGATTGCGGTAAGTAAGTATCTTCCTCATAAAATACTTGACTCCCATCTCAGCAAATTCAGCTTCAATTTCCCCTGGTGGCTGAAAACACCATTAACAATAATACATTCATCAACCATGATGCACTGTCATCACTTCACAATTTCACATACAATGGAGCAGAAAACTGCCCACTTCCCTTCCATTATCTTCAAGCAATGCAACTCAGCTAATTAAGCCATTAACCAAGCTTAACATTATATCATCAAAAAGAAAAGCTCATAACTTGAATTTATCTCCACATAATTACTATTGATGAATCTAAAGTGCTGCAGTGAATTTCACTAACTTTAGGCACAAGTCCAGTTCTTTTCCAGTCATTTTTAGTAAGAATTAGTACTATGAAGAAAGGCCCTTTATCCAAGACCCGGTTTTTCCAATTCCACATCTCAAAAACACACATGGGACTGATCAAGATTCCAAAAAGAGTCAGACAAAATAAGTAAATCAGTGAATGATCAAGACAGGAAGAACCTGGAATCTGCAAATATAGAAATCATCCCCATAGATACTCCGAGCCAGATCAACAATATTTAGGGATGGATTTATGGGCGAAAAAGCAACACTCAAGTTAACCAAGGCCTTAACTTTATCAGGCCTAAACAAGCACAAGTGCCAGGCAATCAAAGCACCCCAGTCATGACCAACTACAAACACCTTATCTTCATCAGGTGCAATAGCTTGAAGAAGTGCTATGACATCTCCCACTAAATGCAGAGTGCTGAATTTGGAGCTGTCTTCAATGGGGGCCCCAGTTGTATCGCCATAGCCGCGAAGATCAGGAGCCACAGCCCGGTAGCCATGAGCAGCCAAGAAGACGATCTGGTGGCGCCATGAATACCAGAGTTCAGGGAAACCATGGAGTAAAAGTACTAATGGCCCTGTTCCTAGCTCAGCTATGTGTAGGTTCAGGCCATTCACACTCACATTTTTGTGCTCAATTTTATCCATTTTGTTTTGGGCAGGTTCTATCAAATCTTTCTGTGAAAAGAATTATTAGTGTACTTGGAACCAAGTAAAGATCTCAAATTCTCAATATAAGGGTGCAATCAGCAATGTCAACACCATAATTTACTACTAATATCTTCTTGGATATTGTGTACTTTGAACTTTCAAAATCGGAAACTTTGGAAAAGGGAATAAGAACTAGTCAAACACTACATATATGACAATGGGTTTTTTTTTTTTTTTTGGTTGGACTTGTCTATGCAAAGAATTCTTGAATCAATGAAAATGCTTACAAAGCATACAACAGTAGCTGAAAGTTTTTAGGTGAAGAAAAGGGGAAAAAAAAAACACACACACACACACACACACACACGCATCTTGGAAACTGCTTACAATAATAATTGTAGATAGAATTTAACATCAAACAAAAGAAGAAAAAAATCATTGTATGATTTCCCAAATAAACACCAAATGACTGACTTTTCCAATCTAATACTCTTTCCGTTCCAAATTAATTGTTATGTTCATTGTACATTGAAAAAGACTAATGGGACAATTACTTTGAAACGGAGGGAGTGCGTCACAAATTGATTCCAACTTCCACGAAAAATGCGAAACGTAGAAAATCACATGATGGCGCATCTAGGAATCGAACAAGAAGAATGCTTGCGGATGAATTGAAGGATGTGTTTGTTGATTTCATCAGGCTTTTCTTCATGTACAAAATGGCCAACTCCATTGATCACCACTACATCTTCCAAAAATGGCACATCTTTCTTGAACCCTCCTTTGTGAATGTAGTCCTTGGTTCCTGGTGCATTATACGTGAGATCCAAATCCCCAGCAACAAATTTGACTGGCACTTTTATCTTATCCCCTGTCCATGCTGCTGTTAGTTCCCAATTCCTACAAAGTAAAACAACACCAACGTAAAAAAAAGAGGAAAAAAAGAGGGCTTTAACCTGTATGTTTGTTTCCTAATGGCAATTCATCTCTCCTTCTTTAGATGGCAGAAAAACTTTCATCTTCCATTAGTTACATGTTTTTTTGGTAAAATTTAATCACATAAGCATTCAGTATCTTATCTCACTATCTATTATCACTGAATAGAAAACGATACATATTTGAATTTTATAAATTGTACAAAATCGCAGGGATCAATCTAATGCATTGTGGTAGTGATTGATTACACAAAAAGACAAAAAAAAAAAAAAAAAATGTAACTTCCGAGACCATGTGAGAGATTATTTTTTATTTTATCTACTTTTTTTCTATCCAAAATATTGAGAAAGTAAAACAGTATAATAAACAATATTTTTATTTTGGGACGGATTGACGAAGTTTTTAATGGTATAATTGAGTAGGATAAGTGAGGCTTACATGTCTAATGCTCTGTAGTAATTCAAACCTCCAGTGAAGCCAGTCTGCTCATACTGGCTAGTGAAGTAGTCAAGATCTTGCTCAGTTAACCAAGATGGCAATGCCATTGGATTTTCAGCTATCTCTTCAACCCATTTTCCTTTTGGAAGGTAAAGTGGACCTGGATTACAATAAGTTAGCAACTTGTGCAGAGCTTTCTTGGTCCCAACTTTGGCAAACTCCTCTTCTATCTCTCCATGTTCCTGAAAAAAAAATTGTATAAATATAGTCATTGACCTATCGCGGCATGTTATATTATACTCTTTTCATCTCAAAATTATTATCTAATTTAGATTTCAAATTGGACAATAATTTCGAGACAGAAAATGTAAGAATTTAGATGTCCAACTCAAAACCAACCGACAATCAGTGTATTTCAACAAAAAAAAAAATTAAAAAAAAAAAAATCGAACATACCTGAAATCTCATAATGTAATAATCATTACCATAAACAGCACGAAGTGTGGGAAGAGGCTTCCTCTCAGGATTTCTCCCAGAAAAGCGAACACTCATACTGAACAAGGCCTTAACTTTATCAGGCCTGTACAAACACAATGCCCAACCAATCATTGCACCCCAATCATGGCCCACAACAAACACCTTTTCTTCATCTGGGGCAATGATATTCAAGAGCCCAATAAGATCTCCCACCACATGTAAACTCGTGAACGTGGAATGATCATCCACCGGAGCACCCGTCGTTCCGCCGAAGCCACGGAGGTCCGGCGCCACGGCACGGTGGCCGTTGGCTGCCAGGAAAACCATCTGGTGCCTCCACGTGTACCAGCACTCAGGGAATCCATGAAGTAACAGGACTAATGGGCCTTGGCCCATTTCCGCTACGTGCATGTTTATCCCATTCACATCGATATTCTTGTGGTTTACTCCTTCCATTTTTGCTTGTACTTCCTTCACCTTTGAAAAATGAAAACACACACAGTCACACAGTAGTTGGTTGATGATGGATTGGGAGATTGGTTTTATAAGGGGAAATGAAGTAGCTGAATCATGAAAGATGGAAGAAAAGAATCATATTTAAAGAATGGTGTTTATTTTATTATTCAATTCTTTTAAATTTTGGAAGATGCTTTGATTGAGATTTGAGTCACATATGACATAACACCACGTTTGGATACTTATTACTATGTGGAAAGAATATTTGATGATCTGTAAAGCGGGATCAATCAATTAAGTTTTCCAATATAATATATATTGAATCATGTGATGTACCCCCATTATATTGTAGAAGAAATTTTGGGATGACGAAGGGACATCTTTTAGGGCCGGCCAAACCAAAATCTTTTATAATATGGCTAAAATTTATAGAATTAATTTTTAAAAAATGATTATGTATACATTAAATTTACATTTTATGGAACATGTGCAAAAAATGTGTTAATAATATGATTTTATACGAACACTTAAGTTATTGATACTGATTATAAAAGATGGAGGAAACAAGATTGCACCTACATCTACCTTAAAACAAAGTTATCAAAATAAAAGAGACGAATTCGTTTAATAATGCATTAATACAATTCGTTAACTTGTTGTGTGTTGCACTAAGTCGTAGTATTATCATTACGTGGTGTAACTATGGTATAGAGAGAGAACGGGAGAATTTGAGAAGTTATCGATCCGCGTTTTATATTGTTTTAATTTTTTAATTTTTGAAATAAAATAATACTTCTATTCATTTATTAAAAATCGTCCCGTTGCGAATGAATAATACGAAAAAACGATCAAACAAAACGTACAACATATCACTTTATTATATTTACCATAAATAAATCTATACAGATCTACCGTATAATTGACAAACATATCACATACCAGAGATTAAATCTGATATCGAATATATCAATAAAATTTTGTTAAAAACTCCAAACTACATATCTAAAAATTATTAGATGTCACCACAGGGATTCATACAAGAGATTCATTACTATAAATAATTTTCTATTAGTCGGAGTACTCATTAGTTGACTGGTCTTTGAGATAGAGAGGCAGGAGCCAGGAGGCCCAGGAGCGTCTGGTGTTCGTGAATTTGAACATGAAAGCTTTCTTAGCTGACACATCCCACGTTTCTCTGTTCTCCAATCTCTCCAGCCTTCCGAAAGGAAAAAAGAAAAACAAAAAACCAGAAAATGATTTAAAAAAATTATATATTCCCTATATCCTAAAATTATTGTCCAATTTGAGATTTCATTTTTAGTACAATTTGAACTAAAAATAAAAATCTAAATTAAACAATAATTATGAGAGGGATGGAGTATAACAGAAAAATGGCTTTACATTAATGAAGAAATTGCATGGTCTAATCTAATCGAGAGGAAGAAGACCATCCCCCACATCCCATCATGAATAATTCATGAAGCTAGAACGAGAAGCCACCGTTTGGTCGTTTGGATTTTTCTGTTGTGTTTTACTTTTTATGGGACAATTGGACAATTGAACCGAAACTTATTGTCAAAATGCCAATTGAATTTTGTTGATAGTACTAACTACTAACTATGAAGTATGAACCATCAATGTCAATTGTCAACTTGTCAATTGAAGTCTGTCTGGCTCTCTAACGGATCTCTCGCCACAACATAATTGCTTGCAAATCAGACAAATTTCACTATGCTAGCCGCCTATAGGCATCAAATCCATCAACAACGTTAAACCACAACATGATGAACTTATAAGATAATCTTTGAAAGAAAAACTCCAAACGTGATTTGGTATATTATATATTTACTGTCCGAAACCATTGCTCCAAAAAAAAAAAAAAAAACATCGCAATCTTAAAGGTTATATAACATGGCAATCTTGCAATATTCAAACAGAAATTCAGTCCACGAAAAAACAATGTAATAGACAAATGTAAACGAGGAACACTTCCTTAATCCACAAACACCAGCTTCTAAAGCACCTTTTTCTATAGACAAAAAGAACTAAAAAGGGGCTAATTTTTCTTGGTTGGGTTAATACTTAAGACTTAACCATTTCAATAACAAATAAAAGAAGACCTCAAGATAAGCCCAACAATTTTGATCAAGAAAGTACCACACCTAAAAGTCATTACTGTTGCTACTATTACATAATTAGAAGAAAATCCTTTTTCTTTTTCCCCCACAAATTATTACGTCACCAAATATATTGGCATAGCTGATGACGTCGAAAACCTATGCTGCTGCTGGTGCTGATCCAATTCAAACTCCCTGAGACTAATGTAAGGATTCTGAACCTCATCTTTCTCCACCGGAGTCAACGTTCCGGCAAGTGGGCCGGAAGTTGGTCGGCTGCAGGTCGTCCGGTAAGGAGTGGAGGACCCACTTCTACTCTCAGTAATATAGATCGGACCCGAGACTGATGCCCTGCAAACGGGTCGCCCGGTGCAGTACGGCACACCATTACCAAGAACTTCCGTGCCACCGCCGGCGCCAGCGGCGGTTCCGGTTGCACCACCATGAGGATGTTTCCCTTTGAAGAAATGAAGCGCGTTTTTCCACCAACGCTTCTTCTTGATCTTCTTGTTGGTGAAATATTCATCCTTTGAGATGGGTTTTTGGAGCTTGAAATGCAGAGCATCTATGGAGGATCTTGGTGTTGAAGAATTAATATTAAGCGTCTCTCTGTTGTGCCTCTTTGCTTCCTCCAAAACCTTAACAATCAAATAAACCAAAACGTTGGGTTATCTTACTTTGCCAAAAAAAAACAAAAAAAACAGAGCATTCAATTAGGAAACAGATGCAGAAAACAGATACCTGAAAGTAATCAATTTGAGGATCAAATCCATAATCACTGAAGTGTTGAGGTTCACATATAGGAAAAATCGGTGATTTGTTTGACATATTTTATCTTGAGCTGATCTTCAAAAATCTTGATTCTGTTTGTTCACTTGTTCTATTTGAGCAGATATATCAGTGAAGTGAAGAGTGGGGGAAAATGGAAGAAATTTTGTGGGCTCAATGTAAACTAACCGTTGGTAGGGCTAAGCTAGGAAGAGTATTAAAATTTTGTTGTAGCCCACAAAGAAAGGGATCTTCTTGGATTTTAATTCACACATGAGAGATTATAAATGTCATTTATGGGTGTCACGCTTATAGATGTGGGTGCAAATTTGTTTACAAATTCCCATAAATTGAGTGTACTTCTTCTGCTATCTATGTCTGAAACTTCGTCTTCAAGATATACTAAGCCCCGCAAAAGGCAAAACATTAATAATTTTTTGTTGGTGTTGTAAATTTATAATCAAGTTAGTGTTTGACCCAAACACACTTTAATTGTAGTGGTAGGTGTTAGGTTGGTGAGATTTGACATCAATTACGTACAGATTAATAGTATCTCATAAGAATACTAATTTAGTAGTAATTTTAAACATGACACTTGGTCAGAACACTAGCAAGTTTATTTAGAAATGGAAAATCTGTTGAGAGGTAACACAATCGTATTAAGGATATTTAGTGGCGGAGTTAAGGATTTTGTGTTTGTAGGAATGATAATATACACTAAAAATTCGAAACATTCCTTAAAGAAAATTTCTGGCGAGAGAACTACCGTCGCTGCTGGTGCCCCTAGCTCCGCCACTGAGGAGGTTGATATTCATGCAAAGGTATGAACTTTGATGCTACGGAAAGACAGCGAAATTTTGTTTCGACACAAAAGTTTTTGAAGTTTCAATTCCACTTCATAGTCACTCTTATTATAGTGTCTGGAAAAATTGGATCTTTATGTTCTTTTGGCTATTATTTTTCAGAATGAAAGAAATTTCTAGTGGAGTCCCCCTGAAAAAGCTTCCTGTTCAGATCCAAATCAGACCCCATAACGTGATCAGGAGAAGTTTCGTTTAAAACAAACATCATTTCAGTCTTCAGAGCCAAAATGCAAACTAAACAATACGAGTACAATTTAATGGCTTTAAAAACAAAAACCAAACCTCACTATTTTCATCAAACGGAGTAGTCCTCAATGTCCGAGTAGGATCCTTGTTAGCAATTTTGTTTTCTGTTAAGGTTCTTATCATTGTGAAGTAATGAGAATTAAAAATAGTGGGATTTTATTGGGTGGAAAAACAAGACAAAATCAAGTGCGTTACGAGATCTGATTCGATATTTAGCTTGATTTGATTATAATATTATATTATGTGATCTGAAAGTGATATGTTTTGTCTAATGACATCATTTGTATAATTTAATGGGGAAACATTAAGTATTCCATCCAACTTAGTAATTACTTTGAAAATGTTCTTTTGTTAATTAAACACAATGTGGTCCTTAATTATGTACTAATGAATCTTGTTTGCTTGTTCTGAATAGATGACAAAATTAATTACTTTTTGACTCCTAATATTGGGACAGCTCGAGTGCAGACAATGAGATTTATGGGGCAATTAACAACATGAGAAATCATAAAAATTTTCATTTTATAAATCTTGAGCCATAATCAAACATCATGAAATTTTCATTTTCCTTCATTTATTAGGCACTTGGCAGCATCTCATATAAAAGCAGGGTGTTCAACAACTTCTTTTTGGGTTGAAAGATCAGTTAGAGATAAATTATTACCAATAATAGAGTATGATTAGTGATTGCTAACTAATTGGTTGCGTGTATGAAGAGAAGATGATGTGTGAATAAATGCGATATACTTTTGCTTTTGCAATTTTAGCAATGTTTTCATACCTTTTGTACGACAAAATTAACAAATGGTGTCTGGGAATTAAGAAGAAGAAGAAGATGACGTTTTAGAACGCATGTTTAGTTCAATAGTTCTTTTATACCCTCTCTATCGTATATGTTTAGCTCACTACTTTTCCCTATCAGAAAATAGTTCACTCCCTGATCTACTTTTTCTGTTCTATAAAAATGATTCAATTTATAAATTGGAACTTGTAATAAAGGATTATTCTCCTTTTTTTTGATATTAAAAGACAATGTACAAATTATAGTGTACAATCTTTCGTGACAGAGGAAGATTTTAATTTAGTAAAATAAATTATTTTTCTAAAACGTGCGTAATATTGCAAAAGAAATGCCGATCGCGCAAAATATATCCTATTCAATCAACGATTTTAAGCGGAGGGAATGTGTAATTGAGAAATCATGCATATATACATGGATTGCCGTGTATCAGCTTCTTAGTTTTGAAAGTGAAGTAAGAATTATAAAGTCTAAGTCTAACCAAGTTGGCGACCGACAAGATAGGTTAAGATTTTGGCTGAAATCAAATTCCGACACTAACATAAGATAAAACAAAGGGTGTAGCACCAACATACTCCAGCTGACCATGGTAGCATAGCATAGCCCAAGTTATTTGAAAAGGTATCAAAGTCAATTCAACTAAGTTAGAAACGGAAATCTAAAGTTAGATGTTATAAATTCCTTTCTGTCCTAAAATTATTATATAATTCGAATTTTCATGTTTAGTACAAATTTTATTAAAATAAAAATAAATTTTTAAACTGTATAATCATTTCGGGAAGAAAGGAGTACGCCGCGGAACCCAAATACCCAATGTAATTGTACGGTATGATATACCATACGCAAGTCCAAATTTGTTTGAAGAAGAGTAGTAATGGGCATCATAATATACTTACTGATGGAGGAAATCATTGGACCTAGTTACTAATCAGAAGCCCAAGTTACTTTGATGACGATGACGTGTGTTTTTCTTATCTTTTATCAGATATATTTTTGTTATTAATTGGCGAACATTATGTCTTGATTGAGATGATCAGATTTGCAATTATGGAATTGAATCTTACCAGATCTTTGCCTTACTCGACGGATATTTCATTTCAGAAAGCTAGTATAACTTGGTCACTAAGCAGTTATCGACTCATCGTATCTCAATTATCGGAAATGTGAAAAAATATGATGATATGAAGTAAGAAAAAAAGAAAATGAACGAGAGATATCAAAAATATTCCACGGAGGAGAAGTCGAAAATGGAAAGAATCAATTATAATTATATGGCCAGACTAACCTTCCTCAATCAATTAGGGTTAATTGTGGATTTGGGAGAAATTTTCTCATTTCCTCCGTATATATTGATAGGTTCATTTTCATTCATCTAACATTGTCATAGTCACTTCTTTCTGAGACGAAAATAAAAACGAAGAAGAAGAAATGTTGAAATGCTTCAAGGCTTGTGTTATTGATGATGAAGATCCTCGTCGCGTTAGGGAGAACACCCCAACATTCATGGTGAGCAATCTTTAATTCTTAAATTCCTCCCCCTCTTCTTTTATAGTACATTGCGATAAACATAATCGGAAGAAAAGCTTCTTACAATTATGTTCTAGTGATATTGAGATTGAGGTTTAGATAGATCTCTAACAACAGTTCAAGCCTTTTATTTATATTGTTCGAGTTAAATATTGATCGGATTTTATTATATTTTTTTTCAATTTCTTGTTCAATTAAAAGGCATGTGTCATAAGGGTGGATACTGAGCGAAGTCGGTGGCATAAACATGTGAACAAAGTACTCAGAAGCATCCACGGTATGAATTTTGCTAATTAATCAAATTACTTTTATTCACTTTGTAATTTCATGAATATTCTCCATTACTGTAACAAGTGTTTTTTTTTTCCTGATAGAGAAATATAATTTGAATTACTTTTTTTTTTCTTTTAATAGGGTTTATTAGGTCATACCCCTCTGTCCCAAATTAATTGTATGGTTTAAATTTTTATTTTTAATACAATTTGTATTAAGAATGATTTTCTATCTCAACGATCATGAATTTATATGTGTAGGTATACGCCAAGCAGTAATGGGTGACGATGAACTGTTGGAAATATCAGGATACGTGGATCAAAGTTCGCTGTTGAAAGCCATAGAAAAGGCAAAAACGAAAATGGAACTGAAATATATTCAATTTGGACAATGTTCGAGTAATCTTTATGGACCAGACCGTAGACAGTTTCGGAGCCAAACCACGGCAGCTACACCTCCTCCTCCTCCGCCTCCGGCAGCCCACTTCGGCCATCCTCGTATCGGTCGGCCGGCCAGTATTGGTTGGCCTATTCGTTCTCAAGGTCCTCTTCGTCATCCGGGTCAACTGCCTTATAACACAGATATGCCTCCGTTATACTATGATGGTAATGAAGGTTGTCGCATGATGTAAATCACAGTTTTCTTTTTTTTTTTTTTTAACTTTTAGTCGCTAGGTTTTTTTTCCTGCTTTTCATGATTTGAATAAGTACTTCAAGCAAATGATGTTTAGTTCATTTCGTTCGAAGGATTGAAAGTACTGTAGTATAATTTTTTTAAAACGATTGGTGGTTTAACTTTCCATCAATTGGGTTTCACTGATTCTCGTTTTTTTGAAAGGATCAATTTGAATTTTTATGATTTTATCTAGAGAACTTTAATTGTAGCATGCATTTTTAGTCTGAGCATTTTGATTTTGTTTTAGGTTTTACCTAGTATGTATTTTTAGCTGACGAAAAAATCTTAAAAATATATTTTCATATATGTTCTATTCTCTTGTTATAAAATATTTTTGAGGTTTTTCTATCAATTAAAAATGCGTACTATATTAAACTTAGGAAAAATCAAAATGACTTATATTAAAGACCGGAAGGAGTATAACGAAAAGATTATAGCATCAATGCACTAATACAATGAAAAAGAACCGGAGGGAGTATTACGAAAAGATTATAGCATCAATGCGCTGATACAATGAAAAAGAAAAACATTGTGAGCAAGCGATAATGATATATTAGTGATTCCCAAAATGTATCAAGGAAACATGCAATATATTGCCATTCCTTTCATAATTTCTTCTCCATCCATTCCTTGAGGTTTCTTTCAATAAGAAAAGACCCCAAATGCAAAAATTTGCTCTCTTTCATAATTAAATATTGCCATTTCGTAAGTCACAAGCCCATAATCATAAGATATCCGTGGGCCAAAACCCATTAATGTGAATTCATCTGTACCTTCTGGACACAACCCTACAACAGTAGAGGAGATTGTCTCAAATTAAAACGCAAAAACAAAAGAGAGAAAACTCCAATTTGTTTGGCAAACTCCAGGAAGATTATATATCCCCAAGTACTGGACAAAATTGCATTTATCCAGAGACACGCAAACTCGTATAGTGTTGGAAGTTTCATTGTCCAAAGTTTACTTCATCTTATCGGAATAGCTTCGGGACTAAGAGATTAAAGGTCGATTTCTCAAATCTTTGTACTTGTAATTTTCATATTGGCACGTACTAATATAACTATAGCGAGTCGAAACTTCTTCGTTTAATATGTTTTACGAGTACAATTAAGAGATTTTTAAGATAAGATTAAACAAAAATCTTTGCAACGATGATAAATGCAATGTATGTTCAGCTTAAAAAGAAAAGGTATAACTCAAAAGATCCAAATTACTTTAAATTAATTGTTAGGCAATTATTAAGAATCGTGCTCTAATTATGGTTGAAGATGCTAATATTATAACCAACTTTTGCAGTAATCTTGATCAGTCGGAAAAACTCTTAGAATATAACAGAAGCGAAATCTCTCCTTTGATAAGTTAGTTAATAATGACATTAATTAGTTCAAACCTAAGTCACATTCATTTTGATGATACAGGTCACCAGAAACATTAGCAATAAAATGCACCAAAAACTATCCCAAATGTGTATTTACATATATGCACACAACCAAAGATGATGACCCAACAAACACACCAGTTTGGCACAAATAAGATCGAATCCTGTTGATTTCAATTTACACATATTCAAAAAGCAAAGATAAGTAGCTACTTAATTAAGGGCATCGTGATTTGGTACATGCAGCAAACATAATATATAAGTCCTTAAGTTGACGTATTCTAAGAGGGAAAGAAAAAAATCTGGTAAACTAGTAAGAGTAGTAAACGGTTCAGTTCAACTAATCCAATATTTTCAACAAAACAAGTCAATATATAAAGTCACTAAAGTCATCATCCTTTTGGAGGAAAAAGAAACACACCCCCATATGTAACATAAAGTCTTCCTAGTGATAATGTCGACATAACAATCCTTTTCATCAGGAAGTTGCGTCGACGACTGGACGTGGTTGGCAAGTAAGGCATTCACCACTGTTCATAAAAAAAAGGTTTGAGACATCCAACCTATTATTACTACTATTAATCTTTTCTTTTCTTTTCAATTCTCGTCTTTCAATTTACGTTTCAGGTCTGTTACGGTGTTACCTGTTACTCAAACTCGACACTTACAAATTAAATTCTCAATTTCACTACTTTCACAATATTTAAAGGCCGTGTGGGCTATGAGTTAACCCTCCAATTTACTCAATCCTGTCTAGAGCAGCCATTCAAAAACATAAATATTGAAAAAAAAAAAAGAAAAAAGCCCAAATTAGTAATTTTGAAGAAAATCCCGCGTCAACACTGGCGTCTAGTCTACTACTTGCAATTCTTGAAATCACGCCTTTGGTGTGCCCCTCTTTCTCTCTCACTGAAACAACCAAGAACCTTCCTTCCCTTCCCCAGCATTTCCTCCTACTTTCCTCAATTAATTCAACTTCCCATACTTAATATCTCCCACCCACATTTTAGATTCTGCAAATCCCTTTTACCTCTCTTTTTATTTCCTTCCCATTGAAAGAATTATAGTACTCATTATTATCTGATAGAAGGAAAAGAAAAGGAAAAAAAATCATGTCAGTGAACGAAGCAAATGGTCGCCATCATCTTCCCCAGGTGGTGGATAATCCATCGTCGGCGGCGGGGGAGTTGGGTACGGGTCCCAACAAAGGCTTTGCTATGAGCGGGAAGATAATGCTCAGTGCGATTGTGATTCTGTTCTTGGTTCTCATTTTGATGGCCTCCCTTCACTTGTACGCCCGGTGGTACATGCTCCGTCAGCGCCGCCGCCAGCTCCTCCTCCGTCGTAATCGCCGCCGCAACAGTGGAAACCGGAGGGCCCACATCGTGTTCTACGTGGACGGTGATAATCCCAACGCGCTTGTCACTCTGGCCGCCGCCGGTGGAGGGCCTAATTATATTCCGGTTAACAAAGGGCTCGAACCGGCGGTGATCGGTTCGCTTCCGGTTTTTGTTTACTCTTCCAAGACTCAACCGGAGGGGATGGAATGCGCGGTTTGCTTGTCGGAGTTTGAGGAGGAAGAGAAGGGCCGGATTTTGCCCAAATGTAATCATTCCTTTCATACAGAGTGTATTGATATGTGGTTTCATTCCCATTCAACTTGCCCAATCTGCCGGGCGGCGGTTGAACCGGTTCCAAAACAGGATAACAGAGTCGATTCAGTTATTGAACCGGGTAATTCCGATCCTGGGTCGGGTTTATGCGAAACTTGTCAGCACCAGGAACACGCCGTCGCCGCCACCGGCGGCGGCGGAAGTAGCAGTAGCAGCTCAATGCCGCCGCCGTTGGGTTCGAGGAGAAAAGGGTTGCGTTTAAATGATGTCAGAATCGAGGTTCCGAGGAGGGGCGCAACCGAGTTGGACGACGAATTGCCGGTGAGCTCGCCGGCGGGTTACGGGTTCAGGTCGCCCGGAGCTCGGTTACTGTCTTTGAAACGGATTCTGAGCATGGGAAGGAAAACCCCAACCGGGTCATCGTCTTCGGCCGCCGGAACGAGTTGCTCCATGAACGCGGCTGAGCCGGACTTGGAGAATGGAATCTCGCCAGGCGAGTCGACTCGGGTTGCGACGCCGAGGTGAAACGGCGGGAGAAAGACGCCGGAGTCAAACAAAGATAATGTCATGGTCCACGTGGCGACATTGCGACGTGGACACGAGTTGGGACTTAGTGGGCGGTGGTTGACTGGGATGTTTGACTTGTAAATAGAGTTTCAAGCCATTTTTAGAGGGGTAGGGTCATATGGATGGAAATGGAATGGTCAAAAGAAAAATGAAATTTCTAACTTCATGCATTATACAGAATTGTAGTTTGAGAGTAGGAGCTAATTAAGTAGCTAACCATTTTAAACATTAGTATTTGTACTGAAAAATTAACTAAATTTTTTTAAAAATCATGTTATCTGCGTGTGATTAGTATTATCTTACGTCCTAAAAAGGTCGAATTCTAAACTTATAGTTTAACAAACGAGACTCTTTGACAGTGCGACGCTATCAGCATCAGTGTACAAAATGAAGAGAGCATATGGTATGTTTATGATACTTTTTATGTAAAGAGTAGTGCCTTCATATCTTATCTTTAGGCAATAAACTCAAAAGCTTAACAAACAATTAACTATAATTGTACGCGGCCCTATAACAGTTACATGCAGAGGACATTGACTCAAGCAATCAAAAGAGCAAAGACTTAGGTAAGGAAATTGACTCTTGTCGGAAGTAGTACAATACGAATTATTGATATTTTGGAAAATTGAAAAGAATGTGAACTTCCCAAGTAGTTTCAAGGAAATTATTGGGCTGAGTACATTCTCTATCTTTCCAATCTCCGTTGTGTTACTATTATTATTCTTTGTCGACATGCACATACAATCCTTCAATAATTTTGTGAAAGGATCCTGTAATGGAATGGGTTTAAATCTTTTGTTCAGTTTTTTCGGTCCATAAAAATACATAGAATAGCTTTTTACTGTTGTAGACATGAATGTTATCGCAGCCTATAGGGAGTGTGTCTTTGATCACTATTATATGTCCACCCCTTTGCTTGTTGTGGCCTGTGGGGGAACCGGGAATAAGATATCGTTTTTGCAACTTGCACAAGGGATGCAAGACCTTCAAGTGGATCTAGTGGAAATGTCCACTACGTCTTGCTAAATGACCACACGCAAGTTGTACACTCATTTGTAGTTTGTAGTTTGTACTCTTTATCTTTGAGGATAAGGAACGTTGATGAGATCAAGTTTTATTATAAATAAAAATCAGAGGAATGTCTAACTCTACACAAACTAATCGGATGATGCTTGCAGACGAACAAAGTCATTCAAAATAAGATAGCTTCTCCCTCCCGAAATTACTGTGACAACTATCAATTCCCATAGTAAACTTATTTCAAAGCAATGATAGAGACGGAAGTGATACCAGTGTGCTTATGTATAAGGAGAGCAAACAAAAATGGAGGTTTCCTAGTGTGATATATAAGTTGCAATTAAATTTCATATTTACACAGTTCGTGCCATTGAAATAAATACTGGTGTAGTTCATTTAATGGCAGCTTATGTGAAACCTGAAGTTGTTGATTCTTTGTCTTGGCATTCACCGCAACCGCAAGCTTCTTGTTTTAATTAGGACTGGTTGAATTTCAGTAAAGTTAATGAAGTATCTTTTCTAAAATTGACTCTATATTGTGGCACTCAAACTTCTTATTTTAGTCAGAACTAGTTGAATTCCTGTAAAGTTAATGAATTATTTTTTTAAAAAAAAACTCCTTTCTTTATTTTAAGGTATTTTGATTTCTCCTAAATTTCATCTAGTATATTCTTAAAATAAAATTCCCATGTCCTTATTCTAAGGCATTTTAATTTTAATTGAAAATAAAATCTTAAAAATGTATGTTCACATTTATTATGTTTTCTCAATTATGATAAAATCTGTTTAAGTTTTTATTTCCGATCGGAGTAAAATACTAGATGAAATTTAACACAAATTAAAAAGGAATTGATATATTGAGAACAGTTTTGTTATATTGAGAGCAAAATTTTATTTATTTCCTATGTCACCCTCGCATAAGATTTTGAGAAAATTATCATGTTTATTCCCTTTTTTCATGCCTCATTCTCGGCGGTTCTTCTTCACCACGAGTGTTCTTTGTGCTTCTTTTTCAAGCACCATTCATCTATGATGTCTTAAATTACTGTTTGGACTCAAACCAAACAAGTTCCGACTTCTTTAAATCTATTTTTCATGGAGTTCAATTTCTATTTTCTTGGTTCAATAGAGCCGACCGAAGCATCATCCCTATATTTAGTTTTCTGGGCAATTCTCCCTTTTAATAGGTGTTAAATTCACGCAGCAATTTGTTTAATTAGAAAACTGGACATGTAGAAATTGGAATCGAAATAATAACTTGTGTAGCTGAGGGTGGAGGAGGGGGTAAATTTGAATGAACCAAGTAGGCTGGGAGAATTTTGAACTTGGATCGGGTGGAAAAGGGGCTGGAAGGTTAGTTTGTCAAGGATGCTTAGAATTGAACTTTTTATACGAAGGAATTGAGCTTTTTAAGCTACATAATTATTTGTTATTTGATTCGAGGCTACTTATTATGCGAAGGAATTGAGCTTTATATTGTCTAAATCATGTTTATGTTGAATACTATCATGGCTAAAGATCAGTTTTGAGGTCAGTTTTTATGATAAATGATAAGTATTTCTATGTTTCGGTATTTTTCAATTATTGCATGTGCCTAACAATACAAAATCTTAGTATCAATGGCATTAAAGGCTATATGAAACCTCACAAGGGATAATCCTTATGTGATGATTCTAATGAATGATTTAAGTTCAGTTCCTTTGATTAAAGATATTTGTTGGAAATTTTACTTGATGAAGTAGTTTACAGTAGTGATTCTTTTGTTGAAACTTTTATTTCGAAGTAGTTATTTAGAGGTTTGTGAAGATTTCAATGTAAAAAATAGTTTACTTTAAAGATTAAGTTGCTGCAAATAAGGATAGACCGAGGAAAGTATGTATGGACAGAATTCAAAGAAAATAAGCTAGATATATGGCTTTTATAATTTCAAGGGGAATTTAGGAAGTTGATAAAATTTTGCTTTCAATCTAAAAAAAACTGCTTTCAATATATCAGCTCCCAAATTAAAATGATTTCTTGTAAAGAACGGAGGGAATATAATAGTTATATATGTAATTAGTTAAGTTAATAAAATTAATATATGTCGAATCGGTTTTAACTTATATACTCAATGAAAGTATACTAAAGGTATGTTTGTTTCGTTTTTTTTTTGTGTTTTTAGGTGTTTTTTGTATTAGGAATGTAAAAAGGTGTATTGAAAATGTAAAAAGGTAGGATGAGATGGGACAGTTAATAATATAATAATTTTTAAAAAATTAAAAATTAAAACAAACAAAGCCTAAGTCGTTGGAAACCACAGTAGACTTCACGTAACTAGTGATGCAAACACGTTGTTAAACATGATTATTCAAAAATGATCAATAGAGTCAGAGTTTTGGATTTATTTTCAAAAACTATTTTATGAGCAATTTGATTGAGTTGGTTGAATAGTCAAATCACGTCAAGCATAGCTGGATCAGCTATAGGATTTTTCAACGTGTACGAAGAAGAGAGAATTATCTTTAATTAAGTTGACTCCATTCCCATCTTTCTTAACAATGTCGAAATTTATAATTAATCCTCCACATTAATACACGAACTAACTATATTTTGTCTTAAATCACGAAATAAAATTTTAAATTAGGTCAAGTCAAAGGTAAGTTGAAAATCGCTGGATATGGCTATCACGTTTTAGTGTGGAATCGTTGAAGATTGTCGCATCTGTTTTGGATTATGGGCCTTCGATTAGGCATCATCTCACCTCCCCGGCGTAAACGTAATTGATTTCCCAAGCTATCGTTTTCTCTGAGTTACAAAATTTGCATTTGTATGGACGTAATAAAAAATAAAAACATATTATCCGAAGAAATTCATATGAAGTATAAACAAAATAGCACAAAGAATTATTGAAACTGGAGTTCGCATTAACAAGTGATGCTATTGATTTATTGAAATTATTTGCATGCACTAATCCAACTATAGCTGAACTAGTTAAAGATAATACAAACATCATTACTTACTTTTACCTGCTTCATTCTGTCCCAAAATTATTGTCCAGTTTTAATTTTCTCTTTAATTTTTTGTACTGAAAATAAAAATCCAAACTGAACAATAATTTCGGGACAGAGAGTACCATTAAAATTATGAATCATATGGTTCTAAGTTTATAGTCTACCCTCTTACAGTCAGGCAGCTAAATTCGCGTAAATTTACAATCTAAATCCTACTACTGGTTCGTCTCGAAGAATGAATCGCGATTTTCGCCATTTTTTCACCTTGAGGAGTGAACCTACTAGTAACATTTGAGTTATCAATCTTTATTACAGAAAATCTTGGAAATTGAAAATGCAAATGGTCACTGGAACGGTTTCTTCGACACCCAGGCTACTTAGTACGTAATTCTAGTAGTAGTTCAGAAACTAATAAACCAATCTGTATACTGAGAAGATGGCTAGGCAACAAATAAACTTGGGAAGAAAGGATAAGGTGAATGATGGGATGTCAGGTTGAAACATGTTTATAGGGAGAAGAATTTCTCCGGTGATTATCTAGCATTCCTGGTGGCGTTGAATCTAGTCGAATTATATAAATTGGATTCGATATCATCAAGAGTCATAACCTTATTAGATTATGATGTAGTAGGGGTGGCTAGAACGTTGTAATCTAGTCTACTTTGCTTACAAATCCTCCTATTATCGAAAAAAAAAAAGAAGGGAAAAGGTGAATAAAAATTATGGTGCATAAAGCAATGGCTAATTCTCTCCTTTGGTCTTCTTCCATGAATTTAACTTTTTTCTTTCTTTCTTTTGTAAGACCCGCCTATGACCGATTTGACCCGTTCGGCAAAGTCCGGCTACGTATTTCGTTGGTGTGAAAATTAATGCACGAATATTTTTTCCCCGACCTCTAAACATATATCAATATTTTCTTTTCCTTATTGTGTACCAAATTTTTCTTCTCTTTTTAAAGTCGCATTTTGGTAATATATTTATGCTATTATATTTTTTGTAGTAACAAAGAATTATTATTATTTTCTTTTGGGGGGATAGGGAAAAAATGTAATCGTGCATATCTTTTTACTCATACTAGCGATATGAATAATAGAAACATTAGTGTAAAAACTAATCAACACTATAAATCGGAAAATAATATTTTGAAGAATATAGTTTTTATTTTTGAGCTGGGGCGGAGCTAAGCCCCGACTCTTAGGTGGGGCGAAAATTATATATGCAAATGTTACTGGAGCAAGATTCTATTTATGTTTAAATTTATAGGTATATTTTTTTATTTTAATCACAGATTATGGGTAGTTCAAAAATTTTGACCTTGGGCTGTTCTATATGTGGCTCCGCCGCTGTTTTTGAGGATAACCAAAAAGTCATATCTCATTGATATGGGGGGAAAAAAATAATATCATGCATATCCTTTATACATGTTCGATGAGAAAAATAGAAACCATTAGTGTAAAAATTAATTAATACTACAAGCTTTTTTACAAGAATGTTTTAGAATGATGGTGATAGAATAAGTATATTTTTTTCCGGAGTTATTAATAAAGAATCATATCCTTTTGGGACAGGAAGAAAAAAATATATGTTCAGGCATATTTTTTTTTATACATGTACGGTATGTACGGTAAGAATAATAGAAAAATTTGAGTACAAAAAACGAATTTAAATGAATATTCTAAAACAGGCAATAATACTGTACCAAAAGAAAAAAAAAATCGGGATATTATGTTTGTTTCAAATCTTGCATGCATGGGAATGGAAAGTTACAATGCTTTTGAAATTGGCTGACTCATTTCTGAAACATTTCTTCAAGATTCTCTAAAATTTTCTTTCTTCTTTTACACAAACCTTAATGAAATCAATTCGATTCTAACCATTTTTTAGCCCCGTACCTAGGGTTTTTTTTTTTTTTTCCTCTTCCTTCGTCTCCAAGAACCTCCTCAATAAATACCACCCTCTCCAACACCAATTTTCCTCACCCCCAAAATCAGACCTTTTTCCTTCTTCAATTCTCTGTATCAACTTCTGTTTTTTTTCTAAGCTTTTTTGCAATGGCGAAAATCCATCCAAGTTTGAGGGTTCTTATGTTTCCATGGCTAGGTCATGGACATATTTCTCCTTACCTTGAACTAGCCAAAAAACTCTTTGCTAAAAACTTCATGGTTTACTTGTGTTCCACCCCGGCAAACTTAACCTCAGTGAGATCGAAACTCAGCGAAGAAGAAGAGTTCAATGAGTCAATCAAACTTGTTGAACTCGAATTTGAATCGCTTCCGGAACTTCCACCTAATTATCACACCACCAATGGACTCCCACCCCATCTGATGCCTACTCTCAAAGAGGCCTTTGATTGTTCTGTTCCCGAGTTTCTGGACATTCTCACTGATTTGAATCCTGAATTGCTCATCTACGACATCCTCCAGCCTTGGTCCGCGGTCGCGGCGTCCGTTTCCGGCATCCCGGCGGTTGAGTTCATCACCGGAAGCGTCGCAATGACTGCGCTTGGCTATCACTCTCTTGTGTCACCACCAGGTACGGAGTTCCCCTTTGAGAGCATTTTCTTTCGCGATTACGAATCGGCTTTGAGAGAGAAATTGTTTGTGCATGACAAAGATTCACAATCTTTCACCCAATGCATTGAATGCTCTAAAAAAATGATCTTAGTTAAGAGCATTGCGGAAGTTGAGGGAAAATACATTGATTATTTCTCGTCCCTAACTGGAAAAAAAGTCATCCCTGTTGGTCATTTGGTTCAAGAACCTAACTTTAATGATTATGTTGATAAGGATTGTGAATCATGGATTTTCTTAACAAGAAAGAAAAGGGTTCAACCATCTTTGTTTCTTTTGGGAGTGAGTACTTTTTGTGTGACAAAGATTTGTTGGAAATCGCTTATGGTTTGGAACTTTGTGATGCTAATTTTATTTGGTTGATTAGATTTCCAAAGGGAAACGAAACTTCCCTTGAAGAGGTCTTGCCAAAAGATTTTCTCATTAGGGTTGGGGATAGGGGAAAAGTTGTGAATGGATGGGCGCCACAAGCAAAAATTCTGACTCATCCTAATACTGGCGGATTTGCTAGCCATTGTGGTTGGAATTCTGTTCTTGAAGGCATGAAATTTGGGCTTCCTATCATTGCTATGCCAATGCACCTTGACCAACCTGTCAATGCTCGTTTGATTGAAGAACATGGAGTCGGGATCGAGGTTTTGAGAGATTCAAGTGGCAATCTTCAAAGGGAGACAATTGCAAACGTTATCGATAAAGTGGTGAAAGGAATTGATGGAGAGAAAGTTAGGGAGAAGGCAAAAGAGATGAGCAAGAAGATTCAAAACAAGGGAGAGGAAGAGATTGATAATGTGGTGGAAGAGTTGGTACAACTCTGTTTCGAGAAGGATTATTATTAAGTTCTAGCCTACATTAGGTACTTTAATAGGCAATTGCAGTTTATTTTTCTCTTGTAGTGTGAGTGACCATCAAGCAAGTAATAAATGTGTTGTTTTTCCTTCTTAGTGTGATGATGGTTAGGACTTAGAACATCATCATCTTCAGGGCGTTTGTTTCTCTTTTGTGTTTTCAGTTGGATATGTTGTTCGAGTTTGGAATAATTTTATGGCACTCACTTTACTACTACAATAAATAAAGCTATTTCACTCTGATGTGTTAATCTATTTTTCTTTTCTTTTTTTTTTCCCTGTGCTTCATGCTGCTTGGTATTCGCTTTGTTTTTCTCAGTACGAGCATAACATCTACCCACTTCGAATTAACGAGATAAAAAATGTTCGTAGCCAGGGTTCAACTGTTCAAGAATTCCCAATTGTAAACAAGGGAAAAAGGAAGAAATCAATGAAAATGGTCAACAAATGTCTGCTTAAATTATTTGCACTAATCCAATTACAGCGGTTAAATGAAGATGTTACAAACATCAGTCCTTACATATTACATTCATATGCTGAGAAATTTTCTAAGTTTTGAAGTCAATGACTAGAAAAAGTCAGCCAACCCCTCTTACCAGTTAGGCATCTAAATTCGTACAGGCTAACGCTGTCTTCTAACAATCTAATCCTATACTCATTACTCATGCAACATATCATTTGTGAATTTTCACTAACTATACTGGCTCGTCCCGAAGAATAAACCGTGATTTTCGCCTCTTTTTACCTTCAGGAGTGCATCTACTAGTAACACCAGGCTTACCAATTTTTATAGAGAACCTACAACTTGAAGTGGATATTGAAGGTGATACTATGGTCACTGGAATGTTTTCTTTACCAGCAGGCTGCTTATTGTAATCTTTTGCGCGTCCTTTCTGTGAGTTAGCTCTCTTCTTCGTTATTCGTGGCATGAGGCCATCACTTTGCTGCTTGTTCCGAAGGAGATTCACATAAAAGGTATTCTCAGAAGTGTAACATATATGTTCCCCGCGACTGCCACTCTTTTCCAGCTCAACATCTCCATTGTTTACCTGTTTAGATAGAGGAAGAACAATGTTAAATCTAATCGCTATCATGCAAAAGGGGAGGTGTTCATTACATCTGTTGCACAAAGTATAAGGATGTGCTCTAATAGGGAAAAGCCCACAACTTTTTGGATAAGAAATGTACATGTAGGGGCAAAATATCAATCAATTTCATCTTACATCTGGATGGATGCACTGAAAAAGAATTGTATCTCTACTTTGTGATATTTCCCTTCATGAAATTGTACTGAAAACTACTTTCTGAAACATTATAGTCCTGGACAAGAGATTACCAATTGCAGAAGAGCAGAAAATGTCCGCGCGACATCATGCTTTTCTTGGCCTTTGACAACATCATTAAAAGCCATGGAACTCCCATTGTGTCTTTCCGTATGGAGCTTTTCCAACACCCGTTCACCATACTCGTGGATATCAAAAGGCGGTCGTGAGTCCTACGAAGAAGCAATTTATGTTATGTCACAATAATGGTTGACCAATTCTGCGACAATAATACCAGGAAAACTAAAGTATACAAATGAAAAAAGGAGAACTATGAAGCCCAAACCTGCTCTTCCAAGTTCTCCTCAATTCTTTGTTTCCATGTCGAAACTCGGGCAGCCATTTCGGTCTGCTTCTCAGTTTCTGCAAGGTTGGCAAGCAGGGAATCCTATGCAAGAAAACAAGCTTTCACGTTATGTATTCCACCAGTTATGATTATAAAGCAGTTCCCCAGGAAAAAAAATTCTAACAAACAACAGGCAATGATATCATGGATCCATCTATATAGACTAGTGATCCTGCATCTTCTTATTGCAAAAATTAAAAGGAGACTGATCACAGATATACGGTAGTTTCTAAAATGCGGACACAGCGCAATTTTTAAATGCAGCAGGTGGAGAAATTATTAAAACACTCTTTAACAATAAGATGGTGGAAACTAGAAACCACACAATAAGGTCTCAATTCACGGAGGTTCCTATGAAATACTGTCTTAACCCTCTCTCTATCCCTCTTTGGAGAATTAAAGAAACTGCCATGTTATGAAACCATGCCTACTTGCACCAAAAATCAATTTACCAAGGAGAAGGTTACTATACTTTACTGAGATATCGAGACTTACCAAGTGGGAGCGACAAAGATCTTCAAGGCTTTTATTAGAATTGGGATCTTCATAAGTGTAACCATCGTTTAGGTGAGTATTGCTTTCATCCTGCATGAGAAGTGAGAATTGAAAACTCTAGCAAAGTTTTCTGCCTCAACAATATAGCAACATTGCATCCATAACTTCATACACATTTAAACTATTCCAACCTCGTCATGTTCAGGTGCATCTTCATTGTTATCTGGAATGTCAGAATCTGGAAGATCGCCTCCTGCATCCTCACTGTCAATGCCATTATCCATGTTCTCAGCTGAACTTGAGAAAGCATTGAACCCTTGCTTCCCACCTTGAACAAGTGATTCCCGAAGCTGCAAACAGCACTGTTTCAATATAAAGCAAGTTCAATTAAAAGAACAGATGAGACCACTAACCAACCTTCTCGTACAGCGAAAGGACTTGTGGTTCTTGTCTTTGAGAGATGGAACATTTTGCTTCCCACATTTCAATGAGTTCTGCACTAATGGGACCATCCAATCTTGCAATGGGAAACTCTGCCGTAAGAGGGTTATATTTCCGTGAATTACCTCCCTTCCTTCTAGTAACTTTCCCTGCTTGGATCATAGTGCACATTGGCTCAGTAGGCAATCACACGAACTGACAGAAGATTTAGCAAAAAGAAATCAGAATATCCATTGACCTTTTTTATAAGGTTTGACTTTCAAATTCCCTGGTTCATGGGGATTAAGAGGTTTCCATGGATCTTCACCATCCGAATCATCTGAAAACCCATTATGCACATCAAAGTCACCAACATCTTGGTCAGGAAAATCGTCGGCGGGTGGAGAATTCTCAACTCCACAATCATTAGATTCAAAACCATCAACCAGCGGAGACTGGTTGATATCAGTATGCAGGCTTTTTTGAGCTGACAGCTTATGGCCAGTGCCTCCAGAACGTCCATTTGGAGATAGAAAGCTCTTGTGACTTTTGGAATTCGAAGAGATCCCCAAGCGAGCATCAGAATTTAGTTTTCCAGATTTATTTTGACTGTTCAAAAACTCATTGACTGCTACGGCATCACATGAGTCTAATAAAACAAAATCCCGAAAAAGATCATTGGTGGCCAACTGCAATTTCCCAAAACAGCAACATGTACTTAGAGCAAGATCATTCTAACATTATACCATATGTTCAATGCTTAACAGTCTTTACCAGATAAGACTCTAGCTCGCCAGCATCTCCAATAGCATCTAAGCAGTCGCCTTCAAGTACAACCAAATTCGCCGGGGGCCTCATTAAATAATTGACTTGAGCATCTTTGGCGTTTGCACCATCTAATGAGTTCTTCGCTTCAGCTGTAAAACACAACATTTTAAGCTAGCAATGTGGGCAACACTTTAATCCATGTTGCAACAGTTTGATGAATACAGAGAATGGCTACCTGGAATATCATCCAAACCCCAGAACTTATCATTTTCCTCATCATGAGTTTGCAAAACACTTCCTTCTTGGCTTGAAGTACTTGCACCGGTTGCTTGCTCTTGAGAACTATCAACATGTGACACAAAAAAGAAATCTAATAAAATTTAACACATACTAGATTTCAGGACGAAATATAACTATTGTCACGAGAAATCTTAGAAGATTGATTTTTGGCCATCAGTTGTTTACTTTTCAAAATGCAATACACTAAGGTGCTAAGGTTGACAGCTCTAAGGTGCTTCAGGCTTATATTTAGCCCTAGGTTCTAAATCATCTTCCTCTGTTCTTTTCTTCTTTATGTTTGCAGCTATTAATAAAAAAGAAACTACAGGAATGAAAATGTTTCAACCAATGACAGTACGACGATGAATATGGCAAATAGATATAGTAATCGACAAGATACAGAAATGTTTAGCTTAAACGATCTGATTTAGTATATAAATTGTTTGTACTGAACAGACCAACTCATAGATGCTTTACCGTATTACATGACCCATCGGCACACATGAAATGAACTTTAGGAAACTCAAGTTCTAATGAGAAATTAAGAGGTTTCCTTAATTTCGTTGAAATTGTGAAAGAAAACAACATGCATTACAGAATGGCAAATGCAAACTAATAGGCAGATAAAAGAATGTGCATTACCAGTACCTAATACGATTTGACTATAGGCTTCAAACGTCCACTAAATATAATAAAATTCCTGGAATGTCATTCCACAATAGTCTTTAAAATGGCCAGAAAGGTTCTCACCTAGGTCTTGAACTCAAGAGCATTAAAAGTGCTAAACTTTCATGGAATATAACTATCATTCAATCCACACCAACGTAACAGAACACTAAATTATACATATTCTCACAATTTAGTGACCAGGGGTCCAAAATGTAAGATTCAAATATCAATAGGCCATAATTCACCGAAAATATAAATATAAATAAATTAACCAATATAATAAAACATTAAAAATTTCAAAGGGAAGAAAAAATGGGGAGAAAGAACAAACCTCTTCCTGGAAATGAACTCCAAAGTATGCAAAACCAGAGAATATAAATATTCCACCTTTCTACTGTACACTTGCACTGAACCCTGAAGCAGCAATGCAGCTACAAAACAATCACTCAATTAGAAAATGGAAATCAATAAAAGGCCCAAATTTAACTATTTTTGAAGATGGGGTAAATGTATGCGTTTACCTTCAGCAAAATTTACTGAAAGTTGAGGAACGTCGTGGCCGCCTTGGGAGGAGGAGCCGATTTCACCGGAGCAAATCTTGAGCAAATACTCTTCGAGATTCTTCGCCAAATCAACTGCCCAGTTGGTTTCGAGGTCACGGTGAGGCTGCACGACGGTGTGGAACCTCCCGCCGGATCCGGGTTCGGATTCGGGTTCTTCTGCTGGAGCTTTGTTCATTTTTGCAGAATCAATTGAATCGAAACGTCCATTACTGACAGGCCCTTCACAGCTTCAGAATCTCCTCGTCATCTCAACTCAAAAGCCCTAATATTTGGGAAATTTTGGGAAGGCTATTATGAACAGTAGCGAAGGAGAGAAGAAAACCGGATTGAATTTGAGTGTGTGACTGCGTGTGTTTTTTTGGGGGGACCGCTTTTTTTCTCTCTCCCTATTTTGGGTGTTTTGGTTTTCAAAATTTTTAAGAGATGGATTTCCCGCTTGGTTTTTCGTCTTAACGGGCCCGGCCTGGCGCTTGTTCCCTGGCCTACTTGTCATATTAAATTAACATAAAGCCTGGTCCTGCAACCCAATGCGGACTGTCTATTTATTTTTTAAACTATAATAGATTGAGGAAAAAAAATACTCATTCCACATAATTAATTTACATTACCATTTGTGAAGTGTATATTTCTAGTAATGAAATTTATAAATTATTATAATGTAAATTTCTTTTGAGATAGAAGAATATATCTATATTCACGATCCGCGATCTATTTCAAGGAAATACTTACGAGACTTCGACTTAGGAGCTCCAAAACTCTTACCCTTGTTGTCGCGACTTACGGTTTCTTCCTTGACATGGCCATAAAGCAAAAAATTAATACATTTTAAATTAAATCATATTCAATTTGTCCCAAGAAAAAAATTTATTTTGTTGGAATACTTTTCTGTTATAAGAATATAATTCACATTAAATTTTGAAATCATATTAAAAATAACACGAATCTCAAACTCAATATCAATTATTTCTTTAATGACAGAAAGAGTACTACTATTTTACTTTTTTGAAACAGTGATAAACATTGTTGTTTCATTGGCGACTTGGCGTTGTTTTATTTATGTATACTTTTTTTTTTACAGTTAATAAAGGTTATAGTTTTGAAGGAGAAGAAAAAACACCCATAACCAAGGAGCTTGTATCATGCATATGATTTTTAATATTCTAGTTCGAAATTCTAATAAATTATTATAATTTTACCAAAAAGATTTTTTTTTCAGAGTATGGGTGGAAAAGGTGTTATAACTGTTAATTAGGATTTTAGATTAAATAGATATTTGAGATTAATGATGATATCAATTTCAATTATGAAAATTATCATATTTAATGCGTATTATCTTGCAGTTATTATTGTTTTAGTGGAGTGATAAGATTCATAAATACACATTATGATTAAAGTTAATAGTAGATGAAATTTATTTTAAAAGTTTAACTAATTAATTATTACATTTTAATGAATGGCCAATGATGAATTGATATCTGTCAATTAATGGTTTAACTGAATGACACATGCCATTTCATCAAATATCCTTTAATATATATCTTACTATATTATAAACAAAAACCACACTTATGAGAAATCACCATTTGCCATGTGGCAGTTCTACATCATATTTTTAAAAGAAATTTTTATTTCCACATCTCCTAGACTTAAAAGGCAAATGCAGTCTAAATTCACCTCCACCTCCTATTTTCGCCAAAAAAAAACCACGGCTTCATAAAAAAATCCAAATCCTCATCCCCATCTCCACGACAATCGATTCCCTAATCAATTTCTTCTCCACAATTAAAAAAAATAAATTCCTCATCAATCATCAATCATCAATTGAGAGTATGTGGTGAAATATACTCCTGTCCTATTAGCATGTTCAATATTTTCATTAGTGATAATCAACTACATCCTAATCGGATAAAATTTCAACTTCAAAAAATATTCTCTTTACCTCTCTATAAAATTTTAATGGGCTATCTTTTACTCTTTTTGTTTATTTGCCATGGTGAGGTGAGTTCTTTTTTGCTATATCTTGAAACCTATGCAAATTTACATTATTTTCATTCTCATATTTGTGCTCAACCAGTTTCAACAATTAACCAGTTTTAAAATCATATTTTTGATATTTTACTACCTATAAACTTTTGGAAGAAATACTTCCAACAATTAACCGTATACCTGTTGGAGGAAGCTAACTACAAAGCTATTATAAATCTCCAAAACTAAGTATAGATTTGGCACAACCAATGGAGAACATCAATAAATTATCTTACTAATATTTAAACTTATTAGGATGTTTTTATATTTTGTCTAGCATTTACTTCAAGACATATATTTGATCAAGTTTATTTATATTTAAGAAGTAACACTTATAAAATATTTCTAAAATCTTCAAGCATTTCTAAGATGTACCGGGCCAAATACAATTTATTTTTATGCCAAATACAAACATCACACTTATAAAATATTTCTAAATTTTTCAAATATTTTTAAAATATATCGGGCCAAATACAAAATATTTTTTTTCCAGATACAAATATTTCTAAGATCTACAGATATAATGGGCCAGGGTCGCGCATTGTGCGACCAGACATCACAAGTATATATATATATATATATATATATATATATATATGTTTAGGATTGTCAAATTAGTTTAATTTTACACAATAAGATAATTATTGCAAACATAGTATGAAGGTTATATGTACTCATATAGACTTCATTGATTATCAATTTTAGAAGCATAATCTTTTATCCCAAAAAATAAGAATTCTTTGTGATATTAAAACAGTTCACCAAACAATTAATATGAAATATTTTCATTTTAATAACAGCCTCAAAATAAGGCTATTATTTCGGTTGCGAGGGTATATGAAATATCAAAACTATATACTGTTTTTATTCAAACTGGACCTCAGAACCGGACGTGTATGGTGCCTATCTACGTAAACAGCTAACCCTAATACTGCATAAATGTCATCAGCATCATAATTTCCTCAAATCCTCTCTTTGAGGTTGATAAGCTCTCTCTCTCTTTGGAAAAAAGCCATTTGCTAACCCTATTACTTTACATGATATTGGAACTTATATTACTTCAGTCCCAATTTTTTTTTTTAAAAAAAAACAAAAACATTTAAACAATTGTGCACATTTCTATACATGTATACAAATTTTTGTAACTCTTTGCTCTACTTGGTTCGCTCCCCGCTCATATTTCATATTTCAAAGGGAGGCTGCAGGTAGCCAGTGCTTGCCATGGATGAAGTCGAGGGAGATGAATGGTGCAACTTCTTTGTCACTGAGTTGTTTTGACCATGGAGCCCTATCTTTTGGAGTTGACCCTGGACCATGGCAATTATATTCTGCATGGTGTACATGGCTGCTCCATTTTAACATTACCAAAAAAAAAACAAGAAAATTCATAAGTTTCTTCAATTAGACACATATATTCAAGGTTGGGAAAAATAGAAAAGTCGTGTAAATTATGATAAACGTGACTTTTTTGTTGGGACGGATTGATGTAACTTACTTTGTGCTTCCAGCATAGCTCCAGTTAGTCCACCCTTGAGGAACAATGCTCCTAGACAAATAAGTGTTTGCAAAGATCACTCTAGAAAAGGCGTCTTTAGCTCTCCCCAAATAAACATTTCCATTACCAACACCATATATTTTCCCCTTCACAAACACAAATCCACTGTTTTCACCAGCACTTTTCCTGCTGTGTGCTGCGATTGAGCCATGAATATCAACCCTCCTGTCTCCCACAACAAAGATCTCACATTTCTGCAAATTAAATATCAATTACATTTCCATTCATGGATATTACTTGTAAGTAAATTGCGCACTACACATAAGATCATCTGCTTTGTGTTCCAACTTTATCACCAACTCTCTTTTTAACGTATGTTAAACTACATATCCCTTATATTACTATCTCAATATAGCTATTACTTCATGAAATTAATGTCATATATATACTGGGAAAACAACAAGATTTAGTGTGATGTGTGTGTCTAGATAGTATTCCATCTGTCCCGAAATTATTATCCAGTTTGAGTTTTCATTTTTAGTACAAATTAAACTAAATGTGTAAATCTAAATTGGATAATAATATCGGAACAGAGAGAGTAATACTTTTCAATAATAAGCTATCGATAGTAAACTCGCTATCATGTTGTTAAGCAAGTCTTAATTATTTGATACAATATAAAAAAAAAATGTGAGTTTTTTTTTTTTTCCGATACAGCTGTTGATGTAATAACACAAGAAACCACTTCGTTTGCACATGGAACACAGCATACATGAATCAACGTATCATATGAAAATTGATTACGGGTTTGAAAATCAAGAGCTACGCACTTACATCATAAATTGATCGAGCCCGTCCAAATATCAAGTCAACAGATCCTTGAATATAACAATTGTGATAGTAATGCCTTCCTTTATAATCAAATAGAGTGTTGTGTGTGCTAAAGAATCCACAATCGTAGAATGCTATTTTATCACCTCCAACAAATGCTGCCACATGTGCGGCATTAGCCACCCCATTTGGACCCTCATTCTACAATAATGTCACAATAATAATAATTAACCCAACCAAAAAAAAAGAAAGAAAATAAAATGTCATTAAACGGTCATTTGAAATCGATTAGGCAAAAATGTGCAGAAAATAAATGTATACCTTGAAGCTAATGCCAAAGGCGATGAAGTTCTGGGCTTGAACTTTGAAGGTTGCGGATTGAAATTTATTGTGGGAGCTCTCAGTCCATATAATCGATGTCTTTCCTTTCCCATCGCCTCTCATGAATATGTAGGGTTTGTTACGTGGAATATGCACATTTTCTCTGTAGTTGAAATCAATTAGATTGTAACTTTACATTTTTATCGTAAACTATAAATGATCGTATATTGTAATAAAAACACAACTTTGAGTATATATGATTATGTAATTAAAAACATGACATAAATGACCGTATTTGTTTGGCACTACGTGAAGCTTCCATTTTTGGTATCACTAGGGTGAAGGTTTTTACGGAATGTGAAATGCTCACTCTTGATTTCAATCAAATACCAATCCCGACGGAAGCTCAAAAATCATTGTTTTATTATGTAATCTAATTTTGAGTTTTTCGTTCTGTAAAATTTTTAAAATTAGTAGACTAAATGTAGATGAAGTTCATAAATTAGCATATAATAAAATGCATTGTAATAGAGTAGGTTCTTAATATAAATAGAAACCTTTTCAAAAAAAAATAAATTATGACATTACTTGTAAATGCCTTTCCGAACATGGATAATGATCCAATTGGAATTGCCTTCTGGAACAGAATCAATGGCAGCTTGAATGGATTTAAAGTCCGATCCTTCTCCATTAACATTAACCCTAATCGTTTGATTAGCAACAATCTTCTCTGTTAAAAGCTGAGAGTCAATCACTTTTGGATCTCCCGCTATGAACAATCCATTTACGTAATAACAATTCTGAAAAAGGACATGACACAGAAATAGAATCACCAAGGAGGTTTGTGCAACATTTGTTAATGATGATCTAATCAGAGAAGATGATGAAGATGAAGGCATCATTTAATTTTTTTGGGGTTAGTTTTATGTTTTTTGTTGTTTAATTATGATGAATTTATATAATAGTTTTGTGAATTATTCAGCTGTGAGAATTGTTGGGGGAAAAATTAACAGTGAATTATGAGTATATCTAAATTGGAGGGCCTCCAACAGTCGCTGTGTGGTTGTAATCCAACAATAAATTAGACCCCATTTCTATCGCAAATTGCATGCATTATTGATTTGGTTAATGCTTCGGTTGGGACTTTGGGGATTGACTTATTAATATTATCAATTTTATTTTTTTCCCGAATCAATTTTATTAGTAATTTTTTTTAGTTTTTGAAACGGGAAGAGTATTAATGTTTTTTCTTACATCTATATTGTCATCTTGATATACTAGTGATGTCTGGTCGCGCAATGCGCGACCCTAGCCCAGTCTATCTGTAGATGAAATATTTATATTTGAAAAAAATAAAATTTTGTATCTGGAGCGATATATTTTAGAAATGTTTGAAGGACTTAGAAATGTTTTATAAGTGTGATCATAGAAATATTTGTATTTCACAAAAAAAAAAAGAAATTATTCTTGCCATGTATGTTTTAGAAATGTTTTAGAAATGTTTTATAAGTGTTACTTATTAAATATAAATAGACTTAATTGAATATATGTGTTGAAGTAAATGTTAGACAAAATATAAAAGCATCCTAATAAGTTTAAATATTAGTAAGATGATTTATTGATGTTCTCCATTTGTCGTGCCAAATTAATACTTAGTTTTGGAGATTTTTAATCATCCAAAGGGTATACGCTTAAAATAAAATTGGCACTTTGTAACAAAAACCTAATTGATCAATTCAATTTAGATTCCATAATTAAGAAAAGAAAACCACTCTAATTGAATGAAACATAAAGAAAAAATTATTAAAAAAAAACGCGTCACGTAAATGCAAAAAAGGGTTTGATAGTCATAGTATTATTATTATTTGATTAATTTTTCCCGGATGAAATAATAATGACGGACGACCAACTACTAACTGATATCCTCTTAGAAATCCCGTCTTCGCTGCCACAAACATATATCTCTATCACAAGATATCAACCTTTACATGCAAGCAAAAAAAAAAAAAAACCTTTACATGCATTATGACTTCTTCAAACACCAATAATTCATCGGGCGGTTCTGAATGTACAAGATTAATATACTTGGCTTTCTCTCTACATACTTTTTCGGTCTCAAAATAATTATTATAACAATTATTTTAAGATAAAAGAAATAATATTATATATAAACATACAACCCATATATAGACTTAACTTGGGCTTAAGAAAAAGAAGACTATCTTTTTGCCAAGAAATTAAATGCTTCAATGTCCTACAGGATCATGCAACGAGAGAATATAATTGAATAAAAATGCATGTTAGCTGGTGAAAATTTTGTTGTCTTTTTTTTTTCACCTGACAAGGCGTGAGTTTTTTTCACCCAGAAAAAATTTTTTAAAAAAATTAAAAGTATGTCTGCTCGATTTTAAACGTTAATTAAATGTAGGTAGTAAATCTGCACGAATGTAGGTTTGGCTGAATTTGTGCAACAGTTTATCCTGATAAACTTACAAACTCAAAAGTGAAAATCCAATTTTCCTTCAATAAGAAAAAGAAATTGACAAGAGGGACTAATGTACACTAGCTAGAAAAGCTTTTGAAACGCTGGGAACAACATTAAATTAATCAGTTCCATTTCTAGAAAAATGGAGAAAAAGGAGGCTTGTTTTTTTTTTTTTTTGGTTGGTCGACTCACCAATTCAATTAATGCACACGTTCATCAACTATAAAGCTACATGGAGTAATTAATTTTCCAGCAAGACTCACTATATGCATAGGATTATACTACAAGAAAAGCTAAAGAGGGGAAGGAAGAAAATGGGAAATAACATTGCGGAAATTGTGTTCTTGTTGTTTTTGGTGATGATGATGAGTTCAAGAGTTGTGGGATCAGAGGGGATTTCATTTGATTATTACAAGGAATCATGCCCAGGAGTTGAAAACATTGTTAGAGAAAAGCTTCAATCAGTGTCACTGCTTGATCCTACCACACCAGCAGCTATGCTGAGGCTTATGTTCCATGATTGCCAAGTTCAGGTTCACTTCTTCTTTCCCCCTACTCTCTCTTGTTTCAGCAATCATTTTCATCCAAAAAATGGTAATTTGTACTCCATCCATCTCAAAAGAAAAAAAAAAAAGTTTTGTTTGTTGAATTAAATTCAAACATATTCTTATAATTTTGAGGTATATGAAGTAATTAATAGTCCTTCTATCCCAAGCGATAATCCAGTTCTGATGTTCACTTTTAGTTCAATTTGTAACTGGACGATTATTTTCGAATGGAAGAAATAGTACATTTTTCAAGCTGATATTCAAATGATATACTCCTTTCATCTAAAAATAAAAATTTTGTTTTATTGACCAAGAACAATTCATCAAAATGAAATCTAATGCTAAGTTACAATTCCTCGTATTTACAAATTATTGGAGAAACATCATATAGTCATGCATTAAGTCATGTTTCTTGTGCAGGGTTGTGATGGTTCCATCCTTCTTGACCCAGATAACCCCGGCGGCGGAAGAACGGAGATGGACTCAATAAAAAATTTCGGGGTTCGGAAAAGGGAGGTGATTAACCAAATGAAAGACATGGTGGAAGCTTCTTGTCCTCTCAAGGTTTCGTGTTCAGATATATTGATTTTGGCTGCCAGAGAGGCAGTGGCCATATCAGGAGGACCAAGAATAAGGGTTCCACTGGGAAGAAAAGATTCTGAGAAGCCTTCAAATTTCAGAGCTGCTGAGGCTTCACTCCCTCCAGGTGATATAGGAGTTGATGGAATGCTTCCTTTGTTTGCAAGGAAAGGAATGTCCATCGAAGAATCAGTTGCAATCATAGGTGAGTAATTACTTAGTCTCAATTTCTATAACCGATGTAATAAATACCCCTCTATCCAAAATAAATAAATAAATAAATAAAATCGTTCACATTAAGTGACGTGAATTATTATTATTATTATTTTTTTTTGGAAGATGGACCGTAAGTGATTAATTTAAGTACAAGTCAAAGATTTAAAAGTGTTAGGTGGTAATGTAGAAGATAATTAACATATTGGTTAATTAATCTCGATCAGTAAAGAGGTAAAAAACCTAAAAGAAAGTTGTCTCAAAATGATGCGGGGTTGAAAATATGTGTAGCGTAGATAGTTCCTAACTATATATGCTGATTTCATGGCATTTTTGGCAGGTTCTCACACACTTGGAGTAACACATTGCCTAAACCTTCATAATAAGAACCATAGATTATCACGATCACAGCAACAACAAAGATCATCGTCATCTGGAAGTCAAGATCATCACCAACACGCCATGACGACACCAAATTTTGTATGCTCTTTGCCATTGGTTGGATCAACCTTGGAAAACATTAGTTTCGTGTTTAATGATCCAACTTCAGTAATATTCGACAACAGTTACTATGTCAATTCAATGTCTGGAAATGGGGTGCTTAGGGTTGATACCGAAATGCCAGTTGATCCAAGAACAGCTCCATTTGTACAACGTTTCGCGATCGATCAGGATAGCTTTTTCAATGCGTTTTCTACTGCTTTTGTCAAGCTTTCTTCTTCTAATGTTCTTGTTGGTAATCAAGGGGTTGTTAGGAAAAATTGTAACACATTACATTAATTAAATTTTAGTACCCAAAAAAGAATAATTTTGTGTACTAGTATTGGAAAGTACTTTCTGCAATTTAGAGTACACGAAAGTATTTGTTAAATTTTGGAAAAGCCCACATATTTTCCCTTCGAAATGCAACATTGACTGAACCAACTATATCATTTACGGACGCAAGACTCAAAATGAAAGCCTAGCGAGATATTGATCATGTAAATCTTGAATTGTAATGGTGACCCAAATCCTTCTCGATATTGGCAACTCTATCCCTCCGTCTCAAAATGATTGTTCATGTTAGGGGGGAGAAATACACGTTTTAGTAATAAGCAGTTTTCATTAAAAATGGATCAATTTTTTTATTTTTTTTTTCACTTTTGTGATTGAAAATCTTTCAGAAAGTGGGTCATAAGTCATAACTATTCAAAAATAATCATTTTCCAAGATCCTTTTTGGGCCTTATAACTCATAAAGAATATGTAGAGCTGATCCTACACATTACGTGACATTGGGCTCACATTGTACAGTATGCAAACTATTCATAAATATCAAATCTATAATCTACTTCAACATAGAGAGAGGACAATTAAGTACGCGGGCGTGACACAACTTTCCACTAAGGAGAAAACAATTAACAGTTTTTACGAGCAAGATTAGGTTGAGATGAAACTGTTAATTAATTTTTCGTTACAAAAAAGAAATTTTTTTGAGTTTTCTCAATCTTCATTTATTATGGGCTACTGAAAGTCTTCGCCTGTGATTTGAGGTTGAGGCCCACTTATTTCCCTTTCGATATCTCATTTTGAGTTACCCGTGCTTAACACAAGGCTCAAAAGGAAAGCCTGTAGATCCACAATTGTAAGAGAGATCAAAATCCATGTCAAGAATGGGCCCAAGATATTTTTTTCCCTCGGTCCTCGTTATAATAAGAGTTAAACGTATTTCCTCCCGTACTTTTTATAAAGTATTTTTATTTGTCTTACACTTTACTTATTACATTTTTCTAATTTAAAAAAAAAATAAAAATATTTCTTAATAATTATGAGAATAAAACGAATAAATAAATTAGACATATTATAATTTTTTTAAAAAAAAAAAATCCCATCATCTCCCACAAACATTTTATGGCCTTTCAACAATTATAACAAATCCATAGAGTGAGTCTACTTGAAAACGATAATTAGATAGTAGAACGTATTATGAATCTTCCGAGAACATTTTGAAATTCCTACCTAAAAAAGTCTATGAAAAGAAATAACTAAAGATCATTTCACTGCATCTCTAAATCAAACACTGCTACTTGTAGATTCCTATCAAAGTTGAATAACTTACAAGACATTGGGCTCTTCACATGGTATCACATGAACAATATCATATAAATCAACTCTCCTACTACAATATAACTCAAAATTAAGTGATTTTATTAAAGATCCATATACAAAGTAAGAGAATTTTCTAGAGATACCAAACTTGACATTTCATTAATTAAATAAACAATCACTGGCGGCTCACTGCAACAATTGAGTCTCGAACGAAGCGGGGTAAGTTGAAATTGATGGGTAGTAACAGTGGCGGAGCTAAAACTTAAATACAATAGGGGCGATATTTTGTAAAATAAATTTAGCGGGGGCAAACATAAAAAAATTATAAAATTCATAGCTAAGATGTAATTTTTTCCTATAATTTCCTTGTGCAAATTTGGAGGAGACAATTACCCCTACTGGTCCCTACCCTCCGCCATTGGGTAGTGCTCCCTCCATTCCAAAATAAGTGTCGTGCTACACTTTACGCATAGTTTAAGAAACTCTTAAATAGGGTAATAAAATTACTTGAATATCCTCAACCAACCTCATTATAAAATTGTCCACCAATAGCATCAACTCTTTTGAGGGTAATTTTGAAATCTTTTAACAAAAAGTGCATTGAAATGTGAGAACGACACTTGTTTTGGAATTTCTCCATTTAGCTAAAACGACACTTATTTTGGAATGGAGGGAGTACTACCTCCCTTTTTTTTATCTATCGCTTGAGGGTTTGTATAATTATTAAGAAAGTAATAATTGAGAATTTAATTATAAGGGTATTGTCTTTCTTGCCCCTAATTAAAAAGTATTGGAACTTTAATAAATTTAAAATTGAAATTAAAGATTAGGTAGTTGTTATTAATATATGTTATTAAAAGTAGAGAAGATAGGGGTAAAATTGGAAAAACTGTATTTCATGTTGCATTGGAAAAACTGTATTTCATGTTGCATACGACACATAAAAAAACGGAGGTAGTAAAAAAACAAGAGAAAAATAAATATATAAAAAAGGAAAGATTAATTTTTAACGAATTATGAGTGGAGAAGCATTTACTCATGTTCAACAAACATTTTTGCAGACCACATATGGTTTAAAGTTTAAAGTATTCAAGCCCATATCCTATGACTTCCATCTTTCATGGACGTTCAACATCACTAACACATGCAGAGTAGATGATCAGCATAAAAACTCAACTTCACTATGAATCTTGAAATTTAAAGAGATATTGGTAGTTGCATTATTCGTTTACAAATCCTTAAAATTTCTTTCTGATTGGTTGAGAAGACATGGGAACAAAGTATGGGTCCAAATTTATTGATCTGTTGCCATTCTTCTTCCTCTGATTTACATTAAATTTCGCGTACTTTCCCATCTCATTTGGTTTCATCAATTCTGAAAAGGGTTCGTTAGGTTCGTTGGGGGTTGAAAAAAAAAAACCCATTGGCAGCATATGTTATGTTTGAGTTAATTTCACAACCGGTCTCATATAATTTTGGATTTGAGGGAAAAAAAAAAAAAGAAAGAAGAGAACGAAGTTGGTAAATAAATTAAGTGATTTTAACATAATGGTCGATGTGTTAATTCCCTCGTGATGGTTTATTTGATGCTAATAGTTAATTTTTCAAGTTTAGTCTACGAGTGATTTCAATGAACCTGAATATAGTCTACGAGGTTGGCTTGTGGAGTTGAGGCATGAATTTCGTGAGTCGAACTTTGCTATAGATTATTTGACCTTGTTAGCTTCTCTTAATTCTGGAGAGTTGCAGTTGCTAGATGATCTACCGTCTGGGATGAAACAGTGGTTAGAACATGACTTTGTTAGTGTTTCTTACTTACGGTCCATTGTAATGACTTGATATAGGCTTTTGTCTCCTATTTTAAACCAAAAAAAGTACATTATGAGTAAATTGATCATTAGAATTTCTCATTGTATATATGTTCATTACAAATTTAGTAACTGAAATTTATTGAGAAAATCAACTTGGATACTCATTGTAATTATTATTTACTTATTTATTGGTTAAGAAACTATGAGGTTTCCAAAGTTGGTACATAGATATATCACACTAAAATTAGTTCTCACTCGATTCGGGTAGATCTGTCAGTTTTGATGTCGAAAGTCTCCCAATAATTGATTTTAATTGGATCAAGCTAGCTAAATCGTTAAACTTAAAAAATGACTAAATTGCAGGGGCAAAAAGAAAAATGAAAACAATCGAACAGCAATAGGATTCCAAGGATTTTGGTCAATCTGATCAATCATAATTTTAGCATTTTTAACCTTATCAATGGTAGGCGCTTTAAATGATATGGTAGCCATTCAGAAAAATGTCCCGCGTTTACTGTCACGGGTTGGTAGTGCAGCCATTGCTCAACATTCAATGATTTCTTTTTCAATAAACCTACTCGGCTCCTCAATATATAGCTTTGCAATTTGCACTACATATGTTCTCCAACTACACAACTATATAATTTCCATGCTTAAATCTACTTTGAAAAACCAAAAGTGCTTTGATTAGCAAAAGTTAATATGATTGATTAAGTTGTTTGATCGCATATAAGTTGAGAAAATAGGTATTTCCGTCCCAAGTTTGAATCACTGTCGCACTAATAAATCCGTCCCGAACTACATAAGTTTGCAAAAAATTGTATACCCTCTTTGAAAGGACATAAAAAATTTTTGTTTTAAAATACACTTTATTTTCGAGTGAGTTGTAAGATTTGAAATATGGAGCCTATATAGTGTATAGGTTGCAGTTGTTTTCATCAGTCCTATAAATGTTAGTCATTTTTTTTTTTCAGTTTCTTCAGTCGCATTGGTGGAAAGGGAACTTCACCCCATTGGATCTTTTCCTTCAAAAAATAGCCAAAAAAGAAAATTGATTTGGGGGTGTAGTTCTTGTAATGACAGGGGCTGTTTTTTACCAACTTCTAAACATTTTTTTGTTGCTAGTGACAACAACCTGCAGCTTGTGTGCTGCAACTTTGCCTTCTAATTTCGTTTTTGGAGATTCATTAGTTGATGTTGGGAACAACAACTACATTGTATCTCTGTCAAAGGCTAATTTTGAGCCCAATGGGATTGATTTTGGTACTCCAACTGGAAGATACACAAACGGAAGAACCATTGTGGACATTATAGGCAAGTTTTTTGTTCTTTGCTTGATTAACCTTATTCAATCATCAGATGATTAACTTCTAACTTATCTATTTGCATTGTCCTTGGTGTGCCTATTATCAGGTGAAGAACTTGGATTCATTGGATTTTCTCCTCCTTTCTTAGCACCAACAACAACCGGTCCCATCGTCTTGAAAGGTGTCAATTATGCATCTGGTGGAGGAGGGATTCTCAATCACACTGGAAAGATTTTTGTAAGTTTGTCACTCTGACTTTAGCTCTGCTTTCTGCATTTTCATTGTTCTTTTTTTTTTTTTGTGCTTCACAATATTGATCAAGAATGAAGCTTTTTTTGGTTTGGTGTTACACAGGTTGGTAGGATCAACTTTGATGCCCAGATGGACAATTTTGAATGCACTAGGCAATACATATTCAACACCATTGGTGAATCAAGCGCTATGGCATTGCTCAATTCGGCTCTTTTCTCTGTTACATTAGGCTCCAATGACTTCATCAACAACTATCTAACACCCGTTGTCTCAAAAGTGGAGCAAAAGTTGGTTCCTCCGGAGGTTTTTGTCGCAGCCATGATTTCAAGATATAAACTCCAACTCACGGTAGGAAGTTTCTTGTTAATACAAAAATTCCCCTTTTGAGTCCTTGTACAGAACAAATCATTCAATTTACACTCATGCATGAGACTCGTGATTCTCTTAAATGTAATTTGGTCCAAAATTGTGAATCATGGTTGGGTCATTTCGAAGATATCATGTCAGTCTTCTTTAGAAACAATCCTTTCTCAAAAGGGACTGCCTTGGCGTGACGCGACGCCCACCCCTTTTGTAAGAAAGGGACGATGTTTTAATGAATTAAGTGATCAACTGAAATCGAAAATGAAAATTTTACTATCAATTACCATATCTTATGAATTGTTAGTTGAATATTTTGGCACCAATACGAATAAAAGCATATCGAACATGATAATAAGTACTACCAATTTTTTTTTTTTTAACTTTTTCTTTTTCCATTTTTTCTGTCAGAGGCTATACAATATGGGTGGTAGGAAAATTGTTGTAGTAAATGTCGGGCCAATTGGATGCATCCCATTTCTAAGAGAGATGGATACATCTGCTGGGAATGCCTGTTCTCCTTTCCCGAATCAACTTGCTCAGATGTTCAATGACCAATTAAGGGTTCTTATTTCAGAGCTCAGTGCCACTTTGGATGGTTCAGAATTTGTTTATGCGGATGTTTACCGCATTGTTGATGACCTTATTCAGAATTACACTTCTTACGGTAAGTTTAAAAATCTGAAAAAAAAAAAAAATTCTAATTCTATTTATATGTGATAATCGTTAACTGAAGATAAAAGATCTTCTGTGACACGGTTACTTGATCAACAGGAATCGAGAATCCGAGTTCAGCTTGCTGTCATGTTGCTGGGAGATTTGGGGGATTAATCCCGTGTAGCCCAGCATCCAAAATCTGTGTAGATAGATCGAAATATGTGTTTTGGGATCCATACCATCCAACTGAAGCTGCCAATATCTTCATTGCCAAACGTTTGCTTGATGGTGATTCCATCGACATTTGGCCTAAAAATCTTAGACAATTGATTTCTTCACCTTCATCATAAAGACATCAGATTCCTATAATTTGAATCATTTGGTCACGATGAAGATGATGATTTTATTAATTTTTTTTATTATTCATTATATTGTTGATTTATTACACCAAGGATATACAGATGTATCTTTTACTTGCAATATCAATCTGCAAAAGAATGATCAGAATTCTCTTCAAATTGATGACATATATACAAAAGAGAGTATTTTATATACTGAATCCACGAGTTTCAGACAAATATAGTTCTAGTGTGACATTTTTAATGTTTTTTTTAAACTTGTATATGTGACAACCTCCACGTTCCATATTCCTCCTTCCTTTCAATTAATTTTCAACACTTTAACAAAAGAGTGAGTAAAATTAGTGATATTTTTGAACGCATATCAAATATTCAATATTGTCAAAGCATTAAAAGCAACCGTCAATAAATATTAAAAAAAGTACTAAAACTTGTGGCGGATGAAATAGTACAAGCCTCAATATCATCAGCAGCAGTTATGATCATTAAAAACATCAACAAATACAGACAAGACCAAAATATACTAATAAATATAATGGATCCGAAACCTTAAATCTGGATCCACGGATCAGCAAATTAATTCTAGAACGTTTGAGTATTACTCTCTCCGTTTCAAAATAAGTGTTGTTTTAACAAAATAAAAAAATTTCAAAATAAGTGTCATTTCAATGCACTTTTTAACCAGAATTAATAAAATAAGTGTCGTTTTAGCAAAATGAAAAAATTTCAAAATAAGTGTCGTTATCACATTTCACATTTCACATTTAAAAATAAAAAAATTTCAAAATAAGTGTCGTTATTCAAATAATTTTACTATCATATTTAAGTCGTTCTTAAACTATGTGCAAGCGCTAGAATGACACTTATTTTGGAATGGAATGAGTATTTCGTAATAAATGTATCGAAGCATGTGTTTACTCATTATATATGTATATATATGTATACGGATTGCTGTTGATTCATCAACACCTATCTATGTCATTAATGCATTTGTTCCAAAAGGTAGTGATTTGGGGGGTGTTTTTTCTGTGATGGGAAATTGTTGTTTGGAGAAATTTGTGACAAAAGTTGTCATTCTCCATATCCTTAACATATTTTTGTTGTTATCAGTGATCACTAAAACCTGCTTCTGTAATGAAACTTTGATCGCTGATTTTGTGTTTGGAGATTCACTAGTTGAGGTTGGAAACAACAACTACTTTTTCACCCTCTCAAAGGCCAATTATCCACCAAATGGGATTGATTTTGGTAAACCAACCGGAAGATTTACAAATGGAAGAACCATAGGTGACATTATAGGTAAGTTTCTTTCTTTTCTCTCTCTCTCTTTTTTTTTCTCATTTTGGAAGGATGGCCGAATCCAGAATTTCGATTCCTCATTAATTAATCACCAGCCTTTTAATCTTTTTTCTTGGAAAATAGATCAAGAACTCGGATTGACTGAATTTGTTCCCCCATTCTTGTCAAAAAACACAACCGGGCGAATCGTTCTAAAAGGCGTCAATTATGCCTCTGGAGCAGGAGGGATTCTAAATCGCACTGGATATACTTTTGTAAGTTCTTCAATCAATTTGATTGATAAATTATTCATATCAATAAACATTTTCGTTGAATATCCAATTTTTTTTTTCCTTTCTTTTCTGGTGTTATTACAGATTGGTAGGATCAGTTTTGATGCCCAGTTGAGCAATTTTGCCCGCACCAAGAAATACATAATCAAAAAGTTGGGTAAATCAAAGGGAATGGAATTGCTCAAAAGTGCTCTTTTCTCGGTAACATTAGGCTCAAATGACTTCATCAACAACTATCTACTACCTTTCGTCGCCAAACCCTCAAAACCCGAACAAATTTTGGTCCCTCCGGAGAAGTTCGTCAAAGCTATGATTTCAAGATACAAAATTCAACTCACGGTATGGCGACATTTATTGCGAATTAATTTGGTCGTGCAATTTCAATTCTAGATCCGCTACTGGAATTGTCCTTAAGAAAATCATGCGTATCTCATGTTTAATGTTACTAGCTCAAAAGTCAATCAAAACTCGCAATTGGACAAAATTGGAGAAAGTTGTTGCAACTTATGGATCGATTGAATAATTGAGTCGAGAAATTCTTTTATTGGTATTAGTTAAACAAATGAAAAATAATGCATGACATACTTTATACTTTTTTTTTTTCTTTTTTTGAAACGGGACATACTTTATACTTATGTGAACATGTTTTACAAGAAACCATTTTTTTATACATTTTTTTTTCAGAGATTATACAAAATGGGTGCTAGAAAGATTATTATAGTAAATGTGGGACCAATCGGATGTATTCCATATCTAAAGGAACTCATACAATCGGGTGCTGATGGTTGTGCCGCTTACCCAAATCAACTTGCACAGTTGTTCAATGACAAGTTAAGGATTCTTGTTCCAGAGCTTAGATCCAGCTTGAATGGATCAGAATTTGTTTATGCAGATGTTTATCGTACTGTATACGACCTTGTTCAAAACTACACTTCTTACGGTAAGTACCTTTCTTTTAGCTTCGTCCAAAAAAAATAAAATAAAAAAATTTTATGTTTCTTATAATGTCTTAATTAAGTTGGAATTCATGGTGATTGTACAGGATTTCAGAATTCGAGCTTTGCTTGCTGCTATGTTTCTGGGAATTTCGGGGGTTTATTTCCATGCAATCCGACTTCCAAAGTATGCACAGACAGATCAAAGTTTGTGTTTTGGGATCCATACCATCCAACTGAAGCTGCTAATCTCATCATTGCCAAACGTATGCTTGATGGTGGCCCCAATGACATTTGGCCCAAAAACATTAGACAATTAATTTCCAAATCTTCGTCTTAGATTAAATAATTATGTAGAATTTTGGGTACAAGACAAAAAAACATAGTTAAAGCCTACCCAATTCAATCATGGAATTGTTGACATGAGGAGCATTGTTGAAAATTTGAAATATTGAAGCGGAATATTATATGTAGTTGTTCAAGTCAATGAATACCGAGTAATTTCTCCTTAAGTCTTTATATATGTGTTTCACTTGTCGATCTGTATTTAATTCAAAATTTCATAAATTCTGCACATCAGCCGATCCCTCGTTGGCTAGGCAAAATCTTTTTCTTCATTAAACATCTCCAAAACGGTCACATTATTAAAATTTCTAATGTGTTACAACACCAGATAATTTTTAGTCATATACGATCTGAACTATTAGTATATCTTAATTAATAGACGAGACGACGATGGTAATAATATGAGTAATGATCAAACTGGCAACAGACCAATCAACCATGATTGTTGTAACATTAGTTATGTTTTTTATCAAAATTAAAAACACACATATTTTTAATGTTAGAAATTGTTCAGCTACGATTAATTGACTGAAGATTGCATGTTTATGCAACCCAATATTTAACCTCATTATTCTTAGTTAAAGTCCCAAATTTCATGTGCAAGTGTATCATCACAACTTCGAAGTATCAACAGGATTTGAGAACCCTAGTTCAGCTTGCTGCTATATGTTGCCCGGAGATCATGCGAGTATCCAAAGTTTGTGGAGACAGATCAAAAAATGTGGTATGGGATCCATATCATCCAACTGAAGCTGCTCTTATCGTTGCAAAACGTTTGCTTGATGGTGACTCCACGAACATTTGGCCCGAAGAACATTAGTTAGACACTTTAATTTCTCTCCATCATATTTAAATTGTTACCCCATAATTTGAGATTGAAATGATTTTTAGCCTCTTCTTCTTTTCCATTTCCTTTAAAAATTTATTTGTTAGTACGCGTTATAAATTATTGAAGTAAATGGAACGAATCATACTCGAGTTAAGATCCTGCGTTCCAATGTGAGTGTGTTTTTTAGTTGAAATGTTGTGTTGTTGCGCTTAATTTTCTTTACTACCCATAAAATTATTTACGTGTTTTTTTTTTCAGATTTTATGGACTCATATGAAAATTGTCGTCACACCAATCATGGCATAGGCTAGATGAGCAAGCCGATAAGGCACACAGTTCGATGCTTGTGGTTTCATAAAACGTATAGAGAAAATAAAACCCCAAGAAAAAAATGGGGTAAAACAAAGTAGTAAAGAAAAAGGATAAACAAAATTATTTCCAAATCGAAATCCCTCAAAAATAAGTCCAAATTGTGATTCGTTGTTTTCTTTCGTTAATCATTGAACTATAATTCTTCTTCAATTGTATTTCACTGATTTTTATTTTTATTTTTATTTATATATATATATATATATGTTGAGTTCTGTTCTTAAACCAAACAAAGAGGAAATAATGAAATGATCTGGTCTATGTTGTAAAACTCGAAGGAAATCTGTTTGGATTTAAGAATTATACACATATTCCATCTAGTTGGGGTGGGATTTACACAAAATAATACTACTTCCGTCCCAAAAAAATAGCCCACATTGAGTTTTCATATCTGTACTGTTTTTAGTATAAATTTTAAAGCTCAAAATGAACTATTTTTCTGGGACGGAGAGAGTAGTAACTCTATTTGAAGTTAGGCATAAATTTATCCAATTATAATAATGCAGACAACTTTAAAGCTAAAAAAAATGGTCACATCTTAAAATGGTGAAATACTGAAATTAAACAATTAGCGCCTTGTAATTCTCAATCCCTGTAAATTTGAGGACTAAAACTATAAAACTACCATTTTGACTCTAATTTTAAACACGACTAACTAATATATATCCACATCCACACTGACATCATTGTCTTCGAAAAAATTAACGGAGAAAAAATGGAAGCTTCAGCTCCGGAGAAGCTCATTCTGGTGACCCGGGAACCAAGCGGAATCGGTTTGATCACGATCAACCGCCCAAAGAGCCTGAATTCGCTGACGAGGCAAATGATGGTTGATTTAGCCAAAGCCTTCAAGTCCTTGGACTCCGACGAGTCAATCCGAGTGATCATTCTGTGCGGGTCGGGTCGGTCGTTCTGTTCCGGCGTGGACTTGACGGCCGCCGAGGACGTGTTTAAGGGGGACGTGAAGGACATGGAGACCGACCCGGTTTATCAAATGGAGCGGTGCAAGAAACCCATCATCGGAGCCATTAACGGGTTCGCGGTTACTGCCGGATTTGAGATTGCTTTGGCCTGTGATTTGTTGGTTGCTTCCAAGGATGCTAAGTTCATGGACACTCATGCCAGGTCAATCAAGTTAATTTATTCCTTTTCGTTATTAAATTTTTTATGATGGAGTATATTAATTTGTTTATGATTGAAAAAGTTTCCATCTTTACCAACAATTAGAGTAGAAAATATTGTTTGTGCAGAATATGATTCCTTCAGATTTTTGGACTAAAGCCCATTGGGTTGTAATTGTTGAGGTGCTGTGCAACACCACTTGATTTATTAAAAGTTGGTTTGATGATAGATTTTGGTGGAGCTTTTTGTATGTGTTTGAATATAGTTGTTTATTTAAGCTTCATTTCTTGCTGATTGATTAAGTTGATTTCAAATCTGCAATATGTTTTGTGGAAATGCCATTTTTCGGGATAGATTTCTTTGAAGATGGGGGCAAGACAAATCCTTGTTTAGATTACCCGGGGTGACTTGGAAACCTCTCTGCGAAAAGACACTATGATCCTATTCGGTGAATCTTAGAGAAAAAATGGTATATGTTGATCCATTGAAGATACAAATATGTCTATAGCATTGATCAGTATTTGAAGTCGATGTTTTGTACCCTTTAGGAACCTGAGTTTTGAGCGTATGAGTCTTCAGTTGAATATGAGAGTTAACTAGGCGCAAGCTTCTTGGTTTTGTAATAGTTCACTCATAGCAATAAGCTGCAGTATTTGTAATTTTAGTCATCTTTATTCTCTCTGATTCATATGTTGTGGTTGAACTTGGTGAGCAGATTTGGAATATTTCCTTCTTGGGGTCTATCTCAGAAGCTTTCCCGTGTCATTGGTCCCAACCGAGCTCGCGAAACATCTCTCACTGCAGCACCTATAACCGCAGAACAAGCCGAGTGGTGGGGTTTGGTAAATCACGTCGTGGAAGGAAGTGAACTTTTGAAGAAAGCTAGACAAACAGCAGAAGCCATAATCAAGAACAATCAAGACATGGTGTTGAGGTACAAGCGAGTCATAAATGATGGATTTAAACAAGACTTGGTTCATGCCCTTGCTCTTGAAAAGGTGATTCTTCTATATAGAATCTTTTTTACATTTTAGCTTCATTTCGTGCAGTTCATGATCTGGTCATTTCTCATATGTTCCTGGTATGTTCGTGAATGTTACTCGTCATTGCATTTTTCAAATCTAGTCTGATGGTTATTAGAAAATTGTGAAAAAATCCGTCTGAGTCTCACCAGGATAACTGGTTCGTAATATTTTGTAGTTTGTACCTTACATGGATGGTGATCTTTATTCTCTATGTAAAATGATACCGGTCGGTAATCCCTCTGAAGTAGATGCAGTTTATAAGAAATCTTCACCTTTTGCTAGCTAAATTCAGTTAGCATAAGATTTTAGCCTCTCTTTCTTTACTTAAAATGATTTTTTGTATGATCGTCTAAACCCAAGTAATTTGTCATAGACTACAATGACAATTAGCATACTGCAAGGTAGAACGTGGTTGACATAAGCTTTGATTATTTTCAGGAGAGAGCACATGAGTATTACAATGGTATGACAAAGGAGCAGTTCAAGAAGATGCAGGAATTCATAGCCGGCCGGAGCTCTAAGAAACCTTCTTCCAAGTTGTAGATGGTTGTCCAGCAGCAAGCGTTTGATCATCTGTTGCTTTTAATATTGTTCTGTTGTAGAATAAGTTTCAAATTCTTACCCTACCCAAAAGAAAAGGAAAAATGGTTTTTACCCTCATTCACAGGATTCCCACAACATTGTACAATTATTTGTTCTCCTGATCCCTCCCTTAGTTTAACTTCTTTGTTTGGGAATCTTAAATATGGAAATAAATGGTCCAAAGTTGGTCCTTTTCACATTTCAGGATGAATTCACATGTCAAATGAAAACTTTATAAGGTGTGGCAATTTTCGTATCGTTTTCGAAAAGGAGTAATTTTTTCCATTTATATGGTCGCATATACATTAGATAGTGTAAAACGAAATTTACTTTTAGAGCTTTCACTCTGATCAATATCCACCCAAAAACAAAACCAAAAAAAACAAAAAAAAAATGATCTTTCCATTTATACATTTAACTGAAATAATAATATAGTATTTCTGGAAAGTCCGGTACAACTGATTCCTCATCATCTTTATCTTGTTATATCATAATCGTACGGAATTTAGCCTTTTCAGTTTTTAGACTCCCCTAATAATCCTCGTTCTTGTTCCTAATACTCCCTCCGTCCCATAATTATTGTCCAGTTTGAGTTTTCATTTATAGTTCAAATTGTATTAAAAGTAAAATCTAAAACTGAACAATAATTTTGGGACAGAGAAAGTAAATTTTAACATAATAATAATATTACTCACGAATCACAAAATAATGACGTCAGTATCAACCAATAGTATCGCTCCAGCACGACATTCTACCCTTTTACTCATCAAAACCAAAGTGCAAAATTCCACTCTACTAGTACTCCACCGTGAAGCAGCAGCCATCATCGGATTTTGACAGCGGAAAGAGGGAACAAGAATTTGCGCTTTTTTGAGTTCTTTTGCTTTTATCGTGTTGGGTTTGTGGTGTAATGGACTCGGGTAAATAATCAATTCTGAAACCCTTTTGATATCTTTTCTTGATTTCCATGGAATCATCTTGAACTCTGCCCCCGGTTAGCCATTATTTTGTTGCTGTGTATTCTTCGCTTCCCAGCGTTATGACGAGAAAAGGGATTCTTTTTGTTTTGTTTTTTGGACTTTTTAAAGTCTTTACTGTTGCTTAAGGATGATGATTAATGGTTTGTTTTGGTGGGCCTTTCTTGTTTGTCCTGCTACATTATTTAATTGTTCAATTATGTTTGCTTCTGTGTTTTTTTTTTTCTTTTTTTAATGGATTGTTTTATGACATGAAACATGGGGTCTTCGTGTTACTTGAATTTCGTGGCTTATGGTTTCTTATTAAGTGATTTTTAGAAAGGGGAAGTGTTAAAGTTGTGATCTTTATTTTTTTCAGAGAAGTTGATATTATGCAGATAAGCAGATTGAAACCACTGATGATGCAGGGGGATATTTTTTTTGACCCTTGATCTTTTAGTTGTAGAAATTTTTGGCATGACTTTGACTGTTATTTTTATACTCCTGCTGTATTGTTCTTTGGGAAATTGATTAATTTAGTTCTGGGGATTTGAATGAGACTGCTACAGTTTTGATTTGTTGTTCTTGATGTTCTTGTGCAAATTTACAGTCTTCATAAACTTGTGCTTCTATGTTTATTTGATCAGGGGAGATGGTGGAGGAGGGTTCCAACAAGGTTACTGATTTCCCTCACTTCGACGTGCTATCCGGCGATTCAGCATATTCAGATCATCATTATAATCAGTCTAACAAGTCGAGAAAAGTTCAGGGTTCCTTCAGCAATCCAAACAGTAATGTCTCGAAGACAATTGCTAAAGAGTGGAGAATACTCCAGAAAAACCTTCCTGAGTCAATTTATGTCAGGGCTTATGAGAACAGGATGGATTTACTTCGAGCTGTAATTATTGGCTCCCCTGGAACTCCATATCATGATGGACTCTTTTTCTTTGACATTGTTTTACCGTCTGATTATCCAAACCAGCCTCCTAAAGTGTATTATCATTCCCATGGAATGCGCCTGAACCCGAATCTGTATAATTCGGGTTATGTTTGCTTGAGCTTGCTCAAAACTTGGTATGGTGCCGGAGTGGAACTGTGGACAAAGAACTCAACCTTACTTCAACTTCTGGTATCACTTCAGGGACTTGTGCTTAATGATAAACCTTATTTCAATGAGCCTGCGTATGGGAAAGGACTAAAAAACATGAACGAGAGTTGGAGGAAGGCGTCCATGGCTTACAATGAGGATGTTTTTATCTATTCTTGCAAGACAATGCTTCACAAGATGAAAAATCCCCCCAAAGGTTTTGAGGATTTCGTGGCTGCACATTTTCGCAGCCGCGGGGAGTCCATATTAGCAGCCATTACAGCATATAAAAATGGTGAAGCAATCCTTGGTCAATACAAGAAGGAAGCTGTGGTTGGAGCAACAGTTTCGACAGCTTCTAATCTCGGGGCTTCAAAAAAGTTCAGATCTAATCTGTCGAAAATCCACTCTGATCTCAAGTCGGCCTTGCGTACGATCAGCCATTCCGCGATGATGTCTCAAAATGGGAAAGAAAAGTGTGAAGAGGTTGCAGCTCCAGATACTACAATGGCTGGACAAGGAAGTGCTGAAAGAAAGCCCGAAGAGTTGTTTGGCAAGTTTTTGAAGTTTTTAAAGAGGACAATTGGATGTTAACAATCATGATGGAGGTTGACATCAAATTGGGATTGCAATTATGCTGGAGGGTATAGTCAGGATTGGGAAAATAGTGATAGATTAAGAGTTATTTAGATATTTTAACAAAAGATTTGACATCGAACTCTTTGACTGTTCTGTTAACATTTTTCAGTTCATTATGGACTCTGTCCTTCAATTTGCATATTACCTCTGCAGCCAGTTGAAAATATTACATATTTCATCCGTCGCACAAAAATAGTCCACATTGAGTTTTGAGTTTTGTATAGTACAAAACTCAAAACTCAATGTGGACTATTTTTGTGCGACGGAGATAGTAATAGATTTCAATTCGAAGTATGTGTTTTTTTGGGATTCAATGGAAAGGATAACAGATTTTGGGATTCAAACAAATGCAGCATTTGTAGAGATTCACAGCAATGCGATATTTCTCTTGCTATGCTGGTTTAATGGTTTGCAATCATTGCAAATTATGAATTCTTGAAGAGACTTTGATCAGCATAACAATGCATTAATCTGATCAGATTATTCATCCCTTTAAGGACCAATGAGCCACATCCATATTCTCTGTGTTTTGCAAATTATAACGCTTATGGCAAGAAAATCGACATATGTTTAAGCCTTTCAATTGAGCTTGGCAGCTCCACAACTTCAGGTTCCTGAATTTTGATAAAGTCTTATCAGAAATGACAACTGTTGTAAACAATGTTCGTATTGATTTAAGAAAAATAAAAATCCCAAATGCTCCAAGCAAAGGTTGTACAGGACTTATTCATTTGTTTACTAATTTATTAGTGAGATTAATTATAGACAAAGTAATTTATTAAACTGTGCATAAATGGAAAAAGTTCCACTTCATAAGTAATTTATTTTATGAACTAGAATGCATAACAAAATACAGAAACAAGAAGAAATTTGTTCAATTAATTATTTCAAGACAGACAAGTGCGCACTATTTTTCCAACTTAACCTTCAAAGTTTTTTATTTTTTTTTTGTGGTTGGTTAATTTGATATTTTGGTCGTTCATTTATTTACAACAGAACTTATAATATTTATTATACTCAACCAAAATTATTCTCAGCAATTAAAAAAAAAAGAAAAATAAATTAAGTTGGTTGAAAACCGAGATATCCGAGTCGGCCGGCCGGCAATTTGATGTTACGGTCAAATACTGGTTGAACCGAGACCATTGACTGTCGAGCTTCTTCTTCCCCAAACCAACCCCCCCGACCACTGAAACGCAAACACAGAGTCCAAAAATCTTATTATTTTCAAACCCTAATTCCTAAACTGAATTCCAACAAAGATATCGATTTTGGAAATGTTAAACTGTTAATTAATCACATAAAGATGTGGAGAATACAAAAACCGATCCCAATTTTGTTCACAGCGGTACTAATTCTAGTGGTGCAAAATGCCATTGTAGTAGTTGTCTCAGCTCCGGCGAAATCGCAAGCTTATGTAAGAAGAGACCCAGGTCATCCTCAATGGCATCATGGAGCTTTTCAAGATGTTCAGGAAACTGTCCGATCTGAAGTCCGTGAAATGTTGCATTCCCATGTCGAGGTTCTTCTCTTTTTATTTTTTCCTCATGTTTTCAATTTTGTGTTTTTTTTTTCATATGGATTATTTGTGTTGTAATAAAATTGATTAATATATGATGATGATGATGATGGCCGCAGGTGCCTTTTCCGGTGCCGCTTGAAGTGAATATAGTTCTGATCGGTTTCAATGGTGATGGCGGGTACAGGTATTCGATTGATTCTCAGAAATTGGAGGATTTTCTGAGAAGCAGTTATCCAACTCATAGACCATCATGCCTGGAGACTGGACAGCCCCTTGATATAGAGCATCATGTTGTCTACAATGTCTTCCCTGTGAGCATTGCTTGTCCAACTAATTAGAGGATACTGTTTCATGCCTTCATGAGTTCCCGTCTCGTCTTTTCCTTTGGTGTTAACTCCGAGTCATTCTTCTGGCAGGTGGGGGAGGCAGAACTTATTGCCCTAGAGAGCGCAGTAAAATCCTCATTGGAATCTGCTGGGTCGGCTAGAGAGGTGAGAACATACTTGATCCTCTTAAATACTTTCGGTTTTCTTTTTTTTTTCTCTTTTCCTGGATAGTCATTTTTAAGAGATGCTGGCGTACAGGCTGATTTTGGTAGAGAAGTTCCCTTGTTTGAGGTGGATGCAACAAAGGTTGAAGCTGAATTTGAGAAGCTGTATTCGTTTCTCTTTAACATGGACAATAGGGGATACTCTGCAGAACAGATGGACAGACCATGGCCCATGGCAATTTTTGTCGCAAACTTTGATAAGGTATTATCTGCGTATTGCGAAAAGCTATTGTACGTATCACTACTTTAGAGATGATTTGAGACAATTTCAGCTGTATTTGTTTCTCTTTTAAATGACTGGTTGTGAGACAGTTTAAGTTTTGAAATGATTTGAGGGATGCATGCATTTTTATTTTCTTTAAGTGAGACTCTCAGTCTATTTATCTTTTCACCTGGAACTGCTTTTCCGGCTTCTTAGGTAAGAATTGATCCTAGGAACAAGGATATCGATCTTGATAGTTTGATGAATGGAAGGATTTCTCGTTTAAATGAGGAAGAGATGAAAAAACAAGAGGGCGGTTACATCTATCGCTACAGATATAATGGAGGGGGAGCAACTCAAGTCTGGCTCAGCTCTGGCAGGTATAACTTCTTTAGCTGCAATTATAGTGGAACTATTTCACATCAGTCCTTTACCATGAATAATTTATGTTTCGAACTGCTAAGGGATTTTATGATGTTTGGTTAATTCTTGGGGGAGATTTTGTTGAACGTGAGAAAAAAGCTTTTGTCCTTGAATTGAATTGGAGATGATAAGTCTGTTACTTTTTATGTTTTGATTTGCAATTTGCGTCACATTGAGTGCGTCTAAGTCCTGCGTTTTGATTTGCCATGTCAGGTTTGTTGTGATTGATATCTCTGCTGGTCCTTGTACGTATGGCAAAATTGAAACCGAAGAAGGAAGTGTTAGTTCTAAAACGTTACCTCGGTTGCAAAGGGCTATTTTTCCAAATGGTTTTGGTGAAGCTAGTGATTCTTCCACACATATTACCTTTCTTGGACAGCTTGGTAATGTGATTGCAACAACAGTTGAACATGTTTTATCTCCAGATGTTAGGTAAAGAAGTAAATTAAATCGTAATGTTGCAACATGTAATTGTGTTTGCTACTGTTTCCCTTTATTAATTTCCCCGCGTTTATTCAGCGGTCAGAGAAAAGTTTGAAACCGTTATTGTTTTATAACTTTTATCGTCTTGTATTAGGTTTGAAACTGTTGATATGACCACGAGGCTGCTTATACCAATTATTGTTCTCCAAAATCATAATCGTTACAATATCATGGAGAATGGACACAATTATAGCATAGATATTGGAGCTATTGAGGCTGAGGTGAGATTAGTGTTGTTTTTATATTATATATGGTAAAAACTTTATCAGCTAAGTGGTTGGCCTAAATTGTGAAATATGCTGCTCTTTTTAGGTCAAGAAAATGGTGCATCAGGGTCAGGAAGTAGTAATAATTGGAGGTGTGCATCCGTTGCATCATCATGAAAAGCTGGCAATTGCTGTTTCCAAAGCAATGAGAGGTCATTCCCTTCAGGAAACCAAAAAGGATGGAAGATTCCATGTCCATACGAAAACATATCTGGATGGTGCTATTCTGAAAGAGGTAAAATTTTTCTTCTCCAAATTTCTACTTAAAATGTCTGGCAGTGTCGTTTCAAGATTTACGCCTATCCTATCAACTTAAATCATTATACTTGTTTGTATTGTTTGCACTTTTAGAGACAGCTTCTCTACATACGTGCCTTGCGTGTGTAGATGTTCCTGCGTGTTTGATTTTTTTATATGCTTTTATATCTTCAATGTACTTCAGCCTGCGGGGATGACTAGAATCCATGATGCTAGATCATGTATGTCTCTTTGTATAAGCTAACATATGTTGTCAAAAGTTTGCTTGTATATTCTATTTTCTTACTCAAGAAAGAGGTGATTGTAGGAAATGGAGCGGTCTGCAGATGTCCTTGCTGCTGGCCTACTTGATGTGTCAGATCCAGACCTTTCAAGCAAATTTTTCCTGCGCCAGGTAGGTGCCAGAAAGTAATTACTTGAGTAGAGTTATAACTTGGCTTCATATTTAGCCGGGAAATTGTAATTAAACATTTTTAGTAAACCTGACATTCATTTTATCGATCCATTCCCGTTCTCTGCAGTCCTGGTCAGATGGAACTGATGACACAAGTGATTCTTTATTAAAGCACAAACCTCTCTGGGCTACTTATAGTCCGAATCTAGGAAAGGACAAGAAAAAGAGAAGAGAAATAAAGAAAAAAGGGGATCTGTATCGGACTTATGGAACTAGAGTCATTCCCGTGTGAGCATAAAATCTATTCTTTATATATTTTGGAACGGTTTTTGTCCCTTGTACTTTCTTCAAACTTGCATTTGCCTTTTAACTGATGTCTGGTTCTACTAGATTTGAAATGTGTCCAAATTATGCGAGTGATTGTAGTATTTGGCATGCAGTTGTTTCATATAAGAGCTTTCAGGACGATTTATTAATGTAATGTCATCAAAATATTATTTTGCCTTGTTCGTTTCTTTAGTATCTAACCTTTCCTTTCTGCAGCTTTGTATTATCATTAGCTGATGTGGATGAACATCTCATGATGGAAGATGAAAGTCTTGTTTGGACAAGTAACGAAGTAATCATTGTTCTCCAGCATCAAGGGGAAAAGATACCAATGAGGTCAGTGTTTTCTATGTTCTTTAAGTATATTACGTTAAGTTATAATGTTTGATGTGTCATTTAATTATCACCTGGTATGTCACTTAACTTAATATTTCAGTGCAGGCATATACGTATAAGAAACCAAGTGTAATTTCATTATATATAATAAATGCGTCAAGCACTTCCAATTTGTTTATAGAAGCCATGTATGTTAGGCAAGGGTAGATTTGTAGAGATATTTTCATGCGGAATTATGACCTTATTTAAATCATAATCTCTACTTCTGTCGCAAATGAGGGAAGTTCTTATTTGGCTATCCGCATTTTTTCCCCAGTTATGTCTCCGAGTTGGAGAGACGACATGCTATTCCATCACAGGCACAGAGACATATATTGGCGGGGTTGGCATCTGTTGTGGGTGGATTGAGTGCACCATATGAAAAGGCTTCTGATGTGCATGAAAGACCTGTTGTGAATTGGCTCTGGTCAGCTGGTTGTCACCCATTTGGACCTTTTTCTAATACCTCAGGAATCAGCCAAATGCTGCAGGATGTTGCATTGGTATGATCCGTCTCACTGGCATACAGGCTGCAATGTCATTCAGCATCCTTAAAGTTTGATATATCTATGAACAACATGAGTTTAGTGAATTCAGGATCATTCTCAAAAAACATAAGTGAATCGAGGATCATTGAATTTACTGCTGCTATTTTAGCTAACTGGAAGTTAAATTTGGGTTTTGTAATCTTGTCATCCCTTACTATAGGTGCATTTTATGAGGGAAAACTGTACTCTCATTGTGAATTTTGTTGTGTAGAGGAACAGCATCTATGCACGTGTTGACTCTGCTCTTCATCGAGTCAGGGAAACATCGGAGGTAAGTATTATATTTGCATGATCTGATCTTAGGTTGATCCCATCTTTATTATACTTATTATAGCCAACTGTCTTCCTTTTTGCCAGGCTGTGCAAGCTTTTGCTTCTGATTATCTGAAAACCCCTCTTGGTGAACCGGTAAAGGGTAGAAGGAACAAGACAAGCACCGAGTTATGGATGGAAAAGTTTTATAAGAAAACTACCAGCTTGCCGGAACCAATTCCTCATGAATTAGTCGAGCGTTTGGAAAAATACCTTGATGTAAGTTCAGTTTCACTAATGTTGGCTGTTGTCTTCATGGTAACTGACATTTGGGACTAACTTTTTCTTTATTGTTAACAGACCCTTGCTGAACAGCTTGTTGATCTAGCTTCCCAGCTATATGATCACAGATTACAAGATGCAAACTTGAATAGTACCCAGATTCTTCAAAGCTCCATTTTCACCCAGCAGTAAGTCCTGAATTTTTTAAATTCGTGCCCCTCCTAAGGATCTTTTGCTTTTGCACTTTCTTGTTTATAGAGCTTATATCTGATCATTCTTGACATGCCTTGAACTTAGGTACGTCGATCATGTGTTAGCTCGGGAGCGAGAGCAAATGAAGTGCTGTGGCGTGGAGTACAAGCTTCCGGTACAGTCGTCGCAAAACTTCATCTATGCTGGAATACTATTAGCTGGATTTGTTGTATATTTCATTGTCATCTACTTTTCACCATCTGTTCGATAAAAATCAAACTGTGTGGCTCGTGAACTTATTCGTGGAAGCCCAGTTTCTTTACAGAAAGAGAATTGAGATGTACAATTTTGTGAGGAATTGTAGAGAAAGATTTCTCATCTGGTTCAGTATGGAAGAGGATTTTGTAACTGATATTATACTTTCCAGTAGCACAGAATTAGAATTAACTATAGAAATCCGACATATTGTTTGAGGTACATGAATTTTTGTTAGCGACAGCTCTACTTTTGAATCCATTTTTAAGCATTTACGCATTCATTACATGTATTTTTGTTTTCGACGTCTCCACTTTTGAATCTATTTTTTAAGCACTTACATTAGGTTCTTGGGAGCTAGTTGCCAATTTTGTCCATGGCTGCTTGTGCAGTTCTAGTAAAATTATCTCTGGCTAGTTTTATGCAACTTTGTTTCTGCAGGTAGGTCGTATTCCATATGTTACATTTCCACATTGTGGTTTTTAAGTGTTTTCCCTATAAGAATAGTTTCACATTGGGTTTTGCTACACTCTGGACTCAAATGGTACTATTTTTCCCGTCAACATACTTTGTTCCTTCACATTTGGTTTTGCTATACTTCGGACTCAAATTGCTGTTCATATTTTTCGCTTACAACACTTTGTTCTTTAATTGATCAGTTACATTTAGATTTTTAATTTTTCTCACCTTCCATTGCACTTCGATATCACAAATCTTAACAACAATTTAGAACCACCTTCATATTTTCTAATGGTACACATCAAACTTACCATGAGACCCAGAAAAAAAAAAACCCTTAAAAAGATGTAAACTTGAGCTGCAATTACAAAAGGTTATGAGGGGATAGATCAGAAGTAGCTTTCTAGGCTGCATTGTCCATCAAACTGCAGCTAATTAGCTGCTCAGAGCCCAGTGCAATCATCATATCTAATTCAACCCCTCCAAAGATCCCAGAATACTGACCAAAAAAAAATGACGTGAATGAAAAAAAAAAAGTTTCTAATTAGATTTTTGGAGTGAATCCTCAGCATAAAAGCTTGTATTTGTCATCAATATTAGACATTCAGGTCTCAAAGATTTGCATGCCATCATAGGAATCCTTCCTCCCAACATCAAACAAACAAAACAAAAACTCAAATCTTGTAAACAATGGTTGAAAACCCAAATCCATGACCATGAATTAAAGCATCAGAAAAGGAGAAATTTGGAAGGAACTTATTCACTGGGCCCAGCAGCAATAGGCGAAGCGACTCAACGTTCCTGCCACTAAATCTCTGCCTCGCTATATCAAAAAAGATTTGAGATTGAAAACCCAGAAAAACATAATCTCTTATGGGTGCCAATAAGGAGGCAATATTATTCATATGAAACCAAAAAAAAAACAGAGAGAATTTACAGAGTCGAAATAAAAAGGGAGAAAACAAAAGGGGGCTTGATTGTATGGAGGTGATGAGGAAGACGATGAGGGGTTTAGGCTTTATAGCATTAGGGTTTTAAGGAATTTCATTGTTATGACCAACAGGTGGTTGAGCCCAGTTCATATTAGTATGGACTGATTGTTATTAATGACGTGGGTTAGGCCCGAGTAACTTTTAAGCCCACAAAAGAACTGAAACTTAGTTCGGTCAAAGCCCAAATGTCATTGTATGCTTTCTTTTGGATTGTTTTACTTTTGGTGGTTGGGATTATGCAATGAGAAAATGTAAATAATAATAATAATAAATGAGGAGAATTTTTTAAGAAATGGAACACAATTGTGAAAAAGAGCTAGCCCAAGTTAAAACACCCAGGCCATTAATTTTTTATTTATTTTTTACGGTTACAATGAAGGAGATAAAACATCTAGATACTAATATTCTGTAGATAAGAAACACCAATAATAGTATGTTTTAGCCGTGTTAGGTTATTAACTTTTTGAAATATTAGATTGTTTATTACAGACTAACTAACCGAAAAAGATTAATATGTGTCTCTGGCTTGATCTTCACTTACACTCCAAAGAGCCTTCGACAAAATTAAGGCTCCGTTTGATAATCACTGAAGTCTGAATCTGAACACTTAATACTTAACACTGAAGTCTGAAGTTTAAAGACTGAATTTACGTTATTTGATAAACACATCTGAATGTGATGTCTGAAGACTGAATCTGAATACTCAGGTTTGAAAGTTATTTAATATTTTAATATCATTAAAATTGAATTATGAACAATATTCTTTTAAATAGAAAAATAACTAATATTTTATTCTAAATAATATAATCATAATTTGAAAATAAGTTTTTGGTATATATAATGAAAGTATATATTACACTTGGTAAATAATCAATATATAATTAAATTTAGATTATTACATATATATATATATATATACCTTGTTATTTAGCAAATTTCATGCATTAAAATTAGTTTAATTTGAGTTTGAAAGTTTGAGATCTTTTATACTCATAATATAAATTTAACTTTAAGCACTCTTAATTAGTTCATCTTAAGAAAATAAAAATTTTAAAACAATGTAAAAATAAGCGTCGAAATAAAGACAAAGGAAAAAAAGAAAAAAAAGAAAAAAGAAAAAGAATCATTACAGAAATTAAGTGATAAGTAATAAGTGGTAGGCCTATCACTTATTTTTTGGCTCACAATTTAAATGGACATTCAGACGCATTTAATTAATTCAGATAGTGAAATTTTAGTTATCAAACATACTTAATTTATAAGTAATTAATTACTTCAGAACTTAATTCATTAAGACTTTTTAGTAGTGATTATTAAACACACTTAATTTTATTAAATACTTAAATAAATTAAGTCACTATAATAAGTGATTATCAAACAGAGCCTAAGGTTGTAGAATGCAAACATTAGATAAGAAAAGCTGTAAAAGTTCCTTTAAAGTTGAATCCAGAAAAGAAAACCAACAAAACTCTCAAAATTTTACCAAGATTTGTAGACGTGTCACTAACAAGGGAATATAAGCCAATGTGGGGAAGGTGGGAAATAAAAAGGGTGAAGAATATCATGTGTGTTTTGAGATATCCAAGAGGAATATTGATCAAATCAAAAAAAGAAAAAAGAAAAAAAAAAAAGAGAGGAATATTGAACAATATTTTTCACCCATATTGCATAATGTTCGCTGTTGGTCAGGGACGGAACTAGGTTTCAAGTACCGCATATGCTTAATATTACTCTTTCTGTCCCAAAATTATTGTACACTTTGAAATTTCATTTTTAGTACAATTTGAACTAAAAATGAAAATTTAAACTGGACAATAATTATGGGACGGAGTGAGTATTTAGTAGTATAGAATTCTTATATTACCCAGAATTTTGTTAAGCTTCTAGGGGCAGCTGCCCTTACTCTCTTGAAAATATTAGTTTTTTTTTTTTTTTTGGGTATAAGCTTACTTTTTTATGGTAAATACTACCATGCAAGAACTATTTATTACGAATATATTTTTAACTCACGCTAAGTTGTAATAGTTATATTTTTATTTTATTTTATTTTTTTAAAAAAGAGAGAGAGACTAAATTAAGAAGTCTTTACAAAATATATTACGTAAGAACAAAAGGTACAAAATATAATCTTTCTTTTTTTTTTTTTTGGTAGAGAAAATCATAATCTTTTTTTTAGAAATAAATAGGAAAGTATCTTGGGCCAGCAGAATTAAGAAAAGCCCTTGGAAAGAGGAGAAGGCCATAAAAAAGATGGTTGGGCCCGTGAGAATTGGGATTTCCTTTCTTCTCCAGTACCGTCACAACCAAAACTCCCAAATAACGCCGATTGGTTCGGCACTGTAAAATACAAAATACAGAGAAAGCGGACCTCGAAGTTGGCCGTCTTTGTGGAACCTTCCAGCAGCCCCCTGCAATGCTTAGCAGCCATCACGGGACAGACATAGGCTGGTCGGAAAATATTTCCGATCGGCCGGAGGGGCTCAGGCACATCCGAGCCCCTATGTAAGTCCATCCCTGATGTTGGCAAACTAATTACTCCATTAAATAAGCTATAAATATTCTCTCTATCCCAAAATGTACGTAGTAGAGGAAAAATTAAATTTTCTAAAATATATATGTCAGTAGGCATATTTTGTCAAAATTTTCTAATATTGCACTTACATGAGAAATTGAACTTATATTAAAAGTAAAATTGTATTAGATAAAAATATTACTCCCTCCATTCCAAAATAAGTGTCATTTTGGCAAAATGGAAAAATTCCAAAATAAGTGTCGTTTTCAGATTCCAATGCATTTTTTTGTCAAAAATTTCCAAACATACCCTCAAAAGGAATAATATTATTGGTGAACATTTATTTTAATGGGATTGGTTGAGATATTCTAGTAATTTAGTTACCATATTTAATGTTTTCTTAAACTGTGTGCAAACTCTAGAATGACACTTATTTTGGAACGGAGTGGGTATTACATTAAAATTGTATTGGAAGTAAATGGAGACGATTCAATATTTTAACAAGATATTAATGTCTCCTAAAATTTTATGAAATTTTTCCGACAATGTATATTTTACAATAGAGTGTTGTTTTTTTTTGGATTTTTTTTATAATAATAAAATAATAATTATCCCATTCTAGTATATTTTTTAACATTTTCAACACTTTTTTTTTTAAATTTCCAATTAAAAAAAATACCTGAAAACATACGTTAATAAGTACGATTACTAACCAAAAATTTTACTCATTTGCCCTACGTACACTATAAATTTTAGACCATGACCTATATGGTCAACGATAGTTGTGAACACGATCATTTCCATCGCAACAAAATGGTTATTGTGGAATCTTTCAAGAAGAAACGACTGGTTGAAAATCGAGGTCCGAATCACAAATTTGGGACCATTGAATGGTGCTCAACAATCAAAGACGCACATGTCTTCCAACTTTATTGTAGAAGAATCTTGTCCACTACGGCAGCAAGAACTCGTACAATTTCGGAGTCACTTGAAAACATCTTCGAGTCAACACAATCAAGTTCTTTTTCATACTACTAATTCTTATGTTCTAATTTTAGAGCTCCAAAATATTCGTGTCAACAAGGAAAAATTTGCAAGACTATTTGAAATGGTTAGATACATACAAAGGAAAAATTAAATGGATATATTTGGATTAGTAAAATGTAAATATAGATTATATATGGTCTCAAAATTATTGTCCAGTTCGAGTTTTTATTTCTAGTTCAAATTATACTAAAATTAAAATTTCAAACTGGACAATAATTTTGGGACAGAGGAAATATGTTTTTGTCAACGGATTTTTCTTTTGATATTTTTTTTTTCTTTGAGCTAATAAGTAGTAATCGGAAATTCGGAATTAAACTTATATCATTTGATTTGATAATTAGGGTTCAAAATTGTGATGGAAAACGAATATAACTAAAGTCGATTCCCTTTGGACAGTATAGTGACTGTTCTATTGACTGGAAGTATCTCAGCTGATAAGTACATAGTCCAAGGCCAAGACAAGAGAACCGTGTGGATCTGTCAATTCCCGTTTTCTCGCGCGGAAATTACAAATGAAAAAAGAAAAAAAAAACCAAAAATACAAATTGAATATTCAAACCTCTATTTTTGTGTGGTCTTAACTCTCAAATGAAAAGGTTTGTTTATTATGGTGTAAAGACAAGAAAAAAATAAAAATAAAAATAAAAATAAAAAAATGCATGTGATCATAATATCACATATACGTGGTATATTTTCATGATTGACTACCGTTGTAATATAGTCACATTTTTGTTTTCCAGTAATCACTAATCTGAATGACATACGAAAGACATTACCGTTCCCTAACAACAAAATATGTTATGTATAAACTTGTCATCAACAACGCGAAATGAAGAATTATTGTTCACTTGTTTTTTTTATCTTATATCCATAAATAATGGAAGTTTCTTTGATCAAGATTCACACTTAAACCCAATATACCGGAAATAGTATTTTTCTCGTCTTGTATTAATAATTCATACACACTATATGCAAAAAAAAAAAAACAAAACAAAATTTATTAAATTAAGATGATAAAGAAATAAAATTTGTTATATATATCTTCTAGTTGAGAGTGTAACTTACAAGTGCTCCACACTCAAGGTAACTATTGAGTTTTGAGCTATGGTCAATGGTTAAAAACCTGCATTTTTATTTGTTTATTTTTCGATTCAAGCAAATAACATGTTATCAAATAATAATAATTGACCTTCAGATTTTTGCAAACATAGTTCTTCAATTTTATTTATTTATTTTCATATTTGCAGGGTGTCCACTATCGGCAACAGTGACTAATCCCCATCACTGAATTGTAGGCACTTCAATGGATGTGACAACTGGCCAAAGTATTTAAGTTTACTCCATGCTCATGACGAAATTCGAACCCTCGACTTATGGTTAAGGGTTGAAGAGTCCCTTCCACTCCACCCTAACCACTTTGGTTGTTCTTCAATTATTTTAAAGACTCTTGCCCATCAAGAAACTTACACCACAATCTTATTCCAACATGTTCTCAATTTGGTCTTTGAAAAATTTTGGGCTTGAAGACAGAGAGCTGATAGGTCCACTAGATTGGACCGGTTCGTCATTGAGTCCATCACCAAACCAATGTGACGTCAGCTCATACGCATGTGCCTTGAAAAGGTAGCCCACAATTTTACCTCCTATAAATTCAGCCCGCCCGACGGGAGCTTTTTAGCAGAATCACGTTCTTCATTAAACTTTGGTTTCCATCAATTTTGGGACTTTTCTCCAGAAGACTCTTCCTTTTTTTTTTTTGATATTCCGTAATTCATTTCAAAAACTCACCGGGATTTGAACCATGTGTCCGACCGGAAGCGTCATTGGTAGGGAGAAAGGGAGAAATTCGAATCTCCGGTCAGCATTCGACGTGCTGGACGCTGACCACGACGGGAAAATCAGCCGGGACGATTTGAGAACCTTCTACGGCGGGTATTTCGGCGGAACGTCGTCGCAGAACGACTACGACGACGTTATCGGGACGATGATTTTCGTCGCCGACGCAAACAGAGACGGGTTCGTTGAATACGATGAATTCGAGAAGGTTCTGGGGGGCGGCGGCGGCGAGAGGCCCGGAAAAAAGGTGAACGGAGGCCGGAGTGGTAAAGACAGCTTGATGGAGGATGTTTTTAAGGTAATGGATAAAGACGGAGATGGGATTGTGGGCCATGAAGATTTGAAGGATTATTTGACTTGGGCTGGGCTGGCCGTCAACGACGAGGATATTAAGGCCATGATTAAGTTGGGCGGCGGCGGCGACGGCCGTGGCGTTTCTTATGAAGGATTGCTGAAGGTTTTGTCTGTTTAATCAATTATTATTATTATTTGCGAGGAAGACTACTTCAAGAGTTTAGGATTTTTTTTTTTTTATTATGATGATGACGATAAATCATAAATGTCAATGACAAGATTATTGTTTTGATTAGGAGTTTATGGAAATTTTGGAATATAATTGTGATTATATTTTGTATTTAATCTTTTTTTTTCCCCACCACCTGTTTTAAGAAAATTGATGAGAAATCATTGTTGCATTCAACTTGATGTTATTCTCATGTCATTTGTAATCTGTTTCTCTCAAACTGATTTGTTCTTTGTTCTGACTTTAGAGTTGTGACGATGGAGTATTAAATTAATCATGACATTATTCTTTTCCCATTTTAGAAGTCCTTTTCTGGGAGCGATAGTTTTATGCGTGTGTGTGTGTGTGTTTTGGTTGTTGTTGTTGTTGTTGCTCTTGTTTTGTGTGGGTACTTTTACAACATTGTTACAAGTTTGGAGCAACTCTTCAGAGGATTCAAGAGGCGGCGATCTCTTGTTAATTGTTTACTGAGAAACAACAAAGAAAATGGTTCTCTTGTTAATTTTGATTCACACGTTTCTTGCGCAAATGTATAAAATTCTCTCTCATTTGAGTTCACAGCAACCATCTAAACCGGTGACAATTTACAAATGCTCTACAATTTTAATAGAGAGAAGATCAAACCTTTCTCGACAATTTTCATAAATTTTGAAAGAGATACGACCAGTTTTAACTTGGAAGTGATTGAAATTTGATTCATTAACGTGCACACATCACTTGTGACATTCTAATTATTACCTCAAAATTTTAAATTACTGACGTTCGATGTTAATGTAGATTATTTTTTTGAAACGAAGAGAGTACGTCGTACAAATCACGGGGTGCATTGTTCACACATGCTGAGCTCGTGTCCTTTCATATCATTTTCATTTTAAGTTTTAACCACTAATCAGTTAAATAATTGGCCTTGAAATATCAGGAAACAATCAAATTTTGGCCCGAGAAAATATTCCTGTAGGGAAATTTGACTGTATGGTTTTTGGCTTCATATGAAGAGAAGAGATCAAGTCACATGTAGCCAAAAGCCAGCCACACAAAAGCAGCGCATATCAACTCACAAAGGTTGTCTTAATCCACTATGAGCTACAAGAGTATGTGTCCAGAACTACAGATGTTAAGAGCCTGTGACAATACCATTGTGAATCACAAATTATATGATGACGTGTAACTCCGTTCGTTCGTCCAATAACAAGTCTTGTTTATTGACTTAAAATAATCTAATATTCAACATTTTTATAACTTGAACAGAGAAAATATCGATTTATTAGTATTATGGTTGCAGGCCTCGATTAAGTATTTTGAACCTCTCATAGATAAATTGTACTCTCTCCGTCCCGAACTTATTGTCTAATTCAGAATTTCAATTTTAATACAAATTGAACTAAAATTGAAAAATCAAACAAGACAATAATTTTAGGATATCGTGGAGATTACATGAACTCAAATTGTTCGACCACTTCCGCTTTCCCATTGTATTGTAAACTTTTACACTATTGTATTGGACCAAACAAAAATAAGAGCAAACATGATTCTTATTTCGAATTTTCGATTGATTTTTTCGCAATTTATTAGCAAAATTCACAAGAAATCCATCATACTTATTATGGAATATACGCATTGATTATGACACTGTGTGGTTAGATGGATCTGATTGATACGGGCATGCATTTTTTTTTGTGCAAACTAGATAGCAATTTAGATTTGAACAATGGACCTGATTGATATGGATTGTTTGTTATTGCTGTCTGTTTTTGGGCACCTGCATTGATTAAATTTGTTCACGAACAAATTAATAAGGAAAAAGGCTTTTAAAACTAGCTCACATCGTTGTTCCTTCCATTAAATCTCAAAAGTGAAATAAAAAGACAAATAATGCGATTTAAGAAAGCAGATGTCAACATTACTATTTAGCTAAAAATTGACAAGTGAAGTATATGTGATTCTAATTAAAGGAGCAGAAATTTGAAATACCCCCATTTTGTTTTTCAAAACTATAAAAAATAATAACTCTTGTTTATAATACTCTATCAATTTCCGAAACAAATAAAAGTTAGTTACGTTTGTGACATAAATAAGAATCTAATTTTGGAACGAAGATAATACTCACTTTCTCTGTAGTTTTGTTTTGAATTTCTTACTTTTGTTGTTCCTTTATTTGCCTAATTAGGTGGTAAGTACTAATTGATATTTCGATATTTGGTATTTGGATTAACTAATTGAAAGATTTATGAGAGAAATTGTGAAACACGAAAAAGAAATCACGCGGGAAAAAACGAAAACAAATAGGCGTGCTTATTTTTTACCTACGTATGTTGGTCTTATTTTCTATCTAAGCCCATGTTTAGAAATTAAGCCCAAATTCTTTTCCTTATGCAGATCTACTTTTTAGAATATGTATTGGGCTTTAAGGACATGGACTTCTGTTTTGTTCCTATTGTCCCAGTCAGTCTCACACAATCACACTAATATGAAATGCCTCTCTTGGTGATTCCTTATATGCATTAAGCACTATGTGCTGGTTTATCCAAAACAAGATTCCTTATAGTTTTGAGATGATTAGGTCATATTTTATCTCTCAATAACTAAAGTGGTTGTAGTGGAGTGGAAGGGATTCCTCCACCCTTAACCATAGGTCGAACGTTCGAACCTCGCTATGGACATGGAGCAACCTTAAATACTTTGATGCCGACGGTGAACACCCTGTAAATATGCAAAATAATATATTTTATCTCTCAATGCAGTTGACTAACAATGGAAAACATCAAGTTAAATTTTGCTAATTTAGTCATTTGGTTTCCGTGAAAAAAAACCTAAGTCTAACTTGGAGAACCAAAATAAATATCAAATTGAGTTTCGTCGATTCAATCCCGCAATATTTGTAATGAAGCCAAAGTTGACGAACAAAAATAAAGATCAATTTAATTTCATGATTTTCATCGATTTAGTCATGGTTTTTTTTAATAAATTTTTTTAATCTCATATTTACAGTAGTCTTTTCAATTGATTTGGTCATTGGGCTCTTTAATTAACTCCATGCCTAAATCCACGAATGTCAAATATCTATCTGAGTATCATCGACTTATTCTTCCGGCTCTTTGATGCATTTATAAGTCGACTAAAATTCCTAGAAAAACAAAAAACCCAATATATCAAGTTAGGTTTACTTGAGCGTCGGGCTTTTTTTGTCTCGTAGCTTTAGTCGACTAACTAAGTAAACATCAAGTTTAATATTGTCGATGTCATCGTTGGGTTTTTATCTCATTGCTGAACAATATTAAGCATCCATTTCAGGTTTTGCCATTGGCTATTTATCTTGGTGTCTAAAGTGCAAGGAAAAAAAAATAAACACGAAAGGATTCAATTTGAGTGTTGGCGACTTAGACATTGTGATCTGTATCTTGATTCTAAGTCGACAAACAATGTCAAACATCAACGTGGGCTTCGTCGACTTTGTAGTCGGAATATTTTGTCTCGACGATAACGTCGATGAACGATAGCAAACTAGAAAATTCTCAACAGCATGTCTCATAGGCGAGACTGATGTCCAACATGAAAGAGATACAAACATAGACGATCACACTTTCATTAATTCATTACCATAAGATCATACACATTTAGCAGCTTGACAGCCAATTTTATTACATCAATACTCTAAGACAAATTACTTAGAAAATTAAATGATACAGAAATCCTTTTACTCAACCGCCACACCTAAGAAGCATCTTGGGACTTGCATACTATGACAAACCAAGTGACAGACACAAATGAAACCGGGAATTCATACTCAGCTTCATAAATACTTTGGACGATATTGCGCACTGTACTCATTTCATTTCGAAATGATTGTTCAATTCAGATTGAATTTTTTTTACTTTTAGTAGAATTGAATTAAAAATAAAAATTCAAATTGGACGATCAACTTGAGACAAAAGGAGTATATATTATTACAAACATCCTCACATCATATCTCTAGGGGCTGATGCCACATTGTTTAGGAAGCTCGCATGGGAGATAGCGGTGACGAGGGTTCTGACTTGATTCAGAATCTCTATCACCATCGTCGACGTCATTTTCACTTGCTATTTTAGCATTAGAAAAGTAACCAGCCGCCGGAATGACTTTCCGGCCAAGTTTTGCCATGTTTGCATTAAGAACTTGGTGTTCATTTGGCTTCGAAGAAACCCTCTTTGCATCGACATCTTCCATAGATCCCATGATCAACAAAAAGGTCAATATAAAGAGAATCACTGATATTGTTGACTTCATGATTGATAACTTTACAAAAAAGAGAGAGGAGAACTTGTTAATCTATCAAATTAGGTAAAAAAAAATTTTTTAAAAAAAGAAAAGAAACGGGGGTCAAGAATCTACTTAGGGTTTAAAGAAAATTATTACCTCTTTTCTTGCTTGGTATACGCAAGAAGTGGTGTGGGAAAAAGGTCATCACATACGCTAGGATTTATAGTGGGATATTTGTACGGTGATTTGATTATTTTATGCAGGATAAAGTGTAAAATGTATAGGAATTAAAGCAGTATAAAAAAAAATGTAGGATTAGAAAATAAAAGTGGTGGAATGGTTCAATTTCATCAGGAATTAAGCTGTAGCCACCAAGCAAGTAATAATGCTTATTTCTTAATTCAAAAACTTAATGCGTTTGAGAAACTGAATTGAATTCAAAGTGCAGAGAATGAGTAATGTAAGATATTGTTTTTTTTTTTTTCCGTTGCGAGAGTTTTTGCCCAATTTTGGGAAAGTTGGAATCGGTGGGCTGGATGTGAGTGAAATCAGATTGGAAGAAGATCAAAAAGTAAACATTTGCTGTTGATAGGGTTTTTCATTAACATTATGGAGATCGGATATCTCAAAATGTAATGATAGTGTAAATTAATGAAGACTTAGAACATCTTTGTTTATACTCCCTCGTTCCTTAATATAAGTCATTTTGACTTGTTCTAGGTTTCACTTAATATGTATTTTTAATTATCGAAAAAACCTTAAAAATATTTTCTAACAATCAAGAGAATACAACGAATGTGAAAATATTTTTTCTAAAGGTTTTTCTTCAATAAAAAAATGCATACTAGATGAAATTTAGGACGAAATCAAAATGCCTTATATTAAGGGCCGAAGGGAGTATGATAATAAAAAAGAGAAACAAAGACTCTTCTTGTCCATTCATTTAGATTGCTCATAATTTTGAGAAAATCATCAAAATACCTTAATACTCTAATGCATTTTGAATACCCTCAATCGATCTCATCAGAACCAAATCTTAAAAATGAATTATTCAAAAGATTAAGATACCATTTTCTCATAACAAAGTACTTAGCAAGATGATTAAGGCTGAAAAGACAATTAGTTTCACATGTATAATAACATTGTGTATTTTTAATTCGTATTGATTTTTATTTATTAATTAATCTGCACGAGTACATGGAATTTCTTCATCGATGGATTTGAGTGACTTTTTTTCTTTTGGGGGTACACTTTGTTAATTGAACATCTTGAGATAGACTGCTTCTGTACCTAGTACAATATCGTGTTTTAGCCATGTAATTTAACCTCAGAGGTAGTTCAAACAAACCCTGAATACCAATCCTCTAATTTTTGTTGCGTTTTTTTTCTGCCTGAAACTATTTGCTTTTGTGTATCTTATATATGTACAAAAATACTGATATTTCTGCACGATTAGGATAATATTCATTTATCCACAGTTAAATACTTGTGCTTTTCCCTCTTCAACTAAGTACGTAAGAAACCTTTCACTTCAGTTTTCTGCTTTGTTACCACAATAATAATGTAGTACTGTAGACGTGATCCAATAAGTCTATGCTCATGAATAAGTACTTCATCGGTTCTACAATAATTGCCGTAATTTTGTATTGAATTTTGAAATAAAGGAAGTATACGGATTTTTATAGATAAAATATACTCTCAGCGTCCTCATATGGTGACATTTTTATTTTTTTAGTTCGATTTATATTAATAGTGAAAATTCAACCTGAACAATAATTTTGGAACACAGAGAGTAACAGTCATAGAAAAATGAAAACTTTCCAAGATTCGAACTTTATCTTTTTTAATCAAATTTACAGACAAAATACACTGTTTTAATTCCTTTTTCATTAACAAGTCCATATTGTAATTATGATTGCTTCTCCGGTAATATAACTACTAATGGCGTGACTATAGCTACAGTAATCAAGTGGAATCCGACTGTAATAAAGGGCAAATTAAATTAATTAATTATTAGCAATTCGACGAAGAAAGTAATTGAGGGCGTACTGTAATTGCCACCAACCACAGTAAGTAATATTGATCAGATAAGTATTAAGAAAAATGCAGAGTTTTTTCAAACATGGATCATGATTTAGATTGGGTTATTCTCAAATGACTGGGGTGATCATGTCAATCGGGGTCGCAAATGGCAACTTCTTTCGCTTTACCTCGTGAATAAGGATTAAATTGTTATCTAAATATAGTAATACTAATTTCGTTAATATATTATGCATTTAATATCTGAAACTAATGTTTCCACTAATCCAAATTCGTGCATTAACTATATATATATATATATATATATATATATATATGCATTCATTTCTTTTTGGTGACCAAACAAGTTTTATGAACTAATCATTTTGAAAAGTTAACAAACAAGTTAATTAATTACGATAGACAATCGTTAATTAGGTAAGAAAACGTATGCCATCTGAGGGGAAGGGACTTTTCATTTCTGATGTCTGTCTTACCTCACATTAACGAGGACATAACTAATTGCTCTTCCATTCAGGATTTGAAAATCCTCCTTCATATATAGCTCCAAATTAATTTGTTGTAATTAACCCCAATAAAACTATAAAATAAATAATCATTGTAATATAGTAAGGCTAACTAATCGAATGAAGTTTGTACAAAAAAAAATAAAAAATAAAAAAATAAAAGAGTAAGCGAATGTAGAAAGAGTAGTGTCATTGCAATATTTGCAAATGCTGTTTCCTCTCCGTCAAATTATTGCAAAATGTTGGAAAATTTACGTTTGACCTCTGCCTTCCATCGACCATCTGATCCGATTGATAAAAACGATGATACTAATAAAACCTTGGAAATATTAAAATTAGCCATTTAAGCAAAGAATTGTGGTTGCGGTTAAGACTTACAATTGAATTTATTTGCGTTTGGTTTTGAGGGAGGGGCAAAATTAGCTCCATGCATTTATATATGTATTGCGAGGAGAGTAACATACAATGGTTATTTAATACAAAGTTCAATTGAATAATATTGCATGACATTGGAAATTTTTTAATTTTTTATTTGTTTATAACAAGTTATTCAACATTCCCTCGATACAATAACTTATTATTGAAATAATATCATGTAGCAGTCCCTATTATATGACGGTTCACTATCGTTCGTTTCAGTCTTATCAAATTATAAAAGAATAATTATTAACGAAAATAGTCACTTATATTTTCTTGGGTGATTTTACATTTCACTGTCATTTTGCAAATTACTGCAGTTTACCATCTTTGGTGAGGTTCCTGGCTTTACCACAAAAAAAAAAAAAAAAGAGCCACTTATACTGATAGCCAATTTTTATCAGATACATCAACATATATATGTATAACACAGGTGAAATTAAACAGAGAAATCAAAACTGAACCATGCATAAACCTATATATACACATATATGATGAAACTCATATTGTATATACTCTGGAAACCATATGCAATCATGCAAATTACAAAAGACACTCTTCACAAGCATCTAACTATTGACGCACTGGTACGGCATCTCGCACTTGAAGTAGCGTTGCCGATATGATGGATTAGGATCTCTTTCGTCGTCGTTGGCGGCGGCGGCGACACTTTCCTTCTGATCAGCTACCGTCCCTTTCTTGTGCTCATTTTCAGGGCTTTCATTCTGCTCACTACTTGCTAGTCCTTTTTGTGGTGAAATTTTCCGGCCACCAACAATATTCTTGGTTTGATCAGCCTGTTCTTCAGCCTTCAGAGAAACCCTTCTCGCGTTGACTTCTTGGAAAGAAGAACCCATAATCATCAGCACAAAGCCAATAAGGAGAATCATCATCAGAAAGGTTGACTTCATGATATTGGATATTGTTTTTACTCTAAACAAAGTTGCTATATAGTATATATGCCTGCGGAAAAGTTGAAACTTAATTAATGTTGTTAGTGAAAAAGTTATCATCAAAATACATGAAGTAATTAATATAAAAAAAAAGAATTCAAGAAATTAATTCAAATTTATAACTAGAAGAATTAGGGCTCCTGATTCTTGAACCAAGTACGTACCTTAATTACTTGACTAGGAGTGGTGTGAGAAAATTTAATCAAAGTAATGTTGGATTAAATAGATGGGATTTTACCCTCAGTAGGAAAAAGCGTGAAGGGAACTTTTTGTACTGCGGCCAATGCCATTTTGACAACTTGGAGGAAAAAGGTTTAAAGTTAATGATATATTGACACCTATAATCCCTTATCAATTTTGCAGTGAAATTACACCAATCAATCAACTCGCTTGGTTTCGTGTTAATTGTACTGTTTAGTCAGTTTGAATATCCGGAACATTATCTTAAATTTAATTTAATTGCTTTATGATCAAGGGGGCATATAGTACTGTACATCCGTCCACTGAATAAAACGTGAAATACTTTGATGCACTTTGGACATGGGCAATAATTTCAAGATGGGGTTATTATGCTTGCATATTAGGGCTCAATTTATGGTGGGAAGTGATTTCATTTTCCATATGGTAACTTAAGTTCTTACTTGTGATAATTGTAATTAAGATTTTTTGTTTGCTTATACAGGTTTCTTGTAAAGTGTTAAAATTATATTCTTTATGTCACAAAATAATTATCTAGTTAGAATTTTTGAGTCGGAAAGATTTTTTTTGTTTAAACCCGAAAAACACTATAATCGCTCAATACTTTCTTTTTTTTTTTCCGGGTTCAATAATTTATTGAACAACTTATATATTGGGATAGACCCGCGTACTCCAAATGTGAATTCACAGAAAGAAATTTTTTTCTGAAAAATAGCTTTCTCAAAGTAACCGAGAATTTCATATTCACAGCAAAGTGGTACACAATAAAGTTAGCAATGAACAGTGATTTTTAATTTTTTTTTTAAATCTTTTAATATTCAAATAGTGAACATTGAAATTGTCCCCGTTAATTAACACGAATATTAGTTTTTATTTTTTATTTTTTATTTTTTACAACAGATCAGTGGCGATTCCTAATTTCCTTTCCAGGTTGTTTTTTTTTTAAAAAAAAATACTGTAACTGAAAATAAATAACTAAGCTATCACCAACGCATTTATGACGGAAATTTTTTTTGTACACAATCTGTCGAAACTTCACCTAGGACTTTCCTTAAGAAATTAAGTATATGGAAAATAAGATCAATATCTTTTTTCATGCAACAACATATCGATAAGATCAAGTTTTTTGGGGAAATATTTGCCATCATACCTTATTTAAATCTTCAATTAATTAATAGCAAAACACAAAATTCTTGGAAACGAAGCAACTTTTTGGGTTCTTCTTCTACAAAAGAAATTAAAGAAAGTTTCATCAATCAATCTTCCTCCATCAATCCATCGATTAAGGCATAAAGCTTAGGCACAATTTCTTTAAAGGTAATTTTCTCACAAAATTAAATCTTTTTCCTTTGCTCTTTTTCTGCTTTCATATCTTAATATATATGCATCGTGTTCATGGAATTTCTATGGTTGAGATTTTGTTTTTGATTAGGCACTTTGAATTCTCTTTTGAAGTCAGTATCCTAAAAATGTTTTTTTTTTTTGAAACTTATTCTAAAAGGTTTAGAATAAGATTGTTTAGAAAAGTCTAGAATAAGATTGTCTGGTTGCGTTTAAGGTTTATTATGCAATCTAACTTTTGGGCAGTATTTTCTCAAACATAGACTAGTTTTTGTGAAACGTCTTAATTATCTCGGTTTTTATGGATCCTTATTATGCTTAAATGGTTCGTAAATATTAACAAACTGAAATTCCTGGCCATTATTATACATCATAGGAAACCCTAGCCTGTTAGGAATTTTGAAGCTATTCAGCCTAAAGAACACATGGTATTAAGTTAAAAGTTTTATGTGGGGTTTTCATACGTAGATTAATTAACATTTAACAATTTTTTTTTCTCGTAATATCTGCTTGAATTAAAGGTAGATCATGATTCTTCCAGCCTCTGGGATAGAAATTAGAAAAGCCCTTTCCGCTGAAGTATCAGTTCAAAGATAGAATTTTGCTCCACAGGATATACAAATTAGAAAAGGACCAAAAGTCTCTTTACGATATTATGATTGTTCTTCATAAGGACCCGTTTCAGGATTGGAACATATTATCGGTATTTTTTTTTCTCGAGGGATGTATTGCCGTTGTGATCTAGACTTTTGATGCTCGTCACGTATTCCCTCTATCCCGAAATTATTGTTCAGTTTCATATTTCACTTTTAGTATAATTTGAACTAAAAATGAAAACTCAAACTGGACAATAATTATGGGACATGGAGAGTACCAATTAAAAAAGATTGATTTTTTCTTTTCAGTTTGTCTCTTTCTTTTAAACAATAATAATGTTTCGTGTTTGAAAGCAGTGGGGTTTCCCGGAACCTTGATTAAACAAAACAACGTAGTTAATTAGTCTCTTAATCTTAGGAAGCATGAGTTGTAAAATCCTACAAAGAGAAAATAAAAATACAACTAAACCAAATTCGTGAATACATTTTAAGTTAATCCCCCAACCTAATGTTTTACTTTTCTCTGTATTTTGTTTGATGAATATTACAACATATATTATTCAAATGTGTTTTGCATGTGAAGCTATACCATGGGTCGTACAAAGTTGGAGATAAGCCAAATCAGTAAGGAATCAACACGCTACAAAATTTTTAAGAATAGAAAAGATTCTTTGTTCAAGAAATTGCTTGAGATCACCACTCTTTGTGATCTGGATGCCTGCATGATCCTGTATCCTCTCAGGGGTGGAAAATGCTCGGAAACCATCCACAGAGAGATATGGCCAGACAATTTAACTAAGGTTTCTAAGCTGATCAACGACTACGGAGCTCATTATAGCGCTAATATCAACGTTAGCGCTAGCCTGAGCTTCACTTTGACTGATTTTTACAGATTAAGAAAAGACAAAATCCAAAAAGAGATCAAGAAACATCTCAATAAAGAAATGGAAATGTTGTACCCTACCTCGATTGGTTCAATGACGAACACTGATGATCAATGGAGAGAACTACCTAGCAAATTGGACAGTAGGCTTAATAATGTCAAGCGTAAGATGGATTCTATCGAGGGATCACAAAACAAGTTTGGAATCAAGGATGGTTATCAGTTATTCCGGCAACAACCACAACAACAGATGGTGACGTATGAAAACTGCAACAGCCATGCAAACAACACCATAACAACAACAAGATCATCAATGCCACCGCCTACAACATTAGGTCAAAACAATACTATAGACCAATGGCCGGTTAATGTTAGTCCTTTTTTGGAGAAGAAAAGTGACTATAATCTTGTTCCTCCGGCGTTGCTCTACCAAGATAATCAGAATCGTAATGCTTCAATGGGGAAACCGCAGATAGCTTGTCCGAAGAATGACCATTATTATAGTGGTTATAGTAATGGTACATCATTGTCATCATCCAATTATCACGGTCAATATGTTCCACTCAAGCAAGAGATAATTCCGTATGCAAACTATTATGGTTCAAGCAGCGATGTCAGCCAGATCCAAAACAACGTAAATTATGGTTCGTATGGTTATCCTCGCTTCCCTGGCCTAGCGGGTTCATCATACCAGCAGCACCCTATTGTGGCTGATGATGGTCGATGCTCATGTTCAACCTGCAGCCGGTTTGCATTCTTCGGTGGAAGAGGAATATAATGGTGCAAATTTTAATTGGTTCCTATGCAGAAAATTTTCGGGGTTTTCTTTCATTTATATTTATTATTATGCTAGTTCTTTTTTTCCCCTTCTAGATTTTTTTTTCTCAATTCCCCTTCTAGATTCAGTAACGTAATGAAGATATATCTAATACTATTTTCTTCTTGAATTTTGATATCTTGTCATCGGTTTATATGTTAGTGTCCTGAGAACTCTGAATATAGTCCTTTTTTTTATTTTTGCTTTTTCCGGGTTGAGGAATATAGCAATTCAATTTCATACAATTCGGATGAAATCAACTTTTTCTATATAATAATTTTTTTTTCGTCTTTTTGTTTGTTGAGTTTGCTGCAGTAAATCATAAGAAGAAGGAAGGATACCCCATTATTTTTTTGCAATTCTAACTATATGTATATATATATGTTCATGTAAAGCATAACTTCATCCAGAATTAAATAACTTCCAAGTTAATGAAGATCAGATCCAGTTACAATTTTTTCATCATATTCTATCATACATAAATTTTGTTTTTTTATTTCACATTATGTTGATGTAGTAATTAGGGTTTAGGGTTCTCTTCCAGTTCACTACCGAAACTCATAAAGAAAGGGGGAAAAAAAGTTTAAGTGACACGCGGTGATTTTATTTATTAAAGGATTTGATCTCTTTGATAGCAACGATCAAAACTCCCCCTCTTCAGCAATATTTGGAAGATTGATTCGGGTTAAATATGTTTTGTTACGCCATGGGCAAAAACAATTCAAAAGCCCCAAATATAGCTTGTGATATATATATACTAGTGAAGTCTGGTCGCGCAATGCGCGACCCTGGCCCAGTCTATCTGTATATCTTAGAAATGTTTATATTTGAAAAAAAATAAAATTTTGTATTTAGAGCGATATATTTTAGAAATATTTGATGGATTTAGAAATGTTTTATAAGTGTGATCATAGAAATATTTGTACTTCGCAAAAAAAAAAATAAATTGTATTTCGCCATGTATGTTTTAGAAATGTTTTATAAGTGTTACTTATTAAATATAAATAGCCTTAATCGAGTATATGTGTTGAAGTAAATGTTAGATAAAATATAAAAGCATCCTAATAAATTTGAATATTAGTAAGATGATTTATTGATGTTCTCCATTAGTCGTGCCAAATCAATACTTAGTTTTGGAGATTTTTAATAGCTTTGTAATAAGCTTCATCTGAAAGGTATACGCTTAAAACAAAATTGACACTTTGTAACAAAAAACCTAATTGATCAATTCAATTTAAAAAACCACTCTAGTTGAATGAAACATAAAGAAAAAATTAAAAAAAAAAAACATGTCACGTAAAGTGCAAAGGGAGATTTAGTAATTTTGTTATGGTTAGATAAAAGGGCAATTTAGTACTTTCTACATGCCACTTGGCAATCATATGAGGTGTTTGAAACGGAGGTTTTTGTTTCTAATATAGTAGGATATATATATATTCATAATGTTGTTGAATATTTTTATGAACTTTTCTTCTTTCTTTTTCCCCCTTTTATGTTCTTAATAACGAAGTTTGGGTCCATTAAATTTGCAAAATTTATAATTGTTACTATTTCTTTTAATTTAAAAACAATATAAAATATATAACTAAGTGCAGATATACTTTTTGGATAAATCCAAGTTATATTAAGATTGAAGGTCCAATACATTATTTTTATACTACGTGAACTTAGGATTAAAAAGTAGATCATTCGCGGAAAACGGAATCAATGAAAATTTTTAATTATCTTCTTCCAAAATTTCCTAATTCTCTCCAATTTCACTGTTTCATGTCGTTCTTCTATTTTAATCCTTTGAAATCATCTTCTAAAATTACTAAATTAGTCCTAAATAAAAATTATTCCTTACATCACATGCCGTGGTCCTCGAGAGTCTTCTTGAGGCTTTTACTTCGGATATACTAAATGTTAGAAGCATATAAATTAATTAATTATACTAATTGCCTTTCCTTAAAAGATAGCTACCAAATTAAGTAAGACACCGCCTAGAGGTTTTCTATTCAACGAAACATGTTCAGTTTTGTATATATGATTATTATGTGAGGGCATTTATGATGGGACAATATTCCTTAATCTTTTCATTAAAATAGGATCAACTTTTAGAAACTCCACGTATGACTTCCCTTATAGAAAAGATAAGAAATCAGTAAAACCAATAATCAATTATTATATTTCCTTTTTACATGCAATGCTACTTGGAAAAAATAAAACTTATACTACCTAAAGTAAATCATCAATAGAAAAGGAAAGATTCAGGCAAAGTTCTTTTTGGAAACGAAGCAACTTTTTCTGCTGTGTCTTCTCTATAAAAGCTCCAGAATATGTGTCCTCCGTCCTCCATTATTCCGTTCAACATAGCCAAAAAGTTCAGGCCGCAATTTCTTGAAAGGTAATTTCACAACAAAAAAAAAAAATTGCTTTGCTTTTTTCTGCTTTCTCGTATCACAATAATGTATGAAGTGTTCCTGGAATATAATTGCTATAGTTGAGATCGATTATGTTTCTGATTGCCAAATTGGTTATGCGCTAAAGTTTATCTTCAGTGTTTTTTTTTTTCCCGAATATTAAACATTCAAATTTGTTTTGTCAATTTAGTAGAATGGGTCATCGAAAGATGGAGATAAACCCAATCAGGAAGGGAACATCACGCCGTGCAATTACCAAGAATAGAAAGCAAAATTTATTGAAGAAGATGCAAGAATTCAAGACCCTTTGCGACGTAGATGCCTGTATGATAATCTATCCTCCCAAAGAAGAAAAATCCTCCTTGGAAATATGGCCCGACAACCCGGAAGAGGTTTCCCGGATCATCAACCTTTACAAAACTAATCCCAACGTTAAGCAGAAGTTCAGTTTGGTGGATTTTTATGATTGCAAGAAGAAGGAAATCCATGAAGAACTTAAGAAGAATCTCAAGAAACATATGGAAACATTATATCCCACCCACATTGATTCCCGCAACCAGTATTCGGAGGCTCAATTGAAAAGATTTGCCGAGGAATTGGATAACAAGCTCGATTTAGTCAAGTCCAGGATTGAATCAATCAAGGGATCATCATCGGCAATTACTGATCATGATGAAATTTTACGTCATCAACAAAACAAGGTTTCGACCATGAATCAGCCACCGCCACAAAAACAGACGATGATGCTTGAAGATTATTGCAACGATAATAATAGTAGAATCACTACTAGTTCATTTGTGCGGCCCACAGCATTAGACCCACATTTTTACCATTTTCTGTAAAGAAAAACTTATGTGACCATTTATTTTATATTGAACTTGCATTTTTTATACAGTATATATATATACTCAACATCGAATTTTTAATTTTGCATATTGTTCACTTTTTGCTCTTCTATTGTGAGGCAGATCAGTTATTATTCAATCTAACGCGATGCAAATCCAACCATTGTTAACAATATTAAACCAAATAAAATTGCTGTCCGAACACACACACGCAAGCGCGCGCGCACACACACACACACACACAAACTACATCTAAAGCTAGGTCTAAATTACACACTCTATTTAGATTGAACCCCTTTAAATTTTAATCCAAAACCATTCAACATGAAAAACTACTTATGCATTGAACAATCATCGATAACATTATGATAATCAAGGGGTGCATTCAACTTTGTGCGATCATGATCCTCATGACAGCTAGCAACTTTTGCAGTATTTGTCTCTCCACGAATATTTGAACTTCTTCGAGTAGAACCCTTTTGGCATTGGCTTCCAAAGATCCCGAAATTACAAATAAAGCAACCAAGAAAAATAACAAAGTAATCTTCATCCTCATCAATCCTTCAAAAGAAAATTGAACCTATTAGATATAGATGAGTAAATGTATTGAAAAGAATCACACATTGCATATGTAGAGTTGTAAAACACGAGTTATACTGTAGTTAGGGTTTTGGCTAAGATCAACAAAAGTGGGATATTGACGTACGTTAATAGAGAATGTGCACTAAGAAAAGTAAAAAAAAAAAAAAAAAGATGCTTTTGAATATTGGAGTATTCACAATGCTCTAATTCAATTGGTTGAAGGGTTCTTTCCATTCACCTGAAGATATTATTATTGTATTTTTATTTTATTTTATTTTTCATATTTACAAGGTGTCTACCGTCGGTAATAGTGACTAATCCTCCTCGCTGAATTGTAGGCACCTCAATGGGTAGGACAGCTGGTCAAAGCATTTAAGATTGTTCTATGCACATGGCGATGTTCGAACCCTCGACCTACGGTTCGAAGATATTATTGATAATGATTTTAAGTTGATAATTTTTGTAAGGCTTAGTGCTTACAATCATATCAATTTCTCAAATGTATTTTAGTTCCCTCATTACCATTAGGGAGATGTATTTCAGTGCTTTCCTCCCACGAGATTTTTTTTTTTTTTTCTTGACTTCCTCCCACCGAGGATTAGTGATAACCACAGTATTTTGACACTTTTTTTTTCGGAATATATGTTACGTATAATTGCCATTTTTTAATTAACTTTTGTTTTTTTAATTAACATAATTGCCATTTTTCTTAAAGCAAAAATAAGAAATCAGAAATTAAAAAAAAAAAATCAAAAGGAAATCTTCTTTTTTTTTTGCATGCAATGGTATTGGGAAAAAATCGAGTTATACCTTATTTAAATCGTCAATCAAATTAATAGGAAACCAAAGATTGAGGGGAAATTCTTGGAAACTAAGCAACTTAATGTTTCATAATCTGTCTTCCTCTACCATTAATCAATCGCTCAACAAAGGTAAAAAGCTCACTGCGCAATTCTTTAAGGTACTTCCTCGCAACGTATTAAGGATTTAAGTTTGCTACTTTTCTGCTTAATTTGGTTAATTTTGTCGGGTTTCCTGCGAAAAGTGCTATGGTTTGAGATCAATTATGTTTCTTCATTAGGCACATTGATTCATAATAAATAACTCTAAGTTATGACAATACTCTTAGTGTACATGTATATCCTGAGAACTTGACTTCGTGCGTAATTATTTGTTATTTTTAATTTTTTTCTTTTCTCTAACTCTATATGTTTTATTATCAAAGTCATCGGGAGTTAGAGATTTGAGGTATGGGAGGGTTAGGGGTGGTGGTTGAGATGGATCGTTATTAGTTTAATAAACCGAAAAATTTGTGTTCTCTTCTTTATCGTAAAGGTTTTGTTGTTCTCCCAATGGTTCAGATGGGTAACTGTTGTAGCGGTGGAAACGGCGGCAAAGGCGGCGGTGCGGTGGCTGCTGCGGAGGTGGTGGAGGCGGAGGTGGTGCCGGCAATGGTGGTGGCGGTGGCGGGGGCTGCTGCTTTGGAGGCAATGATGGAGAGAATGGAGGCTTTGGATGGAGTGGCGGCGGCAGCTGTAATGCAGGTGACCATGGTGGCGGCGGCTTCTGTGGTGGTGGATATTGAGAATTCCAGTCCTACATTAATGCTGGTTAGTTGTATATTGATATTCAGTTTCTCCCAACACTCCCAGCATCAATGTGGGATTGTCATTCTCAATACTCCCCCGCAAACCTAACGTAATTTTTGGTTTGGATTTGACATGGTTAGTTGTATATTGACATTCAGTTTCTCCCAGCACCAATGTGAGACTGTGATTCTCAATACTCCCCTGCAAATCCAACGTAATTTTTGATTTAGATTTGACCTGTTTTTTTTTTTTTCAGTCCAGACACCGCCTCACGTCTCAACTTTTTTTTTTGGGCTTTTTGGAGTCCGAATGTTGGCAGACTGACTTTGATACCACACAGAGTCCGAATGTTAGCGGACTGGCTCTGATACTACACAGAAGCCCTTGGGGTTCTGCCTCAAAACTAATTGGTAATGAGAGAAGTAACCCATAGAGCTTATATATTGCTACTCAGAGTCTCCCAACACTGATGTGGGATTGGGATTCTTTAATACTCCCCCACAAGTCCAACGTATTTTTTGGGTTAAGCTTGTCTTATTTTTTCAGCTCATGCGCCGTTTTATGTCTCAATCCTATTTTTTGTTGGAATTTTTTGAGTTCGAATGTCAGCGGACTGACTCTGATACCACACATAAGCCCATAAGATTATACCTCAAAAGTCAAAATCAATTGACAATGAAGGGAGTAGTCCATAGAGTGTATATATATTAATATTTAGAGTCTCTCAATACCGATGAGATTGGGATTCTTTAATTGTGAAGGCGGTGGTGGCGGCGGCAATGGTGGTGGCGGTGGCGGTGGAGGTGACTGCTGTGGTGGTGGTGGTAAAGGGGGTCGTGCCTGTGAACACTAAAATTTAGGTCTTTGACTTTAATAAAATTTATTTATTTTTGGATTTTGGATTTGGAGTTAGAAGGAATTTCTTGTTAGGATTGAAAAGTGAGTACTTCCTCCAGCTCTTTTTAATGCAAGTAGATAATAATTTTGGGAAAGAGAATAGTAATCTTAATTTTGATTATGCATGATTCGATGGTGGTATTGAGTTGTTGAGATTTCATATTGACAATGGGGTTTGTCAAAGAACTGAGATTAATAAATCGTTGATCTTAATTATTGCTGGACGATTTTCAGTAAAGTAATATAATATAATTTTTATTTTTTTTTAAAAAAAAGAAAAAGAATTGAGATCAATAAATTAGTCTACTTCGATCGAGTTGCATGTTTTCATCGTTCTTCTTTGTCTTTTTTTTTTCCTCTTATTTCCTACACTGCCCAATAATTCAAAGGATCGAGTATTGACATTTTGGTCCCTTCAAAAGGAAATGCGGGCAGGGTAGACCAACCTCTCGTAGGAAACAAAAACAATCAAATCCTATTTAAGCATTACAAATGAAAAAAATATGATGCGTCGACAAAATTTCTTCTATAATACAAGTTCAAACAAATCCTGGAAACCAATGATTATCATAATCCTGGAAATTATTGGTTTGTTTGACTCAAAGTTAAGTATTCTTCGTTTAAAAAATATTAGCATATTTTTCTTTTATAAAAATAGTATAATAAACATTACAATGATTTTGGGAATTAAAGTTACCTCCCTGTCAATTAAAATATAGCAAAAAGTGATCCAATACATCTTTTGTGATGTGAAGTATTTAGCTTTTATATGGATAATAAATTACAATAAAATTCTGAAGAATAATGGTACTGTAATGCAGTATGGCTGGACTAATTTATTTAAATAGTTTTGAGGAAGGAAAGGAAACGATGAGATTTTTGGAGATTCTCATTCTCCGCTTAAACCATTAGGAATCAAGTTGTCAAAAGAGTGACCGAAGGATATTATGGTTTGAACAGATTGTACCCGGCAAAGGCGATCTTCGTTCACTTTTTCACAAAATAATTATTACGCCGTCGACGTATTTGTCGGGCTCTATATATCGATGTATAAATCGACGTAGTATTCAAAGGTTTGTTTTTTAACCAAAATTTTTTTATTTACATTCATAACTTTCTCAATTCCTTTTTTTTTTTTTTGGTGGATAAATTAAATTTTAGCTAAAAAAAGCTCCATTAATTAGCCTTCGTCTATCAATCTTTGGATTAAGGTAAAAGCTCCGGGCATAATTTCTCGCATGGTAATTACTCAAAAAATAAGTTTCTTCTTTTTCTGCTTTCGTACCTTGATGTGTGTTAGTGCCGGTTGATGCCGTAGAAAGAAGCTAAGCACAGATCATGGATCAAACATCAACATATACTTGTTTGTAACATAAAACACACATAATCAAATTATTACAATCAATGCTAAGCCAGCAACTAACATTAAATCAAACAGACACATACCATTCAGCTAACATTAAATCAAACAGACACATACCCTTGTTTTTCAAAACACACAAATACATGTTCATTTTCGGTACAACGAAGGAGGCTAACATAAGAAGTGCTAACATAATAAGTGCGCACATGTCCACATAAAAGCTAGATATCTCATTGAGCACTCCATTTAGATTGAAGCCCTTTATTTAACAACCATTCTTGCATGAACACAACATATCCATATTGAAGAACAATCATCAAGGGGTGCGACGTGGCGGCTTGTTGACGTTGTTTTTCGCCGGTTGATCATCCGGGAAGTAGCGATGGGAGCTCGAATCGGAATCTCGTTCGTCTTGATTATCATCAACTGCGTTCAACCCAACAACATGGTGGCTATGATCTTCCAGATCCGAATGATCAACTTCATGATCGTTAGACCTTTGTAGTTCCTTACGACGTTCTTCGAGTAAAACCTTTCTTGCATTGGCTTCCCAAGACCCTGAAATTAGAAACAAAGCAACCAAGAATACAACCAAAGTACTCTTCATCTTCATCATCCTGCAATGGAAAATCGATGGATTAGGGTAACTAATTAATTAATAACTTAATATAATCTAGAGCACAAACCGTTCATAATTTTTTAAACGATATACCTATATCTTGCTTCTCCTGATTATATTTATGATTTGGTGGGGAGTTCATGTATTGGAAGAGCTTAAATATGACATTTATATAGTGGTAAAGCATGAGTTACAGTAATTAGGGTTTTGGCTAAGATCAACAAGTGGGTTGTAAGGTAAATCTAGAGAATGAGCACTAAAGAAATCATAAAGGGTGCTCATCCATTGGAAGATTCACAATGCTCTAATTCAATTGGATGAAGGTTTCTTTCCATTCACCTGAAGGTATAATTAATCATGATTAAAGTGATTATTAATAAGCTTAGTGCTCATGATCAATTTCTCCATGTATTTTTGTTCCCTTAGTAGGGAGATGTATTTGAGTGGTTTCCTCCCACGAGATTAACTTTGATTTACTCCCACCAAGGCTTAGTGCTGTCAACAGTAAATGAAGATACTTTTTGGGTATATTATTTACACTTACTCGATTAATTCGTATTTGAATCCATGGTTTTTTCCGAAAGTAAAAGTAAAAGTTAAAACTATCCTAAAAAGTAAATCGACACACTTTAATTACACATTCGGAGGATCTTTTAGATATGCATGTTTTATTGAATTTTCCTTTTTAGGTTTTTAAGAAATTTCTTCCCGTTTATTAAATTTCGTCGGACACAGTGATTAATTCGCCTCGCTTCGTCGGACACAGTAACTAATCCCCTCGCTCCCACTCTTCCACAATCCCTTTTGTTTTAAAAATTTTATTTTACTTCAATAAATTCTTACAAACAAATTGGGCTTTTCGTTACCTTTGGGCTTAAAGTACAAGGTTCTCTGAGCCAAGAAAAGTTTCACGATTGGGCCAAAAGAACTTTATGTTTTGGGCTGACACATTAAAGAGTTTTGACTTGGTACTTTCTGATATTTCTCAATCCGTTACCGCCAAAATTAAAATTCTTCGTGATCTTCTCTCTCACACATTCACACATTGGAGAAGTCTTGAGACGATGAGAGACTATCACCTCCAAACGCAGCAAAAGGATAACTCTGCCACAAGCCGTCGGCCGAAATCCGCCGCCGTTCACAGCAAGAAGCCACCAAAGGTATTGATATATTGCTAATTTCGGAACACACTCTTCTATCAATGATTTGTTGTTCTGTATTTATGGTTTTGATTTCGTAATCGGAATGCTTATATCGCTTGGATTTCCTATCAGGTTAGCCCCAAAAACCCTAACTCTGCGTCCTCTCCATGTGCGGAAGAGGATCTAGGGTTTGAATCACCTAAGGATTGGATCGATTCTTCTTCTTCTGTTGCGGAGATTTCTGACTGGAACCTTGTCGTAGAATCATCGGAGGTAACTCGCTAAATTTCACTCATTGATTTGGTTTCAGTTCGTAATTTGTTTGATGTTTTATAGCGTAAGCATTTTTATTTCAATTTTAGAGGTAAAAATTAGTCAAATTTTTAAGTTTGATGTTGTTCTGTTTGAGAAAAAGTGTGTGTGAGTTGAGTGAAACGAATTTGGAGTTCATATAAATAAGTTTAATTTGTATATCCAATGTGGAAAATTTCTGCAAATTTTATACTTCACTGTTCGTTCGAACTGATGAAGGTTGCAGTTTTGTTAATAGACAGTTAGTTACTACTGCTGGCTCCATGGATTTCGGTTGTTTTTTAGATCCGATTTTAGACATATTACTATCACAGGAATCGTCTGTTTCACTGACTCCTGCATCTGCAATCACTTCTGAAGCTGTTGTTTTGTCTGAAATCTCACCATGTTCATCAGTGATAAATTTTGATGAACCAAAAGATGGAACAGCGTCTTCATTTAGTCAACAAGATACGGCAGGTCAAGAAGTGAAGAAACTATCAAGTTCTGTTGAGGCAGAGGTGCTAATAAAATGTTTAAGGGAAGCTCAGGTTCAGGTATCAGAATCAAAAAATGTGGATTTGTTTTCTAAAAAGCTCCTGAATGCTTTGGTGACAATATATGCCGAAGAGCAATTTCAGTTGCCTGAGGAGAAGGATTGGTTCGATGTAATCATGCTGAAGAAAGGTTCTCTGGCAGTTCTACTTTTGTTGCTGTGGACCATTGCTGTGTTTGTGATTTTTTCCGATTTCTCTCACAGCAAATACGGTGGATCAATTCCAACTTGAAATTTTTGTTGAGTTACTGAGAGTAAGCTCTTTCTGAACTCACTCAAATCTTGATGAATGATGTTAAGAGCCTTTAGTTTTTAATCTTTAGTCCAATGTTTTAGACACGTATAGTTTGGGAGATTTATTAGATGGCCAATGGTATGATGACATTAATTTAAACTTTATATTTCATGATGATCAACAATTATAGTCTCTACATTGAAGTACACATTTATCTTCTGGATTTAGACCAAAAAGGTTATGCAGTTTGAGCTCTATGTTAATGTCTTTAAACACGTGTTGTTACCTTAAACTGATATGCTCTTAGAGTGATTGCAGATAGCATATCATGAATAGAATCTTTGATTGTCTTTATGTATGAGAGGATGCTTGTCAAGTTAGAACTTAGAAAATGCATCATTAATTGGAAGAAATGCAGGTTTTCAGTTTCAATATATAATCTGTTCTTTAAAAGCTTAATTCATTAGTCAATATCTCTTGTGAATACCTTCATTTCCTCCTTGTGAAATATATATGCAGTGGCACCAGTGGTTAAAAGGAAACAACTCTCACAATCTGTGTTTTTATGCGCAAACGTGTCTCCCTATGATGAGTTTATGGCTTGTTATTCACTCTGCTAATTAGACATATCATTTCATAAGTAGCCCCAATTTTTCCAAATTTCCTTGTTTTCTGGGACTTTGTATTGTCTTGTTGATTTAACCAACCAATTTCACTTCCTATATTTGCTGATGAATTCTTAGCTACTGTTGTTAACTGAGGCGTACATCATATTGTGCTAGACTGTTTGTAATCCAAAACAACAGAAATCCCGGATGTAACAGTGATAACTGCTAAGCAAATTCAAGAAAAATTGTGAACTAGTGGAGTTCGTATCACTTGCTGTGACAGTTGCAGCCTGAGTAAAGGTTAATGATTTTAGACTCAAGTTGATTTGTTCATGGCATTTAGGATGAAAACTTAAGCGCCGATTCTATGAGGTTTAGATTTTGGATGTACATAATACCGACTCTGTTGAAACTGAGGTTCACTTAGACCATCTTCTGGACTAAAGACTTAACATTTGTATTCTGTTTGGGCTGAAGGGCTGTAATGGGGTTCAACTTCGTCCTGTGGCACGTTTATAATGAGGGCAATGGTACACTGATTGCAAGTTTATCGAAATTTTGGATTAGACTATGTTTCTTATGTCATTCATGAAAATATGAGCAACTGCTGGAATTTTGCACCCTCTTTCCAGCCAATAGTATTGTGATGATACCCCCTTTCTTGTAATGATAGTCATGTTCTTAAAACTCGACTGAATACAACCCTCCTTGTCCTAGTTTAAGACCAGAAGTCCATGATTGAGACTGGCTGCTTCATTCCATACACCAAACTTATATATTGTAGTATTATATTAGGTTTTGGTACCTAGGTACTCTTCAAAGATAACCCCAAGTAGGTAGAAACCAAACTTGAGCTGTTATTAGAATAAAGAATTCCATTGGTCAATTGTTGCAATCATTTGAACCAACGGATGTTTAAGGCCGACGTTATGGTTTGTCTTATAGGAGAAATCTGGGAACCGTACAGATAGACTTATCTACAATGTGGTGCTAAGTATAGTATACATTTTCTTTTAAGTAGTAATAGTTTAATCCGTCTGTTACCTTCCAAGACCAAGAAATGATCCGAGTATTGAGCTCAATCATATGCGTGTTTGGCTAGCCTCTGATGACTTAACATTTTAATGTTCATTTCACATGTAACTGGAGCATTTCTTACATTTGAGTCTTCAAACAAAGAAAATCGGCATAGAGTAGAGATTTTGGTGAAAAGGTTAAAGCAGTAAAGAAATGACCAATTTTAAATACCATACCATAACAAGAAGTTAATTGGACATTGTACACGCGTAATGATACATTGCAGCAAGACATTCTGTTCTGTTTTACTTAATCTAACTCAAAGCTTGAATCAAAAGCCAACCTTGATTTGAAGACTTGGCAAAGTCTCCAAAGAGTATCATAACTTTCTTATCCTTTCTTTTAAGTATTTATTTAATTGATTTAATTACCTTATCCTCCAGTTAGTAATGATTCTGAAACTAGAACAGAAAATAAATAGTTGAACTGTTTTGTTGAAAAGAGTACTTCTTGTTTGGAAAGCAATAACTTTTATTGGTAACTTTGACTTGTAGTTGAGCTTATTTATATAAGTGGGGAGTGGTTATTAAGGAGCCGGTAATCTTAATCCATATACATCAACCCATATTGGCTTATATTTTTTGAATTCTTATATACATATACTGAAGATGGGTCCTCCTGTCCACTATATCGAGAAGAAATATGGATATGGAAAGGGCAGCTAAGCTAGGTACCATGTTCAACTTTACTTTAGATGAAAGCACCAAGTGATTATAGCATCCTTAAGAGTTAATTACCCTGGCTCCTTAAAGTTTGCTAAAATTAGGGTTTTGAACTTTGTAAGAACTACCATCATCTCCCTTGATTTGCTAAAGTATAATACGATGTCACCCACGCATTGTCAAAAACAATTGGTGCATTTCAAGGACGATTGCAACTTTTTCAGTGCATACACAACATCTCTCATTTGGTTATTTTGCACGTTTTACCATTGGCATCATTGTCCCATTAGTAATTTTTTCATAACTTTGAGGAGATCCAAGTAACTAATCCATAGTATAAATAATGATTATTTGACATTGAGTTGTTGATGTATTCAGGTTCTCCATGTTCAGGGGTTGATACAAGCCCCTACCTTTAGATTTTGGAAATCTACTCTCCCAGTCCAGTAGGCCATTGTTATTTTGGAGCTTTGGGGCAGAGTATTGCTTTGGTTTGTTTGTCCATCTATGATAATAATGTTACGCCTACAAATACTTGAAGATCCCTAGTCACCCCCTCGCATTGAGTATATTAGCCATTAGGGAACGAATTATTGATGCCCTTTAGCTTTTGGCCAATGGGTGGCACATTCTTCAGAGCCACAAACCAATCTGAGATGTTATACTCCCTCTGTTCCAAAATTAGATTTTTATTTTTAATTTGTATTGAAAATAAAAATTTAAAATGGATAATAATTTCGGGACGGAAGGATTACTAGTAAATAGGCATGTATATGATAAATTACTAGTTTACTAGAGTTTTATTTCGCTCAAGTTTTGATCAGCTTAGATAATGATTAATGAGAACAGAGAAAATATGAAAATAACAGGTACAAGATTACTGTTGTTGGCTTCACACGAAGTATGATTCATTTATGATGAATATGTTGGGATCGACATACACTGGCAAAATCAAATGTGGAAAGAAGGATTAATTGTTTTCATTTTTTTCTTTTTCTTTTTTTTGGGGGTTTTGGGTTTGTGAATTAATGAATAGATATGCAATAAAGAGAATTGGTAGGAGTCTATGATTATATATAAGGCCATATTGAAGGAGAACCCATATCTTAGAGGAACATTTTCTGTACAATGCAGCTCAGCAAAAATATGCTAGGCTCTTTGTGATTCTGGGTTCAAGGCATCAACAACCCTCTTCACTGTACTAGATTTGTCTCATAGCAGGGAGACAACTGCCTCTGGATCATCATATTTGCCAGCATTTTGTGTTTGTTTTGGCTTTTATATGTGGAGGAAAGTGCGTGTCTTTTTTCTTCACTCTAATTTTACGTATTTTACTGATTATTAAATTGACGCTGAATGATGATATATACCATATGGTAACGTCCATGATTGTCATGATGATTAATTAGAAGGGTTCATTGTACCAATTGATCTCTTAAGTTTGTGAAGATTGACGAAGTTTTTCATCTAACCTTAGTGAAACTACCAACATACTGCGTGTTCAATCGGCATACGGTGTCATTAGTCCAAATTAAATAATAATTTTAGAACAGATACGATTGAAAAGTTCTATTGAATTTCAGAAGAGTTAAGACAATGAACGTAATCAACTCAGAATTTTGAATCATAATAAGGAGGGCCATTCTAGCTCTTGACTCTCTGAATTCGCGAAGGCCTATTTGATTATAGAAAAAAAACTAATTAGAACTAATCTCGAAATAGCAAGTTCTGTCAAGCTTTTCTAGACAACAAATTCCCACCGCAGACAGTGGAAGCCATCCGATTTATCCACTTCTTTTTAATTTTTTTAGTGCCCTCAATGATGCATGATTTGGGTCCTAATTACAATTTAAAAACCTAATCCGATATTACTTCCGACACTTCTTAGCTGTTCCTTTAGGCTATTCCAAAGTTTAGGCGACTAAAATACTTCCCGTCCCCAAATAGAGCTGTGTATGAATACTTAAATAATTCAATGGATAGAATTCTTATACTGAACGGGAAAATTACTAAATATATAAAATGGCCAGTCTAATAGCTTTTTGTTCTTTTTTTTATTCCATTCTAAAAAAAAATTAAAAATATATCATGTTAATTTGTTGAACTATAATATAACAGAAATGATTCTTTTTTTTTAAAAAAAAAAACTAAATAAGTACTAATTATCAATTACCATAAAACGTTTGAAGGGTACAAAATCTCTTTTAACATTGGAATGCGAAATCCACAAATTTAAAGTTGTGTTCGAATGAATTCATGAACCGGAACTATCAACTGCGATGAAAATTAACTGCATTTCATCAAAAAAAAAAACGTATTTTTTTTTTAATTCATTTTTCATTTACTAAGGGATTATTATGCTGTTTAAAATGGACTAAATTGCTCCAATTATTGGGGACACGAGATTCAACTTGAGGGGAAATGCAATGGATAAGACTCGAGACGAATGTGCACAGTAACATACACAGAAATCACATGCATTTCGTTTGTTTATCGTGTCGTTTTTATCATGTTTTATTATTGCATTGCTATTTACTATGTTTTTTTTTCTTTTCCTCCATCCATCCACCTCCAGAAAATCATTTTATCAAATGGCAGGCTGAGGCACACTAAATTCATCATTTACTTTTAGGGCTTTTATTATAACAAATTAAATAAACAGGAGAAATGAGGTCTCAGTACTGTGAAATCAAAGCCGTAATAGACTTACAAGTAAAAGTTTATTAGTTTGACTAACCTAAGATTTAAACCGCTAATTAATCTCAATACCTTGTACTTGAAGACGGACATCATTTTTAATGGTTCTTCAACCAAATCCTCACCATTTATGAGGCATATTGGTCTATCAGACTAAGATTATTCAAACTTCTTATTATTATTTGAATGGAAAGTGATTGGTCACCCGATTGTGGAACGGTCCTCACACGAGTAAATTAATCAGGTTTAGACTTAATCTTGCATAATAAAAAATTAATAGTGGAGCCCTAAATACACCCGATATGTGATTGTTATATGCATCATCAAAATCTTCAAAGAGAACTTTAGTATATTCAAGGCACGGGGTAAAGTTTAATTTGTTATAATCAATGGAATACAAAACTCTTATTTTGAAAATAATAATAATAATAATAATAATAATAATAATAATAATAATAATCATCATCATCATCTCGTACTTTTCTTCTTCTTCTTTTCCACTGTAGAAAAAGTTTTTTCAGACAAGCAAATCTACATTCATGTGAGGCCTGCCTGGTAACTTTCAAAAGCAATTTTTGCTTGCACATGCAGCATGTAATTTCAATAGAGCTTTTTTGCTGATGATTTCATTAGGCATAAGAGCTCAAAAAAAGCATATATCATTACTTGGTTTTGAATGGAGCACTTTGTACTAAACTTGGTTAGCAAGATCCATAAAAGATATTTTATTATACTATGGTATGTGGACCATAATTTGACGTTTAGGTTCGATTTTTAGGAACCAAGAATGAAAAATAATTGTGTATGCTTTTTTGCTCGCATTCTGAAATTTTATTTGGATCCACGATTAATTTTATTTATCAAAACGAACAATCATGTATGAATACCACAAAAATTGTTAATATAATATGGTCATGCCGATATTTCAACTCCGATATAATAATAATAATAATAATAATAATAATAATAATAATAATAATAATACACCCTTATTATCATTCTACTCAATACTCTCACATCAGTTTTCCGTTTCTTAAGGAGGAATACATCTGCAAAGTTTCCATGAGCGAATATCTGTTTAGACAATTTTCTTACACACTGCATATATGTGTGTGTATTTGTTCTATTTTAGTCGATTTCAAGTTAGTTAGGAAAAACCATTTGATTTTAAAAAAAAAAAAAAAAAAAAACCTGGAGGCACATATTATTGGGTTGTTGGTGGAATCTCGTTCTCAACTTTCTTCACCAACAAATCGTTCCTTTTTTTTTTCATTATTGGGTCTTGTGGGACGTAATGTGGACGAGATTTTTTCCAATAAAATTAAATCAGTCCAATCACCATTTCAAATTTTCTCGAATTTATTTCCATGATGGAAATGATCTAATCTCATCACTTCGAAATTGATCATCTAGTTTCAAGAAAAAAAGGGGGGTTACCTAACAACTTCAGTGAACACTATTTCAAGGGAACGAATTGAAATTTTTGTTTCAGCCATTTAATAGTGGAAGAGAAAATTGCAATGGTGTATATACATGATGAATAATATTGGGAGAGATCTGTATCCAACAAAGGGTCTATCTGAATCGAATGAAATTTAGTCTGTGTGTAGTAGACGTGCATCTAAAATGTCTCGTAATCACTATAGCATTGATGTTGCTTGATTTAATCTCGAAAAATAATTTACATTATATTTTATAATTTACGTTGAAAATAATAAAGTCGCAAAACACTATGTTGATTATTTTGTTGCACCATGTATATGCCTAGGAAAAATGAGAAAGGTAAATTAAATTAAAGAACGGAACGGAATTAAGGATTACTAGAGACAGAGCATTGAGATATTAATTAAAAACTCAAAAGGAGAAAGGAGATGGACCAACAGGGACCCATCCATCCACATGGTCTAGTGGTCCTAAAATCAAAGGCAAAACACACCGTAAACCTCCATTATTGTCTTAATCTTATTAAATTAATAAAAAAAAAATCTCCAAAAGAATTAGCAGCCTTTTTATAGATTGTAGAACAATTGATTTTTAGTCTATAAAAAAAAAAACTCTAGTTTCTTTTTGTTGATTTTCTAAAACAAAATTTAGCCTTGTTGATCATAAATTCAATCGCAAAGCTCAATCAGCCAATCACATACTCTTCTTTCCTTTTTCTTTTCTTTTTTTTTTTTATATATAAATGCATATCCTCTCGGTGAGATTATTCAAAATTTTTAAATTACGAAGTGATAAAAGAATACAAAAGTTTACTTCTTTCTTGAATTATGATTTAGAACCACACACATAACAAGTGTTGTCTCTCAAAACTAATTTATGAATACAAACTATAAAGTTAGCTTAAACCAGAAACTTCCGAGTCGACATTAAAATAATCAAACACAAGTTACAATTTTATTATCGTATACTTATTTTATAAAGGTTTAAGTGCAATAAGGAATTTAACTAAATAACAAGTACCATATAAATTTTATTATCAGTTGAATAAGAGGGCGAATTACATTTTACCCCTCGAATTTTGGCCCAATTTAGTGATTTGCCATATCTCCCAAGTTTGGTAATCCTACCATATACTCCCTAAGCAGGTATTAAATATTAAAATGACTAAAATGGCGACAGTATACATAAACTTCATTTCTATTTCTTTTTTTTATTTGTTTTTCTTTATTTTCTAAACATAAAAAATGAAAAAATTACTTAGTTTCTCATTTTCACGTCTAATTATAATATAAATTAACAAATGAAAGTGAACTCATGATTCATAATATAAGTTTATTATGTTTACTGAAAAATATATCGGTTAATTAATAAATATTATATTATTTCAAAAGACATGATATACTCAATTTAAAAAATTTATTATTTAAGTGCATTTATATAAAAGAATCATTATGTAATATTTTTTTTAACTTAATTTATGATATATTTTTTGAAAGCATTTAAATTGCATAATTTTTTAAAGAAGAGTTGACATGTATTTTGAGTTTTTCACCATTTGCACAAAGTTAATGATGATATTAGTAAGTTATAGTATTACCAAAATTCGGGGGATAAAATGTAATATTTTTCCTAAATAAAAATCAGGGATTCAAAACCCGTTCTAATAATGTTCACTCTTTGAGTTTCTACGGTAATTTCTAACACCCACACACTTAAAAAAAGCCAACCCCAACCCAAACTCCACATGGGATTTTCTTTAGCTTTTCTCCTTGATTCCCTTTAAAGCTTTCCCCCCACCCACTCCCTCTCTCCCACTCCCTCCGTTTTATCTTACCACAAAAAAAAAAAAACACGCACTCACACACTAATCCCGTTCTTCATTCATACTCTCCCACCTTCATTTCACTCGTAACTATTCATCGTCTGAATTCAATTCCATCTTTTTTTTCTTCGTTTTCCTGAATTCGTTTAGAATCCAAAGGACGATTCATTGAGATTTAAGATCATTCCGTTATTCTTGATTCCATTCAAATTCTAATTATGGCGTCGTTATCAGCAAAGATGGTGGCGAGCACAGTAACCAATAACAATAATTCTGACAGATCAATCTCGCGCCGGAAAAAGAAAAAGAAGAATTTGAATTCCGTCAGAGACCGGCCTGATCACGCCGCTCCGGCCGCCGTCTCCACCCCATGGAAATCGGATACTCAGCAACAAGTTTATTCCTCCAAGCTTCTCCAAGCTCTCCGCCAGGTGAGAAGCGCGTCGCCGAAGCGCGGCCGTGCGGTGCGGGAAGCGGCGGACAGAGTTCTGGCGGTGGCGGCGAAAGGAAGAACGCGGTGGAGCCGAGCGATTCTGACGAATAAGGTTAAGCTCAAGTTTATGAAGAAGGCCGGGAGCCGGATGATGAGGCAGAATAGGGCGGCGGAGGGTACGACGACGGTGATTACAACGACGTCGTCGAGTGGCGGCGGCAGCCGGTGGCAGAAGAAGAAGCCGAGGGTGTCGGTTTTGAGGCTGAAATCGAAGGGATTACCGGCGTTTCAGAGGAAAGCTCGGGTTCTCGGCCGGTTGGTTCCCGGTTGCCGGAAACAGCCTCTTCCGGTGATTCTTGAGGAAGCTACTGATTACATCGCGGCTCTGGAGATGCAAGTTCGAGCCATGAGCGCCTTAGCCGACTTGCTTTCCGGCGCGTCGTCGTCAAATCATCCACCAGCTAGTTAATCCATTCTACTTTGCTCTGTTTTTATTAATTTTTTTTATAAAAGAAAAAAAGGAAAAAAAAATATTTTGGTTTTCTTTGAAACTCAAATATTTCTCTTTTTATTGTCCCTTGTTAATATTCTCTTGTAGCATATATATTTCTTTTAATTCTTATAATTTTCCTCTTCAAGTGTAATTGTAATGAGGTATTGGCTTAAGGAACCTAAGAAAGAAAAAAACATGAGGGAAAAAAAAAGATGAGTTAATATAAATAATTTTTTAATAGTAGTATTTGGGAAGCACCAAAGTCACTTGTTATGAGGTTGAACACTATTCTTTTCTTTTTTTTTGTTCTAGTATATTTTTGAGATGCGCTATGGCTAATTAGTAGAAATTCATTTTATTTCCCAATTCCCATATTATTATCGTGAAGGGAATAATTAAGTGTATGTACATATTTTTACATTTTATTCATCATATTCCTCATTGTGAATATCATCAATATTTTTCGATTGCTTCATCATCTTTGTTCTTCGATTCATGAATCAACTCGTTCTTGGGCGTAACTCTTCCTAGAATTGTGAACTATTTTTGGAAACAGAGAAAATATTATATATCGTCGTTGAGAAACTCAAAATAAACTCTTTTTTGGGACAGAAGTAATATTATGATATATTAATTTGTTCCGATTTTGCTGGCATGTACTCTTGTATGTGGGTTTTTTTTTTTTTTATTTTATTCTCCAAGAAATATTGATTGTGATGCCTTTCATCAGTCATTTTGTGGAGATAGATATCAAATAAATTAATCCAAATGTTGAGAAAGCATTGATGACTAACATCACCATTGAACAGTTTAGAAAAAGTGTCCTCTAACTTGGAGATGAAAATAACACATTTAAGTTTCATAGGTGAAATTAATAAACTTTTGTACTCTTGGAGGGTACAAACTAGTAGTACAAATGAACACATGATTTCTTCCATATTGTCTGAGGTACCAAAGTTTGTAGTAGGGACAAGGTTAGATTTTGTCTGAAGCAGTTTAAAATGCACATATTATTGATTCGTCTTTATCGGATTTTTGTTCATGTCCGTCGTAAGTCCAGCATTATTAAATCTGAATTAACTGACTAGTAATGAAGAAGTCGATGGTTAAATTAATTCTCTGCAGTGATTAGGGATTACAAATTTTCAGTTTACTTGTGGGTTCTTGGAACGGGTACACACAATCAACACTCCTAAATGTTTATTTCGTCATTTGCTTTTCACAGATCCAATTATCCAAATTAAATCTCTTTACCGACATAAATATTTTCACATAATAGTGTAAGAAACGAATGCAACACAAATTTATTAATCCTCGACACCAAACGTTTTTGACGATGATGGATGGTTAAATTTCTTCAAATGGTGCAATTCGTCATCAAATGATCACCAATCAATCACATTTAGTTACGGTTTCGGCGAAACCCCCTCTAAAAGATTTTTTTTAAAAAAACAAAAATTTACTACCTCCGTTCCCAAAAAATAGTCCACGTTGAGTTTTCAAATTTGTACTAAAAACAGTACAAAATTCAGAACTCAATATGGACTATATTTTTGGGACGGAGGTAGTATTAATTGCACACTAAACCCATGAATCGATCATTTTCAAACGTGATATGAATCCATTCAACTTTAATTGGTTCGTTCAATGGAACGGAAAAAATTCTAAGCCATTGTTGCCATCACTGGTGGAGGACCATGAAATGTTATAGGAAAGTTCTTTCGTCCAATTCAACTTAACCTCCTTAATCTCTAATCAAATACGTTATTTTTCTTTAAAAACGATTACTTCTTCTGTCTTAGAATAAAATCCGTCCTAGTTCTTAATAAGCAAGAAATGTGATGGGGGCGATGATGACAACTTGGGCGGGTGAAATGGGTGATAACTAACAAATTAATCAAATCTAGGATGCATATATGTATATAATCAGCTGGCTTGCAAAATGCCATGAAAATGGCCTTAACCGGGCCACAGTTTTCTTTCCCATAACAGAACTTGTCGTAACCATACTCACCACCATCTTGTTTAGCCCTAAATTCGCACAATGAGCTTACAACGGCTAATATATTTGTAGCTTTTTTCACACCATTATTCAGACAACGCAATTCCTTTCTTTCCTTCCCAAAGTTAAGAAAACAATTAAGATTAAGATGTAGAAATTACATATATATATATATATATATATATATGAAAACTGAAATACAGGTGAAATGGATAGCATAAAATTTATCGGGGAAGATGTGTCATGGGCATCTTTTGAGTTCATGAACCATATATTTCCTAGCTAGCACCTATAAAAAAGCTTTTTTAGTTATTCTTAGCAACAAATGGTCATCACATTTTAGATTAAACTAAGGTTTATTTAAATAATAATTGGTTAGGTTTTAAGTTTGCCAAAGGGTTAAGTTATCCTTGTTAATTCCTCATTAGGAAGCCATCATTTGGAAACAAGATTGTTTTAGGGTCCAAGTTTTCATCATCATTCCCATTATCCCTAGACAACCACCACACTACAAGATTCAGAGTATTACCTAAGAAGAAACAATATATAGTTAACAAGACAAAAAGATGGGGAAAAAAAAGGATGCGGTGCGATTTTGGGACTTGATGTTTTGGCGAGATTATGTAAATGTTAAAAACTATACAAAGCTAGCTCTTTGAATCAAAATGTAATTTAGCTGTTCTGAATAATTTTCTTGAAATTTGATCATAATTATATTGACAACTAATTACGGCGAGAGATGGAAAGTTCGATACATATGATCAGATGAAATATAATTACGAGATTGAGGTTTCAATCGTTACTCAAAACCATCCCGGAGAAAGATGATGAAATATCTCAACATCAGCTATAAGTCCACTATCACTATGAAAACCATTGCTCCAAGATAAACATTTGTCCCCTTCTTTATATCTTTTATGGAATAACAAGAAAGATGAGTCCATAAACACATTTCTGTTAGAATATGGTTAATGAGTGATGAAATTGGTATCCAATTTGCTTGGTACAAAACGCCAAAAAAACTAAAATATAAAATAAAATAAAAGATGATATAAAGACTAACATAGCAACTCACTAGTCATATCCATGTCCAACCATTCCATCCCACTTAGACAGCTTAACATATTAATTAATATTAGTTTAATAATCACGTCAAAGATCAAGTCTAATCAACTAATTGAACCCACCACACCAGCTTAAATAAAGTGGAAAACTACATCAATTGAAACATTTTACTATTTTATTGTTAATCTGTTACCAGCCACGGGTCTACGTTGAAATGACAGTTAATTACGAAAAACTCTACACGTTTGTATTTTTCTCGGTGATTAAACGTTTCAAACTTGAAAGTTACAATTTAAAGATGTTCCAATCATTTTATGCAATTGTAAGTGAACAATTTAATTAGAAATAATGTGTAATTAATAAGATGGATATATAGTGTGATAAGTATATTTATTTTTATTATGAAACGGATAGAATAACACATTTAGCTAGAAATAAATCAAAAAGCAACATCTGTGAAATTGAGATGAGAGGGGGGCACATGGGGGGTGGGGGAAGAGTCATTCAAAACCTTCTAGTTTGGGTCCCAATTTTAGGGGGGCTTTCTTTCATAAACAATTAATCAAACAGGTTGCGGGCTTTCAATAAAGTGCTCAATAGTTTGTAATTTACAGGAAAAGAAAGAAACCCTACGAAATCGAAATGTATTAAGAAAGGGTTTCAATGGAGATGGTGAATGGTGGTGGGGTTCCACCTAAGGTTGCATCAAAATCATTAGTGGGTAGCACGTGGATGTTACCTATTTCAAACCCTAGTGATTTTGATTTAGGATGACACTACAATAATTATGACCTTGATTATAGATTATCACCCCCATTAAATAAATTTTGTAAAATGAAATTTTAACAAACAGTACTATTATTGGTAGATATAAAACGATTAGGTGAAATTCGTTGTTGGAACAAAGGCACATATTTTTGTTGGTCAAGTATATATGTCATAGTTGTGGTTTGCACAATTCGATACAATACATCAAGAAATGTTGGCTCACTTCATTATTTGAAAAAAGATTCCAAAATATATCAAATCCAAGCTTTATAATTTAGATTTGTTTAGAGAAGTAAACGTGCATAATCGCAAGCGTAATGCTAGTCGCAGTCGATTTGAGATCATTTCTGGCCATTATATGATTGATAGAAAAGCAATTTCATCTATTCTATACTTTGGTACCAATTGCGACCTTATTGAAAAATGAAATGGAAATAATGGGGGCAAATGGCAATTAGTAAATTATAATGGGGATAATGGAAATAACACTTTGAACTTTGAAGTAACAACGCAAACACGAAACATTATTGGGGAAACTACATTGTATATTATACTCCCTCCGTCCCATAATTATTGTCCAATTTGGGTTTTTATTTCTAGTTCAAATTATATTAAAAGTGAAAACTCAAATTGGACAATAATTTTGGTACAGAGGGAGTAACAACAAATCTCCTTGTCTGTAAAGATAATATTGCGTAGATACACTTTCAAAAGAAAAATGCTCAAGTTTAAGCATCAATTCATGTAGTCTATATTATGTATTTTACTAGTAAGTTTGGTTAATTATTTAGGATCTATTGACAAATAAAATTCATACAATTATTGAGTCAGATCACCGAGGAATGTTACAATAACATTTTTTTTTTTTAAAAAAAAGTTTATGTTGTATAGGAGACCACTAATTAAGGTGATAACTAAATGGACCCGTAGTAGCTTAGATCCCTCACTCCACTACTATAGCCTATTCTACTACTGATGATAATAAACATATAAGAGCTCCACATAAATAAACCACATTAAATCCATAAAAATGCATCTCCATGATTAGATAAAACCAAAATTGTTTCTTAATTCGTAGGCTTTTGTGAGTTTCTATTCTACTAACTTCTTTGGGCTACTTATGAGGTATCCTTTGGGCCTAGTTGTAGTAATAAACAGCAACATATGGCTTGTTTTGGGCCTTCGGGAAAATTTTAAACCCAAAACAAACTGTAATGGAATTCTTTTCAACGGACTTTGCATTTTTTTCAAAGAGAACCGTATGTATTGTTGGATTTCCGCCATTAGCAATTACTGTGTGCTTTTCGGTAACATGTTGTTGGGGTTGCATATTCTCAGGTCTTTTTAAATTTACCAAAAAAAATAAAAAAAGAACTAATTTTATTATTTCCTCCGTCCCGAAATTATTGTCCAATTTCGATTTTCAATTTCAGTACAAATTGAACTAAAAGTAAAACTCTAAACTGGACAATAATTTTGGGACAGAGGAAGTATATGGAACCATATGCAAGTAAATATTGCCGAAACAAACACTAAAAAAGGACAACGTAAACGCAGCTCGTTAATCATACTTTTCTATGTCAAAACCATTCCTTGTAATGGTTTAGTTATCAAGTGAAAGACCAACTCTAAGCAACTAATTGAAACATTTTAATTTCTTTTCGTTAATCTGTATAATTAACACTGGAGAAACACACTATAAGTATGTCACTTGCTTGATCTTTTATTTTTTTTAAACGCCAAAAATGGAGTCTCGTCTAAGGTATAACCATATATATATATCCAATATTAGAATGTTAGATTGGGCTTCTTAACATCTTTTTCTTCTTTCTGCCTTTTGCAACGGCCCAAAGCCCATCAACACAAAGATCCTCGTTCCGGCTGACTAATTTTGATAGTCCAATTCAGAAGAACGACCTGATTTGTTTCTCCACCAAGAGAAAGGAAGAAAAACAGGAAGAAGATCAAAACGACGCCTCCCTTTCCTTCAGTCAACAGTCAGTACACTCCTAAAACTCCTCCTTAATCGATCCTTTTCCATCTTTTGCTTAATAATGGCCTCAACATCGGCGGCGGCGGGCGGCGGCGAAGGTGGATTAGCGGTTGCTGAGAGGAGAGGAGTACCGGCGGCCTCCTTCGTTGAAGATGTCCAAACTTATTTGTCGGAATCGGGCCTTGATGCCAACTCAGCTCTCGCTTTCCTTCAAGAAAGGTATTTCCTTTTGTTCGTTCCTTCTTCCAGATCAAGTCAATGTTTTTGGTGGGTTTTCGTTGTTGGTTGTTATAATCATCTGGGAGGAATTAGTCTGATTTCAGCTGAAAATATTTTGGGTCTTGTGTATATATCTATGCTTTTTTTAATTTGTTTGGATGCTGTTTTGGTTCTAGGTTTGTGTGTTAAGTTGGATTCTTTCAGTGACATCATGCATATAAGTTAAAGTCTTTTTCAGCCAATTCTGAGTAAATTTTACTCGTCTAACTTCTAGTAATCTGAAATGGTGCAATTCGCTTAGTTGCTCTTGATTAGAAAGTATAAGTGCCAAAATCTGGGATGAACTCAAGTTTGAAAAAACTTGTGCAAGGATTTTTTTACCGTTATTGTGTAGGAAGTGGAGAGCTCTTTGTTGAAGAGTAGTTACCATAAGGAATAGATTTCAAAATGTTGAAGAGAAAGCAAGATGATATACTATATCTGAATGCAATGAATAACATGAAGGAAATAGATTAGCCTTATTGAGTAGCTTATAAGGTATCATACCGGATGGCATTGGTGGTAGTGGGATCAATTTGATGATTCGCCATATTCATATACTCTTTTTGTCCCAAAAAATATAGTCCACATTGAGTTTGAGATTTGTTCTAGAGTAAGTATTTTTCATGTCCTCTTTGTGCCTTTGATTACAAGAATTGTAGTCGCAGATAATTTGCATACTGGCATTTTCAGCTTCTTGCATAATTGAGAAGCAGCCTAGCGAATTAGGGTTAATTCCTACTCTTCTTTCATATAATGTATCTATGTGTCTTTCTGCTTTCCTATTTTATTTTGCAAAGCTGTAATATTTTCCTATTGTTTTATGAAGTGTCTCAATTGATGAATTTGGAGTGAAGCACAAAAATTCAACTTTTTACTGCAGAATGCTGTATTGTTCTGTAATCTGTACTTTGTTTGCAGTTGATCAATGCTCCTATTTTATCAGAAGTTTTTCCATGGATAATAATAACTTGATGATCTTTCTTTTTCCGGTTATTCTGCAGACTTCAGCAATACAGAGTAGTTGAAATGAAACTTCTAGCTCAGCAGAGGGATATTCAGGTAGGTTTTGAAACTTTTACTCATTCATATTCATTGTTTTTGGTGTTAGCCCTGGATACGGTGACAAATTTCCAATCTTAAAAATTGCTGATTTATATTTCTGGTGTTCGAATTGTCATCTTACTTACCTATAATGATCACTATGTACTCATCTCTAAGAAAGCCCTTGATTTTTAGTATACAAGGAATTCTGATTTGTAGATGGTTGAAATGCATGTGCATAGTTCGCGTATGTCCATGATATGTGTAATGCCAAAGTAACTGAAAGATAAGAAAATGAGCAGACTCTTAAAATCTTCATCTATGAATACCATAACTTGCAACGTTTGTTTTTGGTGCTTTGATTTTAAATTTAAATTACTGAGGATTCTGTCTTTGCTGCATTGTACCTTTTGTGGTCTAGGAATTGTTTTGTTTGTACCAGCAGCTGACTCTATTGCTGCTTGCTAATTTCTTCCTTCCATGCATCAGATTGACAGACATTCTTTTTTCCATTGATCAGGCAAAGATTCCAGATATTGAGAAGTGCTTGGATATAGTTGCCACCCTGCAAGCTAAGAAGGGTACTGGTGAGGTTCGTTTTAGCGGTGTCAAGCATTCAAATATCAGTTGATGGTTGACATAATGATCGAGTCAGCCACAGTATTTCTTCTTGGACATTTGCTTTAAAATTCTTTTTTTCCCCTCATGTTTATGCAGGCTCTACTTGCCGATTTTGAAGTTTCAGAAGGCATTTATTCCCGTGCGCGAATTGAAGATACTGATTCTGTTTGCTTGTGGCTTGGGGCAAATGTGATGCTTGAGTATTCGTGTGAAGAGGTATTACATTAGGATATTACAGCCGTTAGATTTGCAAGTTTTTCTTGATGTCCTTCACTTTAATGGGATCTTAACAACTTGCAGGCTACTTCTCTTCTTAAGAAGAATTTGGAGAATGCTAGATCAAGTTTAGAAGTTCTTGTCGGTGATCTACAATTTTTGAGGGACCAAGTGACCATCACCCAGGTATGAAAACTAATTATTGAACTCATTCAACCGCAATCACGTTATTTCCTTGACATGTTCCATGCTCTTTTCTCGTTAACATGATGTTCATTGCACACCATGATTCACTGTTACTCTCATTTGATCAGGTTACTATTGCCCGTGTATATAACTGGGATGTACATCAAAGACGACTGCGCCAAGCTGTTGCCACCAAAGATTCATAAGGGAAGAAAAGTTGTACCTTTCTCCAATATTGCAGATGGAGGCTTGTGTTTTTAGTCTGAAATTTCTGAATTTAGAGGATTGGATTTCGTCATTTAGAGATTAGCTATCATAGGTTCCCTTCTTTGAGATTATTACTAGTGGAGGTTCTGATCCATAATTATGAATTTTCTTTCTATCTGTGGTGTTATAAGATATACTATCCTATGTCAACACCAGTTTTGACGCTTTGTTCAAACTGTGAGTTTAGGTTGTAAGGAGTTTTAATAGTACAGTTGCATGGTGATGCTTGATGTTTGGATGTTTGAACCACTCGATAGCTTGGATAAACCTCAGAATTTCTCCCATTAAATCAAGTTAGCGAGTTGATGTGAAGCGTTCCCTAAATGCAATGACGGGAGGAGAAAGAATAGACTTTGAGACCAGACCTCCACTGGCAATTATGGCAGGATCAGTCACCCGGGCAAACAACCCTCCCTTCCTTCAATTGCTCTTATTGGATTCTCGTATTACTAAAAAAAAAACTCAACTGCCATGAGGACATTATCAACTTCTGAGCTTAGCATTGAGTTGAAAATAGCCTTTCCTCTTTACAAGTGAAATTTAGAAAGTGACGATGCCTGACTGCAAGTGATTGTACCAGTATCACTTCTTACACCATTGAAATGTTCCTGCCTAGATACACATCAAGACATGTAGTCAAAAACTCAAGGTTCTTACTTCTTACAGAGGTTTCATATTCGAGAGCCTGGCGAAACAAAATGCTACTTCTTCTAAGGGGCACGGATTTGAACCCTGCAAAAAATTTGGGGACATGAAGAATAGTTTGCTAATTATTCTTTTTTTTTTTTTTTTTTTCATATTTGTAGGGTGTCCACCGTCGACAACAGTGACTAATTCCCTTCGTTGAATTGTAAGTATCTCGATGGAAGGGACAGCTGGTCAAAATATTTAAGATTACTCCATGCCTGTAACGAGATTTGTACCCTTGACCTATTGTTAAGGGTGGAGGAGTTCTTTCCACTCCACTACAACCACTTTGGTTATAGTCTGCTAATTCTGTATGTAGGTGATGTTGAAATAGTTGTGTTATGGGCCTTTGCTATTACCTCTCTGAAATGGCTCATTCTGTATCAAACAAGTCCATGTATGAAATATGAACAAAGAATTCTTTTGAGGTAAAAGTTTATAGATCTATGTTCTCTTTTACTCCATCTTTCCATTTTTGCAATAAAATGACCTATTAAAATGAGACGGAAAGAGTATCAACATCTATAATTAAAACAAAGTTGGCTGACACAGTGTAGAAATTCTTATCGTTTCAGAGGAATCAAGAAACTATTATTTAAAAATTTCATGATCAGTCCAAGATTATTCCCCTAGATTCAACGTTTATGATCATCAGTTGATGTAATCTTTTCATTTTTCTACAATTGACTTTGTCATATGTTTTCTGAAGATTCCCTGTGAACATTTCTGCAACTGGAAACAAAAACATGGGCAGGGTTTTGTGTGTGTGTTTCAAAATTTCAACCATACTCAAAAAGTCAATTCAGCCCAGTTCGTTTCCACACTATATTATATACATCTATTTATCGAAATCTAATCTTTGCCTCAAAACTGCCATACTTACAACATTATTTTGATGGTTCAACCCACACTCTTTCAAACCTTAAAATTAATCTGTCTGTTCTTTTTTTTTGTTTTTGGCTTAACTAATCAGAAAACACAGGTCAGTAATCTGCCAGGGTTTTGACTTAAACATGATAAAAACTGTAATCAAAGCGATTGTCTTCCATCTTGTTGGAATTAATTAATACTTGGGGTTTGCAGTATTTCGTGTTAAAAAAAACAAACAAACCCATGATTTTGTTTCATTGATTTGAGTGATTGTCACTTCAACTTGGTAGATCACACACACACACACACGCACACACACACACATTGGAGTGAGGTGGTGATCATGTGTGTTTGACCTTTGAACCCAAAAAGAAGTGTGTGTCCTACTTGGGGGAATCTTTGTTGGACTTGAAACTTCGTGTTTGACATTTTTGAAGTGTTCATTTTTTTTTTTTTTTTGAAACCCAAGAAAGAAACCATAAGTGTTCTATTAGCATCATTCAAGGTTGACAAAAAAAAAAAAATTTATTCCCCAAATTTTGTCTTGAATTTAACTACGTGAACTTCCACGATGTGATTACCACACTAAGTACATATATTTATGATTTTATTTGCAGTAATCAAAGTGAGGAAAAAAAAGGTCCACCAGCATGCATGCCACTTCAAATATTCAAATGTATTATAAATTTATAATCTTGCTATATTACTTCTCCCATCCTCCGATCACAGACAAAAATCCATTCATACCGATATTGATTAAAATTAAAAAAACTCCCCCTCAAACTGACTAACTTCGTTGAATTCGAGTATACTAATTTAGGAGATGTGATTATATAGTAGTATGTTAAAGTTGTGACGAGAAAATAATCTTGATATGATTTGATTAATCAGAACAGTGACTTTATTCGTTAAAAGTGTGCATGTAATGCGCCAAAAAATGGTAAACTAGTATCTGATCTTCAAGTCCTGAGTAATTTGAATAAGGGTCCGGTTATGAAAAGGTGTATGATTTAATCCACCAACAAAGTTCGCTTCCATGTTCAGTTCTTCCTCCCAAGAAACCCTAGTTTTTTACCTCCCAATTTGCCTTTCGAGAATCTTTGCTACCTTTCGTTATGTGAAGTTTGTTTGAACCGATTGGTGTAAATGCAAATATATCCCCTTCTTCGATTTGTTCGCGTACAACATGATTTTGTAACATGACAAGTTTAAAAATTGTAAATGTATATTTTGGGCTACTGTTCAATTCGCATCTCGAATTATGATCACACTATATCGATCCATTCGTTTCATACTGATAGTTCTGATTTTGTTTGTTATCATATGTAACGTTTTTGTTAAATTAATCTTCTTCTTGTATTCATTGATCAACTATATGTCACATTTTGCATTTCATTGTAACAACCAATCGAAATTTGACCCTTTTAAGAAACTGAAAACTACAAGAAGCTAGTCAATGGTCTCTCCTCTTTCACCCTAAAGACCAAAAAGTTTTAACTTAACTCCCTCAATTGTGGGGCTTTTCACATTGTGATTTGTACCACTAAGAAGTAACGAACATGATTGATGCGAAAGTGCAATTTTATTTTCAATTGTTTTTTTTAAGAAAAAGGAGTAATAATAATTGATGAGCAGAAACCCAAAAAGGGCTAAGGGAGAGGGGTTTAATGTTTTTATAGATTCACAAAATTTTTTGTATAGAAAGAGAGACGTGCACGAAAAACGAAGCCGATATTGTCCGGAGATAGAGAGCTGTGCAGCAAATAAATTTTATTTTGTCAGGTTGTGTGTTTGACGCGTTAACGTCTCAAATCAAATAAATTTATTTATTTTTTTTATATCTATACTATGCAAATGGAAGTACAGTACTACTACTAATTAATAAAATCTTTTTCCTTTATGAATGGATAAAAAAAAACCACCTAAAAACCCAAAAGAAAACAAAAAACAATTAAAAGCTTATTGACTTTGACCTATATATTTAGCTTCTTTTTTTCCATCATCATGTGCCACCCTCCTTCCACATCTTCGACTTCCCAACCCCCAATATTTTTGCCCAAATAGTGGTGGTTTCTTGAGTTCTGTAACTCCACCATAACTATGATGAACATTTATACATGAATAATGACGAATGATGATGATCATAACAGTCTAATTAATTAGGATTGTATATGATTTTTTCAATGTGGTCCTTCCTATCTTGGATGATATCATTGGGATTGCATAAAATTTTAATTTTTTTATCTGACATTTTCGAATGACTGATATTGAGCTATTTTATCGATCATTTCGAACTATTAAAAATTTCGACGATTCTATTTACTTTAAAATTCTACAAGGACTGTTTGTGACTTACTTGGATCATTGAAGGGGTTCATTTACAAAACTTTGTGAACCACAAAGGTTTCGGTAAACAATTCAATCCTAATGATATTTCTAGTACAATCCTAACACTATTATCATTTGTCTCTTGTGGTTTAAATTTATGTTCATAAATCCAAAGATGTGTCCTTAAATAATTAATAAATAGAAAAGATGAGGGGGATGACATCACTGAGCTAGCTTGTCATAATAATTTTATAATAAGTAGTACTAGTATCTTTCTAAATGCCGCAATCATCGGTCAGTGTTCTCATGGGGTATATTTTGACTATTTTCTTTGGAAGCTGATATGGTCAACGGGTTGAGTTCGGGCCTTCTGAGTCAGACCCATTCATTTCTTTTCTTATTCTTTCTTTTTGTTTTTTCATAACATTTTTAATTTTGTGGATTAATTGCATCATACATGATGTGTTTGTGATTGTGAGCTTTAATTGCTTCTAGCTTCTAGGTGTTTTTATTTATTTTTAATTAAAAAAATGGATTTATATTAGTTTTATCGCACGTTATATATCTAGTATTCATATGTAGCGTTGATTAAGGCACTTGGCAAGGGATTCGTTCCGATCTTTTTCACTACAAATATGTTTATTACACTTATTTCTTGGTTGGTAGGAGTTGGGAAGAGAGATCAATTTAAGAAATAGTTTAGTTGATTACTCGATTGATATAATAGATTCATCCTCTTCTTTCTTTTTTCCAATTGATTTGGGGAAGGAAGCAGGAGTGTCAAAGTTCAATGTAGAGGAGTACTCGTTATAACTGTATCTCGTGTTATATGACCTTTTGTGTTACATTTACTAAGACAATAATTACAAATTTTAGACGTGTATTTACAAATAATATTAATACTCTAATCAAATTGTATGTTAACCTTAACAAATTTCAAACAAATTCGTTCATATGTTGCACATCCATAAACATTTTTTAATGTAATTTTTAGGGTTGATCAAAATATAGTTTACTACTGCAGTTATGAGACGATCATGAGCAGAAAGAGATCTTTGTCACATAAATTCTGAAATCAATCAAAGTAACCCACATCCACAAAGGAATGCAAATCATGAAGGCTAATTACATAGCTATAATAACCAGTATTTTAGAGGATTAAATAGAACTTAATGAAGGGCAAAACACATCGAATAAAATCAAATGTGTGACAAAAGAAAAGAGAGAGCTTAATGTATCACAATCTACGTTTTTATTTTGGTGTATTTGGGTTATTTTCTAAATTATAGTTTGAACCATACCATACAAACTCAAGTTCGTTTGAGAACAGCAGTTAAAACGTACGATGGATGAACAAAAACTAGGTACGTACATGGCACCAAATCCACTTCTTTCTCGGTAATGATGAAAATTAAAAAAATGATTGACTCGAAATGGCTAAATCAAAATCACTCTCCCAACTATTAAGCCATCTTTGGTACATTTCAATTAATTAATTCTTGGTGGTTAGCTAGCTAGTTTAGTCATATTTGACCACAGTTTTCTTTCCCCTTGAAATGCACCGCAAACGTAAGCACTTTCGTGAACCCGATAACTTCAATCAAATTAATAATAAGATGGAATCAATTTTTTTTTCTTTTGAATTTTTTTGGCTAAAAGAATTCAATAGAAAATTCTTGTAAAATCTTGCTAGGATCGTCCATCAGTTAATCAATAATGAGAGGGAATAAGTGGTTAGCTAGTCTCCGAGATGCAAAAGTACCCTTATTTTACTCAATGGAACTTTTCTTCTCTTTTTTTTTTTAATATTTTTCTTTTTAAATTTTCCTAAAGTAACCGACTTTGATGAATGATTCCAACAGTTATCTAAACGAGGAATCCCAACTGAAATTCATCCAGAGAAAAAAAAAACAAAAAAAGAGAGAGTATATAAAGAAATGCTCGTTTTTGTGTACACATCCAATGTACTAAGGTAGAAAACCCTATATTTTTTTATTTCGAAAAAGAATTCCAAAAATTGTTATTGTCACATTACCAATTAAGTACGATTTTTAAACTAATCGTATATATGATGACTATAAATAATGCAGGAGAATCAACTAGTTTTTGATCTAGACCTATCTATATTTAGGTACGTGGTAACCTGTTTCTAACCACTATTGATGGTTTGATACTGTTGGGTAAGTTTAATAAATATGGTCGGTTTTTGATCGTTGATTAGGTTATATATCTATTTGTATTAGCACGACAGGA